ACAGAATGCAACATGTATGGTGTATACAGTTAATCCTAGTGATGAAAAACTAGACAAACTCAAGTCATTAGTACATACAGGATGGAGGTTCAAGTGCTTTTGTTGCTATTCTTGTGTGTCTGAGAAGCAGCTAGTAAATATTGAAGCAAGGGAAATGGGTTTTAAAAGAAACTGAAATAAATCAATCCAAGTAGTGCTGGGTAAAATCGTTTAATAAGATAAACATCTGTAAGCAAATGTATGAACAGAAATACTGTGTGTCTTGTTGATCCTATTTGTAATACTGTTTTTCTTAGACTTTATTTTGCAATGCAAATAACCTATTGCAGAGAACAGCAACACCCCCAGATATTTCTAAAGCCAGGGAACTTGTAGGGTAGATGGGCTGTTTTTTCATCCATTTGCTTTCAATTCCAATAACAATAAAGGAAACCAATAATGTCTTTCGTTCAGTGACTACTGCAGCTTTTAATAATTGCTTTGCACACTTTGCAGACTAATGCTATCTAATGCTATGCTTTAAAAAAATGGGTGGATGGAATTTTGGATTCCTAGTTTTACTACCAAACTAGGAAGTCAGGCTGAAATTAAAAATTTAATGCTGCTATACCTCTTGCTCATCTGTGTAGGATTTTCATGTACTATGAATAGTTGGAACTTTAGTGTCCCATTTTCAAGCCACATGTTTATGTCAGTAATGGGGGTGTTTCAGTGACTTTACATAAATGACATAAAATTACATAAAGTCTTAACATATTCTGTCTATAAAGCACATTTGTTACTGACAATGATACAAAACTACTTTTGATCGTTTTTCTCTGAATTTTGGATATTACTTTTGTCTCCATGGTTGTCTGCGATGAAGTACTGTGCTCACACTCGTTCTAGGTAGAATGTTTTTTGAGTGAAATCAAAAGTACAGTCAAACCACTTCTTTGTCAGTGAACGGTTTAATACTAGCAAACAAGTTAGTATTTGTTAGGATCTTATTCCTATTAGATTTTCTTCGATCTAAAGCTGTAAAAAGTGTTTCAAATTTAAACATTTCCATTCCTTTCTTTTTTCAAATATTTTCATATGGGTTAAGGTTAATGTAGTGACAATTTTCAGAATGATATTAGGTGTTATAGCCAATTCTGCTAACGTAGGTGGTAGTGTTGTTTGAGCAGCTGTCATGCAGACAATAAACTATTGATTCCTTGTAGTAGAACTGTGGGATATACCACATGCCCAACTACTTTTTCAGCATGCAGGCAAAAAATACAAATATAATCTGACCAAACAGAAAATGAATTCTTATCTCATGTGCACCCTTTTTCTCAGGAAGCTACATTCCATCTATGTTTTACTTTTAGCTATGTGATATAATTTCCTATGGAAACTGACCCCTAGAACAAGTTGTTTTGCATTAGTCACAAAAGGCTGGCAGGCACTCAGCTCTTTTGGCAGAAAAATGCAGAATCTGTGGCGGGTCTAATATCCCTGCAATTGTACCCTAGATGCAAATGAGTTCCATTTCATCTCCCTATTAAAGACTTTTTTTTCCTGTTAAAGGTTGAAGATGACTTAGAATTTCAAGTAGTTAGACTTTAGTAATTGAAACTAAGTGCATGCAACTACGATATCTATCTTTGGAAAATTATTAAATTCTAAAACAAACTATGATTGCTGCTAATTAGACGATTAATGGGTTGTCGACGATACTATCTACACTACTAAGGATGTTACTGTATCTTTTTCTGGAACAAGCAAGCATTCTCCAGCCTCCACAGTCGAAAAATCTTGGGGGTAGTTTCATTTCTCTTTCTACATTTTAGAGTTCTACGTGTTCCTATTTAGCCCACAGACTGATGCAGATCCCCCTTGACCCTATATTTCTGCACTGCTGCTACTATGAACATTTATATTTCTGCTCCTCCTCCTCCTAACTGCAATACCAATGGAGGTGCCTGACAAGAGTAATTCATCATCCTAGCAGTAGTGGCAAAGAGTAGCTTAGTGTTAATTTTTAGGTTTTGACTGAGAATTATTCCATGCATTACATTTGACATGATTAAAGTAATTGAAAACAGGTTCAAAACAGACTGAAAATCAACTGGAATATACAGTAGCCTTCACTTCCCTGTTCTAAATGTGCATTTGCAGGTTGGATATGCTGTGCCCATAAAAATGAAAAACATAATGGCCATGAGAAGTGGTATCGGAATAGTCCTTACAAATACTTGTCGGCACAAGCCGAAAATGTGTTGGATTTTCCAGGCCTTTTGTTTCGCGACACTAGCGTCATGCTCACAGGTGCTTCCCTCAAAACCAAGCTGAGGACATTTCCTTGAACCTCCGCTATCCTGTTGTCTGATCTGACGCCAGATGTTTTGGGCCGTCTTTCAAGACACGTGACTCCACAGTCATAAAGAAGTGAAAATGTCGATTCGGCAGAAGAGCCAACGGAGCACTTCTTATCACCGCAAAACAAATACTGAATGGCCATGCAGTACAAAAAAATGAAAAATGGCAGTGACTTGATGAATGACTTGAACTAAATCGCAGGGGAAGTGAAACTACACACCTGAAACTCTACAGTACATCCTCCTGTTTAAATAGTTACCTTTGGATACAGTCAGGCCCAGGAAAGTCCCCACTGCAGTCCAGACTGAACTCCCTTTGAAGTTACTTTTTTTACAGAAGGGTTTGACAAATGTATGTGGGAGAGCTATTGGCTTTTGCTTTGTTCAGGGTTTTCCTTTACTAATTAAAATTCCTTGGTAACAGTGTATTACTATCAGAAAAAAAAGATTTATTGAAGCTATGGATAAAAAAAAAGTTTTATCTGTCTAAAACTGCATGCATATGTATTACATATGTCAAAACTCTGAAAAACAGTAAAATTATATATATGAATGATTCTCATACTTTAGTCAGAATAAACACACATTCATTTAATAAGTTATTTCTTCTGTATTAGAATCAACCACTCACTTTCTATAGTATGTATTGTTTTCATTTGCATGTATTTCCTGGTAATGATTTGTGTAAGTACTTTATACAATAGTTCAAGTAAAGTAGGTAGCTGCGTCAGCAAAGGAACAAGTAAAGGTTTATTCCATGCTGAAAAGAGAAGAAAACAAAACACAACGTTTCGGCAGTGGAGGCGTCTTTGGGTGTGAAGAAGCCAAAGAAGGTTCCACAGCCAAAATGTTGTTTCTTTTCTTCTCTTTTCAGCATGGAATAAACCTTTACTTGTTCCTTTACGCAGTATCTGCACAGTTCTGAAGGCCGGCTATATCATATCGTCTATTCACTCTGCTCTTGTCAGTGTTTCCTCTCACTCTGGCATTCTGCATCATCTACAATGTCTTACGCAATTACTAAATCGTCCAGTCTAAGTCAATAATAAACATAAGAAAGAAGTGTGATCGTACACCTTCAACACACGAAGAATTGTTTTCTGCATTAAGAACTGTGACAGGGAATACTGTGCTTCCCTACTGTTCTTTCATCCTTGTTTTATTATTTCAAGGTTACATAAATTATTCCTAAAACTCATATAAAACACCGTTATGAAACTGTTGTCCATAGACATACAAAACCTTTCCTCACTTTCCCAAACTACGGTGCAAAACACAGTTTTTAAATAAAATCTGTCAAGAAATGAAGCAGATCTGTGTTGCATGTTGGCTGGTTTTAAGTGGGGAGGGGGGTTACAACTAGTGATTTTACTTTTGGACAACATTATATAGTGTAATCCATAGAACAAGTCTTCTTACCTGCTTAAAAAAAACATTGTTGCTTTTTAACCTTTTTTACTTATGAAATCACTTGCATTCTGCTGAGGTATAAGATTGTACTTTCAGCAACCTCATCTGTTGTTTCCATGTTGTCCCATGAGATGCTTTTCAAGCAGGCATTGTTTTGTGCATCTGTAACTTGGTTAGTAAGCGAACTACCAAAGATTGAGACACTGAGTACACCCTCTCCCTTCACCTTCACTATGTAAAACTGAGCAGACAGCCAAGTTAACAAAGGAGGTCAATGTGGTCTTTCTTGGACATTTATAAACCTTACTTAATGAATATTCTTCTGGCATTCTGTTTAGGTACAGCAATACTGTTTTGGTTCAAATATAACCATTTCTAAAAGTTACTGTGGTGGGTACTAGTAAGTAACTAAAAATGTGCTTAAAAAAGCATTGAAATATTAGTAGTTTATTTGCACATTATTTTGTCTAATACTGCAGATTTTGACAGACAAATGTATACTATATTTAAATTAATTTCAAAATCTTCAGATACTACACTATTAAGGTCATGTAATGTATATGCATGTGCAGGCTCATAGGTTCTTAAAAAAGACCACAGTCAATTGATTTGCTATGTCTAAAAGTGAAGACAAACTGTGTGATTTTCAAATATACTGCAGTCTTATGCCTTGTTATTTAATCTTATCTTAGACAATATATGGATCACTTTCTCTTGGGATTGAAAGTACTACCTGAAAGCATTTCTTCTCTATTGCAACTCAGCAAAAGCTAAGACAAAGGATACCGTGTGTGAGTTATTAAGCACCAAGTGAAGGTTAATTCCACACTGAAAAGTAGAGCAAGGCATGCATAATTTCAGATGCTGAGCCTTCATCAGGTGTGAAGTCATTGTGAGTTAATGATCAATTAAGTAATTGCTTTGTTCAATTTAAAGAACTTTGATCTAAATGACTTTAACAAATTACCTGTTTAATTGGTCATGGTGAACACCCAAAGCATTAAGTTTCTTCCTTCTACTATTGACCTATATCTGTTTCACATAGCTCCATGTTAGGCAAACAGTTAACAATCCCTTATGTGAATAATGTGGCCATAAAGGGGATCTGATGAGATCCCAAGATCAACCAATACCTAGCATGAGGGTGTCGATAAATGAAACGCCTCCTTCCTAATCTGAAGACCCTCTAAATCTGTTTCAATACTATGAGCTGCTGACCACCTTCCCTTGATTTTCCTTGCTCAGGACTCCGAGTCGCTCGACGCCTGCATACAGAACACCCTGTCGGCACTCTACCCGCCCTTCAACGCCACCGCTGCCACTGTGCTGTGGCAGCTGTTCAGCGTGGTCGAGAGGTCGTACCGTGGCGACGGGCTCCGCTGCCTGATAGACTTCCTCGTCCCCGCCAAGCGAATACTGCAGGCCATTCAGCAGGAGACCTGCGTAAGTCGAAAACCGTCGGCACAACAGACCCCAGCTTTGTTCTTGGCTCCACAACAGCATGAAAGTGATCTCCCTGATCTTGGGACAGCATTGCTTCAAAGCCTCCTTCTGCAGAGAGTCCCATTGAAACGTAATATTTACTCTGAGGCTTTTAATTGTTGTGAGATATAGTTCTGTGAGCAAACCATGAAACCTCATTCCTTCTTTAGTCCTGTGGATAATGCTCACAGGTAAGCAATACTATAATTGATTTAAGGGAGGTTTAATAGCTCTGTTCACCTGCGAGTATAAAATATTTCAACAGTTCAATAGGGCTTTTTGTATTTAGTAGTACATTGGACCTGACAGTTTTGAAATAAAATTTCTTTGCAAAGTTTTTTGATCTGTAGTCCTTAGGCCTATCCATTGTAAAAAATAAGGCTGCAAGGCAGGTTCTTTCAGTTCTGGTGCACGGGACTCCAGTGTTTCCCAGTTTTTATTCCGGCCTTGTCTTGATTAGTTAACTGAGCATTTATCTGAACTCGCAAATTTAAAATTAAATCTAGCCTAATACATTCCAGGCCCAAAGTATCTGCTTTACAGATCATAGTCACTTACTGCACCTTTGTCATCAAAGAGCAGAGAGGGTGGGCTTGTCCAGGAAGAGCAATCAGAAAAACAGACCAACCAGAATGGTCTCTCTTCCATGTAATTTACAGTCTCTCTTCAAAACATGACAATACATCTGACTTCTTCAAGACTTGACTTCTTGTGGCCAAACCCTGAGGTGTAACAAGGTGTTATTTAATACTTTTTAACCAAGTAAGCACCAGTTACTATCAAGTTGCAAAAAGCACTAGGTGTGGAAAAGGCAACTAACGCAACTGAAACTTTTAAACTTTTTTATACTTAGCTGGAGGTTAATTGTTTTGCCACAGCCTCTTTGAGATTTTCCCATTTTCTGTTCTGGTTCCAACATTTTCTTCGGTGTGTACAGTATTTCGCATGAATATGAAAAATTAATACAACTGGCTACTCTAGAAATGAATATTAATGTCTTTTTTTGTTTTGCTTTTTCCAGGCAAAATTCAAAGGGCTGATTTTCTACCATGAAGGATGGCCTTTGTGTATTCATGAAAAGGTTGTGGTGCAGTTAGCTCCCCTCCACAAGGTTAGACTGAAGCAAGGGGACTTCTACTTTCAGATTGTACCACTGGGGAAGCAGTCGGCAAAGCTGGTCATAAAATGCCTTTCAAGCTGTGTCCAGGCTATTGTGGAGATACCTATTCCAGAAACAATGTATGGGAGTGTCTTCACAACTGAATTCCTGCAAAATGTAACTTGCGAAAAGAGCATTTTCCCACTACAAAACTGTTTGCTGACCACGGGCACTGTTGTTTACAGGACACCTTGGAAAAACATTGTCAACCCATTATTTATCTCCACGCCTGAAACCATAATGCAGAACTGCAATGGCAACTCCTTTTGTGATTCGCAGATAAGCTGCAGCACAGAGGTCATCAGTTTGACAAGTACTATGGAAAGCCAGGGCTCTCTTGACAGTGTTTATTCAGAAAACCCGGATTCGACGGTGGGGGAAGCAATTTTGCACGATTGTCAGAGGAATGGAGGGAATAACAAACCAGCAGAACAAGAAACCAAACAGGACTCCAACACATCAACAAATGAAACGGAGACAGACTTTAAAAACACAGATGTGATTTCATTGTTGTTACCCAGCAATGAAAACAATAATGGAAGAGCAGAGCCAGTTAAGGCCTTGAAATGTGATGAGAAAAGTGGCACTAAGTGCCTTTCCTTCACCCCAGATCTGAGCAACTTAGGCACCAGAAGGAAACAGCTCAGGGATTCTACGCATTTTGAAACAAGACGTCTGTTTCGAAAATCCTACATGGAGGCCTTACAAAATCCAATGAATCTTGGATCTAGCACAGAATCGATATCTGAGGAAGCTGCAGAAAACTGTAGCAGCTCCCTGGCTCAAGATCCCACTGGAAGAATCTCTCAGAACAATGAGTCTGAAAAACACAGCCCAAAACGGGAGCACCTTGCAAAGAGATTCCCTGCTGGTGAACTGTCAAGGGGGGAGACTCATAAACATCACTGTCAAGTTCCCAGACCCCTTACACCACAGGGAGACCCTGCGTTCGGGGAGCACAAACTGGAAGACAAGCGTTCCAAGTCTCTGGAGAGGACGCACAAAACCTCGCAGGTTAAAGGTCACAGGGCACGGTCATCATCCGGGGGGTCAACAAGTCAGTCTCCAAAAAAACTTACAAATGGATATGCCCTTAAACTGAGAAAGCTTGATTTTGAGGGGGTGCTTCCCCACATGGAAAAAAGACAGAATGATGCAAAGGAGGACTTAGGTAAATATCAGCAAAAACGTTTGTATTTCATCCATTTGCTACGCTGGTTTAGATCACAATTCAAAATGGATGTCTGAGCCATTATAATATGAAATACAAAGCATTAAATGAAATTATGCATGACATTTGACAGCAGTGTTCCTAGGTCCCAGCTTGATATTCTCATACCTCAGAAACTAAGCATAAAAACATGAGAATGATTTCAAAAAAGAAGATTAATTTGTCCCATCTAGTCTGTTTGTAGTTAAGAACTTATTGATCCAAGGATCTCATTCGGTTGTTTCTTGAGGGAAGCCAGGGCACTGGCTTCAACAACATGGCTGGGTAGCTACCCTTCACGTAAAGAAGCACCTTTGTTCTGAACATTATCTTCCATGTAGTTTCCACTTGCGTCCACGGGTTCACATTTCTGTGTTCATTCTGAAGCCTGCTGGGTGAACTTTAATTGAGTTGTCAATGCTGTTGAGGATTTTGAATACTTGGTCGGGTCTCCTCATGAAGAAAGTTGTGACCTGCTGAACGTGTGGTGGCACTTTTCCTTCTAAGGAACGAAAAATAAACAATTTATCACTGAAAAGTAGAAAGAGGAAACACAATGTTTTGGCTTTTGAATCTTCTTCAAGTGACACCTGACTCCTGGGGATTTTAGCCCCAGTCTCCTAACTAAATTCCCCTATGGAACTGTACAATCTAGCTTCCGTAAAGATCCTCCTAAATTCAGGTAGTGAAGCATGTCTTACTTCACCTGTTCTGTGGTGCAGTGGGCTACTGGCTCATGCCTGCCCTCATCACCCAAGTGGGGGATTAACTGGGTCTTCTACAAGAAGATTCTTACAGATGAAAAGCGCTACAAAAATGCAAACAATTATTATTATGTGTTATTTAAAATGTAATTGCTTTCCCTAAGAATAAAGAAAATGGGCTTTCATAACATTACACCCATTTACAGAGAATGCAACATCTATACTGCTGAAAGTGTTACTGCAGGGGTTTCATTTTTTATCATCATAAGTTCCCCCAAAATAAGATAGAACACATGTAGAGACAATCCTTAAGAAGTATTTCTTGTTAGGCAAGGTTGCATTAGATCAAATGATATGACCTAAGGGTCAAAAATCAAATTTCATTTTTAGCTCCCATTGTTTTGTGGTTACATAGATTGTTTGGTTGGGTGCCGCTCCACACTATAATTATTACTCAGAGGGTAAGATGGACTACACCAAGGAATTGGTTTTGAAGAAATTGTGATGGCAGCACATGTAATTCCAGAACATTCTTTTTCATGACCCGTGATAAACATGCAACACTTTTGTGGGCTGATGCAGCAGTAGTCACTGTCCTGCCCTGGAAACTATATCTCATGAGATCAGGCGTGGCCTAATTTACTGTCTCCTTTTTCAAAATACTGTTTTGAAAGCCCCAGGTGTTTTCTGTCAGTCAAGGGAGTTTGGAAAATGACAATAGCCATCCTGCTGCTTTTTGGAGCTCCAGCTTCCGGTAATTGAAAACATGACTATGCGTTATTCATATGTGTCTTCAGTAGTCCTGCCCAGGAAATATGTGTAATTTGGAAGAATCTTTAAATCTGTTTTCCTTTCCACACAGAACAGAACTGACAGCTTTTCTACCTCAGACCTGACAGCTAACACACTAAGAAATGGAATGTAAATACCATAACTTTGGTAAAATGCAAATAAGAGGATGACAGGAAACATTTGCTCTATCTTGAAATTCTGGCTGATAATAGTTTACTGACCCAAACCCATCTAATCACTTGATTGAAGGGTGCTTCAACAAGTAGCTGGGCAGTTTGAACCATCTTTTGTTTTCTACATGGATGCTTGGTTCGTTACTTCAATTCTAATTTTGATGGACTCCATTGCTTTGGTTTTGTGATTTTAGGACTTTAAATATGTCTGCCGCATAGCCTATCACTTCAGGATTAGGGAGATTCAGCTTTATTTGTCCTTTTAATGAGATCTTACTGAACATGCATTCTATGATATAAAACTTTATTAAATTACAAACTTTGTTAAAGTATTTCTACGAGTTTCCCCTTTCATCTTGTTGATAAACCAACAGGTGAATAGAGACTAAAAACACTGTCCTCCTGCCTCAATGTGAGGCTACAGCCCTCTTAAAAGCAAGTCTAGTTCAAGGTAGTTGCATGCCAATGGTGCACTGAAGGGCTAAGCTCTGCCCCAGGGGCTTTGCTCCATTGTTTTGTTACAGATGGAAGATGAAGTACAGCTTTTCCTGCATTTAAAGGTTACCTGTGACATGCTGTACAATGAACAAAGATTTCTGAGACTGTGGACACAAACATTTACAGATATGGACATATGCCTTTGATCAATCAGATTCTAATTTTTATTTCGCCATGAAAAAAGCTAATCAGAGCTGATCATTTGTAGTTACAGTACAGTATAATAACATTTGTGCAGCTAAGTATAGTACAAATTGGAATAGGAAAGCACAATTCTTAACTTAGTATTATGCAGGCTGCTATTAATGTACTGTACATTATGGTTCATGGAAGTATACAAAATGAAAAGCTACAGTATAATATTAATCCAATACTGAATTAATTTGTACATACAGTGTATGACGTTATTCAACACAAATTGTAAGACAATACCCATTTTTGCTCATTTTTGCTCCTGAAAAACTGTTTGGGTAGAATACAGAATACACAGAACAAAGAAGGGGTATGGTTTTGAATAAACCAGAATAAACTATGTTAACTCAGGACAGGAAATGATTTCTGGAAAACAATAGGACTAAGCGGCAACAGTCTCTTGTCCAAGGCAGTAACTGGAATAATAAGTTTCCAGAAGTTTTAAGAGCATAGAATCTGCTTTCTCATGTGGCAGAGTTTACAGGAAGCTTTCCTGGACTAGTAAAGGGCATTTCGCACAACTGCCTGTTCCCTGATCTTTACACTTAACCCATGCTGGGGAAAAAAAGAAAAGAAAAACGTTGGCCATCATCTGCTTGGTTGACCACCAATAACTGACAGATGAAACCTGCGAGCCTATCCCGTGCTTTCATTTTTTCTGAATGTTTCTGTGTCATAAGAGGGACTCTTTAGCTTTTTTGTCTCCTGGCTAGCTTCAGTGCCTTTCAAAACAACTGATCAGTAGGACGTTGTTTTAAAGATGCCATCAAAAGAAAAAAGAAATGTATTCAAATGTCTCACAAAGTTGTGAGCACACATCCAGTTTTGCAGAAAATGGTTTTCCTAAAAGTTTGAAAAAACACTTTAGAAGTAACACCACCTCTTCTGAACACCATCCTCCAAATAACACCTAACTGAGACAACATCTGAAGGCCAAAGTTAGAAACACAATATTCTTTGAATTATCTTCAGCTGCACCTACATCCTGCAACAGAATAGAGACATATTGACACAGTGATGGTACTGATTTTGTCGTATCAGTTAATCAGAACTGAAATCTTCTGCATTGTTAGTTTTTGTTATAACATGTGAACATTACACTAAAAAATGAAGACTTGGAGCCTGAGGCCTGCTTTTTGCTTGGCGTGAGATCCCACACAAAGCCGACTGTCGAACAATTGGTGAAAAAATGTTTTAAAATGTTTTTAAACTCATACAGGTACCCAGGTACAGCATGTTGATACTGTCATGATGCTGGTCTTTCAGGAGGATCACAAAGTTCTTTACAAAAATAAACACAATTGACATATTTTTTCTATTTGGGGTGATTTTTAAGGGTTCTGAAACATGCAGCACTGTACTATATATTGCCATTTCTTTTAACAGCCATCCCTGTTATCCTTTCCTACTTCATAAATGTTTTTAAACGTAGCAGTTACAAGTCCACAGCGCTCAGTTTCTGGTGTCGGATGATGGGAGACTGTTGGGAGACTGTCCCTCTGACGTTAATTGCAGGTGCTTTTCTTCAGGCTTCAATACAATGGAGTAGCCTGAAGTTGGTGTTTTAGCAGGCGGTACAGTCTCATGTTGACAGACAACAGACTGGAAGAAACATCCCAGGCACCAAACCAAGCTGAAACATTGAAAGAGAGTGCAAAAGGCTTTTAACTTACATTTAAAAACTCGTCAGGGTATGAACAAGGCAAAGAAAAATTGCAGGCAGGACACTTTTTTTCTGAACTCTTCCTGCAACTTAAAAAAAAATGAACACACTTCGCATACTTAATCAAAGAAGGTTGAAAATTCCATAAGTGAGACAACAAAAGACCCATTCATTCTTTTAATAACAGCTCACCAGTATTAACCTGAAGCAGGCTATCCTTATTTGAACATAAAGAAGTGGCTGAATGGAATAGGAGTTAAGAAATATGGAATAGCAGTGCAGTGCAAGTCACTTGACCTAACTAATTGGTTCTGTGACGTTCTGGAAATAAAGCTATTTATTACTTAGCTGTCACTATACTAAGTGACCAATATTATTCTGAGCTGAAGAACCTGCTGATATTAAATGGTGTAATATTAAATAAATCATCAATGAGCATTCTTTTACTTGTTATCCAGGTCTTTCTTCTACTATGAGATTTATTGAAGATGCTTTAAGAGAAGTTAAATTAATAAAGTGATAACATTGGATTTGTCAGATGACACAGACTGTCCTAACGCCGAGTGTTAAGAAAAACACTGGTCAGGATCTGTAATAGAACATTGCCATGTTTTAAGAAAACTCGAACCATGGCAGTCCAAATGAAACATTTGTATAATTAGGTTGCTGGAGAAAGAAACAGAATTAGCTGTTGTGAGTCAAACTCAGTGGAAAGATTTTGAGCTTTTACACCATTTCTGTTATCACCATGTTTCTTTTAACTATATACATTAGATTTTAAATTACCTAAACTTTGACCTGTTTTAAAAGAATATGCACAGAGTCATTTTTTTTATCTCAACCCAAACAATAGTTGCCTTGTGCTGCTATTTGAGGGTGTAGTTATTACTCATGCGTGTTTTATAAAACAGTAGGAAATGCCTAATCTTCAGTATAACAAATGGTTTAACCTTTGCAGGATGCTAGAGGTGATACGTAAGCACTGAAACTGTACGTAATTACTCAGAATATGCATTGTGGCAGTGTTGAAGTACTCACAGATTCCCAAAAATGGAACCTCATACATACTGTGTGTGCACTTTAGATAAGGAGAAAAAGAGAAAAAAAACGATAGTAATGAATACTGGCAATGAATACTGGAATCCTGCTTTGCTTCCTGCAAAACCTATTTATTGTTTTCCTTTTTATGCATTTTAGATGTGATTTTATGTTTTATTTGAAAATGTCCTCCTACCTGGAAAGTTTTTGATATATAGGAATGACATTACTGGTGTAATACAGCATAAATACTGTATAAATACAGCATCATATTTGGACTAAACTTTTCAAGTAATAATATTTTGAAGAACAGTCTTTTTTTCTTTTCTCATCAGTTCTCCGTGAGAAAGGTGTAGAAGGGGAACTGGAAAGCAATAGTCACAATGGTGAAGTCAGCCAGACCGCCAGCATTCCGAGCAGGTCTTCCAAAATTGAATGTGCAAACATGACTGTGTTATCAGAAGATGGTCTTTCTCATCTACCTAGAGGGGCATCAGAGATCAATCAGGAGCTTCTCGTTTCTGGAGCAGTCATTTTACCAGGTATGTTAAAGCTGTAAATAATACTGCAGTTTTGCCTTGGCTGTAAATTGAATGTAGATTACAGACTACTACAGTCTGTAATTTATATATTCCTATTCAACTATGTCCAGGATTGTTTGACTTGTGTGCTAACTAAACCTACTCTACACTTGCAAGTAGGCAAACCCTTTGTGAGTTGTATTGGAAAAATTACAGTAGACCTCAAAGGTCTATATCAAGACTGGCATGGTTGAACTCAAGATTATTTCAAGGACGTATTATATGACTATAGTCCAGTTCTTAATCAGAGTGTGATCTGCTGATTCGGGCCTTCTTAGTTAGCAGAAGACCAGGCTCCACAGAAGACCAGGCTTCTTTTGTGCAGCAACAGATTTCTGGACCCATTAGAGACTCTGGCATCACTTTCAAAATTTGCTAGGACCTCCATTTCAGCTGTGTTCTTGTTGCGTGCCAATAATAATAATTATTTGGTTGTTAGTGGTCCATTGAGACCCAATATTGGGAAGGAATAATTAAAGACATGTCTATATTGTTAATTAATGTATTTTAAAGTACATGTATGTGTAAAAACCCAGAGCAGAACTGCCTGACACTCTGCTGTGTTGCTGATGCCCACATGGACAGATGTGTTGGCTGCAATAAGAGCTGACCTGCCAATAGAGGCCTCCAAAGAGCCTCTAACTCCTGTAAATAGTCTCATTAGGTGTTAATTATGTATAAGATTAGTGGTAAAGGGTTGAGGGTGGCTTAGTGGCACTGTGATTAGAATTTCTGCCTCGCAGTGCTGGGGCCCTTGGTTTAATTGCTAGAGTGCTATCTGTGTGGAGTTTGTATGTCCTCCCCATATTTGTTCAGGTTTGTTCTGGGTGCTCCAGTTTCCTCCCACAGCCCAATATCATACTGATCAGTTGATTGGCTTCTGGAAAAATTGTCCATTGGTGTGAGTGCCTGTCTAATAATTGTTGGTCCTGCAATGGACTGGTGTCCTGTCAAGGATGTACCCTGCCTTGTGCCTGTTGCTTGCCGGAATAGGTTCCGGTTCCCTTGCAGCCTTGAATTGGAAGAGGATAAGCTTGAAATAGATGGATGGTAAAGGGTTGAATTCCACATTCTTAAATGGGCTTATGTAGTGGCATTTATTATTTAAAAAGGGCATGCACAGTGCTATTGGTGTGGGTAAAGCAGTCTGGAAAAAGCATTTGGGAGACTGAAAAAAGCTTTATGTTTGGTGAGAAACCTGGATGAGTTCTAATGCAAAGCCTCCTCTTTACTTTGAGGGCCATGATGAGTTTGTGATGGCCATCACATAACACTAATGATAGACACCCTTTCTGTTGATCATGCAGTATGTGGAGGCATCTTGGTGGACTTTTATCAATTCTTTTTTTATTCTATCTCAGGAAATAGAGACCGTAATGGGCATGCAGTTATGCAGGTCTGCACACGAACCAGGATTTGGCTTAATGAAAACTGCACAGCCAAAGAACTATTTCGCTTGATAACGTATTACTACATCACTCTGAGGTAAGGGAACTATGTCTTATTTTTAACTGCAATGTACTGACTGATGTTGGATCACCTCTGTCTGCTGAATGTTTTTTTTTTAATTTGTCATGAGACAGTAGATTTCTGATAACTCATTGAAAGAATTTGTGTTCAGTACCGTCAATTTTTGCTTTGGTTGTTTTTGTGATTGTAATAAAGTCTCACATTGGAAGCCACCTTGTGAGAACCTCAAAAATTAAGTGAAGAACTGCAAGAATAAAAGAGTTACTCTGCTAGAACCATTTCATGCAAAATATTATTTGTTTATGCAGGATAAATTAAACCATTGGCAGGAACACAACATGTGAGGATTTACCAGGCCAGGCTAGGGTTAGTGTTAAAAGAACCATCTAAGTTTGACTCCATTTATACAAATTGAGAGGGCTTACACATTGGAATGGGTTTCTTGACACTTTTAATTGGACTAATTTTGGAATACCATTACAGAAATGTGCAGTGCAAGACAAGCAGCCAAATAAATCAAATAATTAAAGACAAAAAAATTAAAGACAGGAGAAAAGCATCACTCATCCTATAGTTCTCTTATGGCAAAAATACAGCAATTAAGCTAAAAAGTGTCTAAGTATTGTTGGAATCCTAACCCTAGCTGGGGTTCAATCTGAGGAATTCTGTAATGCATCTCAGAAAGCTCTCCATTTCTAAGATTTGAAAATATCCCTCAAACCACAAAATATGGGCCTTAAAATACAAATTCATGGGTAAGACATTTTGAAAATATGTGCTCTTCAATATTTTACCTTCTTTGGGCTTTTGGGCTATGTTTCATTCAGTTGAAAGATGCTGTAAAATGGTATTTACATGAGCCACGGTATGGTTATAGGTTACAAGGACCATCCAATTTTGACTCCATTTGTACTTCTGGTTCCACTTGAAATAACACAATTGAGAGAGTTTACACACTTTTAATTTGACTCACTTTTGGAATACCATGTGCAGAGCAATAGAAGCAGCCAAATATATCCGAACAAACAAATTAAACGTTAGAAATTATCACTTTTCCTAATGTTCCCTTGTGCCAATGAATACAGCAATGATGCTAAAATGTGTCTAAGTACTGTTGGAATTCTAATCCATGGTTTAATCTGAGGAATTCTGTAATCCGTCTCAGAAAGCCCTTCATTTCTGAGATTTGAAAATGTCACTCAAACCATAAAATATGGGCCTTAGACATGCAGATCCATGCTAATAACCTTAAGAAAATGTATCGTCTTCGATATTGTACCTTCTTTAGGGTATTTTGCAAACAGTGGAAAAATGCTGTTAAAATGGTATTTACAGAGTATGCTTACCAGGCCAGGATAGGGTTAAGGTTAGAAGAACCAACCAATTTTGACTTCATTTATACTTTGGGTTCCATTTGAAATGAGAAAATTGAGAGAGTTGATACAATAGAATGGGTTTTCTTAACACTATTTAATTTGACTCAGTTTTGGAATACCATCCTTGAAATATGCAGTGCAATACAGCTGCTAAATACACTATAGATCAGAACAAAAAAAAAAGATGTTAGAAAAGAATTTACTCTTCCAAAAATTCACTTGTGCCCAAGTACTGTTGGAGTCTTAACCCTAACCCTAGCTGCGGTTCTATCAAAGGAATTTTGTAATCCATCTCAGAAAGCCCTCCATTTGATAGATTTCAAAATGTCTCCTAAACCGCAAAATATAGGCCTTAAACATGCAAATCCACACATTAGACTTTTAGCAAATGTATCCTCAAATATTGTACCTTCTTTAGGCTATTTTTCTTTCAGCTGAAACATGCTATTAAAATGGTATTTACACGTGTATATGCCAAGCTAGGATTAGGGTTGCAAGAATCATCCAATTTTGACTCCATTGATTCTTCTGGTTCTATTTGAAATGACAAAATTAAGAGAGTTACACAATAGAATGGGTTTTTTTAACACTTTTAATTTGACTCACTTTTGGAATATCATGTGCAGAGCAACACAAGCAGCGAAATATACCAGAACAAAAAAATTAAAGATGGAAGAAAAATATTGCTCTTCCTATAGTTCTCTTGTGGCAAGAAATACAGCAATGATGCTAAAAAGTTTCAAAGTATTGTTGGAATCCTAACCCAAACCCTAGCTGGGGTTTAATCTAAGGAATTCTGTAATCTGTCTCAGAAAGCCCTCCATTTCTGAGTTTTGAAAATTTCCCTCAAACCACAAAATATGGGCCTTAAAGATGAAAATTCATGCATAAAACCTTTTGAAAATGTCTCCTCTTTAATATTGTATCTTAGGCTATTTTTCATTTAGTTGAAATATGCTGTTAAAATGGTATTTGCTGTAGGATCTTGCTGAAGGATTTTTATGGTCTGATGTTTTTTGAACAATACATGAAGAGCTCATATAATGTAGGAATGCTTCCTTTGACAAATAACTCCAAAATGTGTTCATAATTATACAAAAATATTTACAAGCAACAGGTCTCAGACATCCCACCATGCCAGAAGACCAGATTCATAGTTCATTGGCTTTTTGCCCTCGTAGGAGTTTCTATCTTTAGAGGTCACTATACCTTGCCTTTTAATACATTGTGTGAGTGTACCCTAAAATATTGACTTGATTTAATTTAAAGCTCAGTCTTTTAATAATAAAAATTAGAACCTGCATATTTGACACAGCTGTTCAAAGCCTGAAAAGCAACTTGTTTGCAAACCTGTACGATTGGCATATGTACGCTCTGGGATCCAATGAAAACTAATGACAATGAAATGCACTTTGCATTGAACTGTCTGTTCACTTTAGAGACACCTCATCAAAATCTGGACACTTTAAAGAATGCAATTGCTTACTGGTAGAAATACTGTTTTTCCTGCAGATTCAACCTCTGACCTTGCTCATTCTTTTTCACACACAACCCTTCCCACTGCCTCCCTTTAAACATCCCTCTGGCTATGGTTAGTAGCTGGTTGGATTGTAAATGGTACACTGGAAAACACATGGTCACCTAAAAGCAAAGTCCGAATGGTTCTGTCAACAATCATGTTGAACAAGTTTCAGATCAATTGTGGATATTTAAGAAGGCTGGAAGCTAAGTTCTAGTTGAAGTAAAATGCTCTCCTCTGATATCCCCACTTCTTTTTCTTTAACAGAAAAGAGAAGCGTGATTTAGGTCTAACAGTTGTAGTTGATGCCCGAAAGCACCAGCCTATTTCAACCCTTTTCGCAGCACTAACAGAAGTCCAGGTGAGGTTTCAATGCAATATTGCTTCTTCTTTTAAACCTTATTGAAAAAGTACACAGGCTAAAATTAATTAACAGAAGGAGTCAAGGCATACTGAAAGGCAGGAAATGTTTGAAACAATTTTAAACTCTTCCAAACATTTCTAATTTTTGACGTTGATTTTCATTGTGAATTTGTTGGTATATCATTCTTCAATGTTAACTTATGATTTTTTTTTGGAATATGATATTTTCTAAAGATTGTGTGAGACCTTCGCCGAGTCTGCCTCTTAGTCTCTCAACTGGTTTTGTTACATTTCTGAAGAAAGAGTCAGTCTTGGCACTGGCTTGTTCCGACTTGTTGGTAAAACCGCAAGATGTTTGAACACCTACTGTATGAGTCATCAACATAACAAGTAGAAGTGGCTTTGTTCATATTTCATCATACTTTAAGTACATTCTTTTACTGCAAGAATGTAGGGGATCCTTCAATGTTCTATTTTCAGAATTTTGCAGTTTGGGATTCCCTTTGGAAGAAAGGGGCAGACCATTGACACCTACCTGTCAATCAAGTCCAACAATTTTCATTTTCCAAAAAGGAAATAGACAGCTTCTATGGGCATTTGAATAATGCAATTTTACAATGGGATAATGTTTATATGCTATATATTGTATAGTCGCCGATCATTTTATATTATACATAACATTTCCTGAAGACTTCGATGTTGTTTATATGATACTGTACCTTCATCACTTCCCATATGAACAATTATTTACTGCTTTTCTCTCTCAATTAAACGTAAATGGTGTCTTTTTTCTCCACTGATATCTCCTCCTTCTGTGCTCTTTTTCTTTTCTTTTTTATGCTGCCTCAAAGACTTCGCTGCCAAATGCACTTTATTCTGTTCTACTGCTTGTGGACAAAGATACAACATGCAAACCTGAAAGAGACACAACTGTACAGGTAATGATTTCCAATAATACCAGAAGCTTTTGAAAAGTAATCATTAATAATCTAATTAATAATCTTTCATGTGTCTGTAGGAACTGACACATTATAAATAAAACAAATAGAATGTGGACTGTTACAAAACCACAACAACACAACTAAAATGCTGAAACAAATGTGTGTTGAATGCATTTATCCCAATAAGGCTAAGCTAAGTTTGTACTCCGGGACCTAACTTGATGGCCTCCATACACAGCAAAAACCTTAAACGTTGATAGAATTAAATGATCTTGTTGAACAAAAGAGGAGCAGGAAAAGCATGCTATATTTTCTCCTTCCACAGTACGAACCGCTAACGTCCCTGAAGACACTGTACAAACACATAGATTCCAGTCAGCTCACCAGAGAGTTTGATGGGACTTTTCTCTATGATCACAATCAGTGGATACAGTTCAGAAGGGTAGGTGTAATTTACTGTATGTAGGTATGTCTGTTTTTCTCTTTACTAGGTTAAAGGTTCATCAGGGTTTGACCATGTTATTTTAAGGGGATGTGCTCAGCGCTGCATGCTTTTGGAGGGTGATTCTTTGTCACAAACATATATTACTGCCTCTGAGCCTGAGCAAAGAAGATAGGCTGTATTGAAATTGAGACTGCAATTCGTAATGAGTATTCACAAGCGTTGGCGAAGCTTACTTTGAAAAATTATTCTGTTACAGCTACAAGTTACTTGTATAAGACTTTACTTTTTAAAACTAACAGGACAATGGGGAAAATTTATTTTAAAATGTCAACAGTTAAAGTGACCTACAGTATTAATAATTTCAGCTGCAATGCAAGTAATACATTTCCTCTTAGAAGCTGCCCCCCCCCAACTTCCCATGAAAAAAATAATCGCCTACACAGGTAGTTTGTAACTGTAATGGATTACTTTTTAAGTAACTTTTCCACCACCGCTTAACCAATATAGGCTTTTCACATGTACTGTAGCATTCTTTTGGTGTTGAGCAGACATCTGTTGAGCAGAAACAAAGATTATAAAATCTTTGTACATCTGTCATTTCATCTGCTTGTTCTTGTTAGACTGGTATTTGTCAAAAGAGCTAATGTTTCCAGTGCATATAGCTTCTTGGAAATGTGAATAGGAGCTGTCACTTTTAAAAATGAGGTCCTCAACCAGACAGAGTACTCTGCTTTTGGTGGCAAGATAATACTTCAGAAGTCACTCAATTCCTCAAAAGGTTTTCACCCCTGCCCTGTCACGGGACACTATTTTGTTCAGCGTTTACTGAAATGTGATCCCCATTAGATTACAATGGTCTAAGATCCTTGGTTTTATATATTGCCAAAGAGTTTACGCAGCCATTTATTAATTAAAGGACCAAACAAAAGAACATGTATGAAGGCAAATCACGGACAATCCAAAAGCAGGCCATCTACATCTGAGCTAGCCAGTACAAAAAATACCAGGCTGTAATCTTTCATAATATTTAATTTTATTAATTGTTTTCTGAATTGCAGAAAATTGAGCCCTTTGCAAGCAGCTGTAATGCTGCCATCTCCACCCTTCAGAGCTCCATCTCAACCCTGAGCTCACACAGTCCTCTCTCCACTGCCCAGGTCAGCCAACTCCATATGTCTGAATACCACTTACTATCCTCAGCTTGCTCCTGAAGAAGACTGAGCATAGTCAGGTTCATTTGTTCCCTGCCAACCATTAACAAATAAATGTATATAGAACATGTATAAACAGTAGACATTTTAACAAGTGAAAGTGAATGCCGTGCTAAATGTTTCTGTTGTTGACCCTTCTTCAGGTGTGACGCATTGATTCTTGGCACGGTATTATCCTTTACTGGTTCCTTTGGCACCAATGCATGCTGACCCAGCTCCCCACTCAATCATATGCATATTTTAATGCTGGAAAAATCAAAACTAATTACAAGTGCTTTAGAAAAAGTTTGGCAATCATGTTTGTTTTTCAGTCTTTAATGTAAAACATACTTTTGTATACATCCAGTGCCTTAAAACACGCTCAGTCCCTTTCAATGATGGTTTAATTACACACTTAACTTTTTAATCAGAACTTCAATGTTCAAATTGAACACTTAGCGGGTGCAAGAATTTAAATGTCAGCAGAACATGCAAAGACAAACCAAAAACCAAACAATGTTGACAGAAGTAATTTTCTGAGTACAACAGTGGAAAATAATCAATGGCTGTTTTAGGAAGTTGCAGAGGTGATCAGCAGACACAGACTCCTCATGAAGAATGTCCTGGATGACAGGCACTTGATCCGGCTCCGACTACAGGGAGGAACCATCCTGGCCAGAATCAAGAAAGAGGAGTGCTGTGAAAGTGAGAATCACAGGTGGGAGACAGCAGAATATAAGGAAGATTGCAAACAAGTGGAGGTTGCTCAGCCTGTTTAGCACACTTAGTTGCTAGTGGTGGATTGATCTGACGATCACACCCATGCGTTTTACATTCATAATATTTATTCATCTCGTAGACGCCATTAGCCAAAGTGACCTACAGTACTCTCACATCTGTTCACTTCTTGAAAAAAGCATGGGTGTTGTCTTTGACAACATTGGCCGAGTAGCTTGTTACACGCTCCTACAACTCCTTTGTGCATTTGAACAATTGCATGTTGTTATTGCACATTAATGCTGTATATGTGCCCCTGTCAGAAACACATCACTATGTGTACAAACATATCAAGTTGTTTAAAAATATTTTTAATCAGCAAATAACAGCTGAATAACATCCATGCCATTTCAGTAAAGAACATTTTGTATTTCTCTTATTGTAATCATTGATTTGAATTTAGTGGATGAGTAAAGTAATTAATCGCTTGCAACAATTAAATAGTAGATTAAATGCTCAACTTAATTTATTACATTTTAGGGGCATCTTTGAATCTCTGTTCCATCTCACATTAATCCAGGGAATATGGGCTCCAGTTGCCACAAATTTTCCCAATCATCAAAGTTCAAATTTGGTTAATAGATTAAGAAACTTTGAAAGACATATAGTGAATCTGTAACATGAGTATTTTATCATTGGAGAGTTTTTATTCATTTACAGTATAACCATGTTCTTGTTGCGGGCTTTCTGTGCCTCGACTCAAGATGCCTCTGTATGAATTTCCATTTGCAGGGTGGATTGGAGTTTTAATTAAAATTCTATGTTACTCTTCTCCAATCACAAAGCAGCAGCTCCTTTCCCCAGTGCCAAACAGTAGATGGCTGAATTTTAAAGCATAGCCTTTCATCTTGTAGTTTAAACTATGAGTCCCAGTTACAATTGTTTGGAAACTGGCTGCCATTTTGGATTTTAATTAGCATTGTAATGGCTGCCACCAACACACCCCAAGAACCTTAAAGAATCAAAAAGCCATTTAAGAGTCTACACTCCTTCACAGTCATGTTAGGTGGTTTTGAATGCCCAGGACTGGTTATATTTTTCTAGCTGGCCCAGACGCTCCAAGATAGCTCACTGGTGAGACTTCAGCTGCTGTTTTTCTTAGCTGGAAACAGCAAGAGAATTGTCAGCTCCCTAGCTTATATGGTAATGTTACTATATAAAAATACATTGCACTGACCTTCGAAAACTGCATTCCTATCATCCACTACATTATTACCTAGGTTTGTGGTATGCAGTGTGGTATAATTATGAGGAATAATCACCATATATTTTCGAAGAGGGAGCTCTTGCTCGTCAAACTTGTTTGAATTCTGCCAGCAGTTTACTACAAAAGAGAAAGGCTGACGCACAACATTTTTGTAGAGATGTGATAATTGTAGATCCTTTAGTACATTATGTCACTGGGCGTCTCCAAGACAGCATTTTGCAGAAGATCTTGGAAAGACCTAAACAAATGCAATCACTAAGAGACGGATGTTCCCATAGACAGCTGGATGTAAATTTAGGGAAGGTAGTTTCAGATAACACGTTTAATCTTCCCTACATTACACAATTTTAGAGTACTCCAACATTAATGTATCACATTATTTGTCCTAAATCACTAAAGCAAGACAATTGTCCTTAGAATATTGTATCTGGGACTGTACAATGTATTTAACTTAATTTATGGATGATAACTAATGAGTCTCATTTGTCTAAATTTTGGTGTTTACAGGGATGCCATTGATATGGTTACTGCGTTGTACAATCAGGTGGATGAAGAAGTTCATAAGCTAGTAATTTTGTCCAACAAGTCTCTGAAACAGTTGGAGAGTCTCTTGGAGATGCGTAGGTTTGAAGAAGGAAGTAACCAGGTAGGACACTGACAACTCTACGGTTAAGATATTCAAAAACAGATGAATGTAAAGTGAAGCTTTTTACACTTGCCAGCCAAAATATGAGGAACAACTGGTCTGAGGTATAGACCCTCTCAGTGACAGGCAATGAGTGGTTGACTTTAGGGACATGAGGAAGACTTCTGTCACCTTCCCCTGGTCAGAAATGTCCACAGACCTCAATTCTGCTGAGAACCAGTAAAACAAATTGATGTTATCTCCCACACATCATTACTCTAATCACAACATCAAGTGTAGGAGATCCTGTTGGAACACTCTGTTAAGACTAGACTTTCAGACAAGATACATATTACATCCTATTCCACCTGCTCTCTCTACTTGCAGAGCCCCATCACAGTATTCAGTGGGGGTTCCCAATACTATGGCTGGTGAGTTTATAAGCCCCTCTATAATAACTTCTTTCATGTTAGTTTCATGGCTGATTTTCATCCTGATGTCAAAAATTCAGAAGGAAGCATCCCCGTTTCAAAAGCATTAGAAGTACAGTATATTCTGAGGCAAAGGACAGGGAGCATTAGTTTGAAATTGAAGGCATAGGTTTTTGAAATGATGATGATTTTGTTTGGAAGTTACTGTGAACTCTCCCTAAAATCAGCAAAGTCAATGTGAGCTAAATTTTGTTTTTTTTCTCTACAGATAAAATTGTGGTTTTCTGTGGAGGGAGAGAAGTACCTCGCTCCCCTGGATTCTATGACTATGTCTTTAGCTGGTCTGAAGCAGATGCGACAGTGCTTAGCAATGTTTCTCGAGGAGTCTGCAGTATGTATCTATGGTGGAAAAACTGCTTTTTTAAACATACTCCTGTATTATCCTTATTTAACATCATCCCTGAACATTTGTATTTGTGTGTACAAAGATTAATTGCACCCTGTTTCCACAGCAACATCAGAAAAGGGGGATGCAGCTCATCAAGGAGTCCAAAGGCATCGCTAACACCTCCCTTTTCAAAGATGCTCACCTGGAACAAAAGGTGCAGGACTTTAAGCTGCACTTGTACAACACCATTGGCAGAATCGAGAGGCGAAGGACTGAGCTGGAAATATTGGTCAATCTGTATGAGTTTTATGATACGGTAATTTTTTTAATGTCTTGATTCACTTTTTGAGTGTCATTTTTGTAGTGTTAGGTTGGCCATAAGAAGTCACACTGTGTAAAATGTTCTAAATCATAAATGCATTCAAATCCAATAAGCCATTGATGTCTGTTAAGAATTTCAAGTCTCTTATTGTGGTTGCTGCAGCTTTGAGTGGCTTATTGTGGTAACAGTTCCATCCTGGCTAATTAGCCTTAATTTTTCTGTTTAGCATAGGAGCAGAGTTGTTGCCCATACTGTATACTGTATGTTCAGTCAGGAAACAGTGTTATTTGTGTAGTCTTAGCTAATCTGCAGAAAGCATCAGTTTGTATGATGGAAGAAATGCCCACTTCTTTGATGTTCAAGATAAATATTTTGCTGAGGCCTTGATATACTACATACTGTATCTAATACTATGAGAATATGTGAGAACATTCCTCTAACTTGGGTGTATGACATTATATGATGATGTAATAACTCATTTTTACAGACAAAAACATAATGTTAGTGTACTAATTCTGTCTAATATACAACTTAAACCTAAATAATTGCAGGGTAATACGATTGAGGCAGGAGAATTTATCACAATGAAGGCTTTGATTAACTTTGCATTGATATATTACTTTTCAAAAAATGTTTTCTTCTCTTTTTCCTTAAACCTTCTTTCCAATCCAATCTCAGGAGTTATCTGCCTGCTGCCCTCACATTGTTTGGCTGTTGGTAACTGGAGTTACTCTGTTTTTCTAGGCTGACCAATGGGTGGAACACTGCAATGAATACTTTAGGCAACTGAATGTGGAAGACAGCACTCCCAGGCTCTCTCCAGCAGAGATTCAGATCCTGCAGGACTATCACCGCGAGGCTAAAAAGTTCTCGCCAGAGAATTTCCACACTCTAAATGAAATGGTGTTGAATCTCAACAGCCCCAGCAAGCTGAAGGAGTGGAACAGCCACTGGATGAAATGTCAGCAAACCAGACAGCATCTAGAAGAAGTCTTAGCTAGAGCCACAACGACACCCAAAAGCTGTGGGCTGACATCGCCAGCTGACTCCAAAACAGCTGAAGGAAAAATGGGAGTCAGGCAGCCTTCATGTCGACGTGTCAGTGACAGTTGCATAAACCCCACGCAGACTCAGGAGTCCAGAAAAATGAGTCCTCACGGGCGCGAGGATGTCCCATTCTCTAAAAGCCACTCTTTGTTTCTGGCCCCCTTTCAAGCTGGGTCCGAGCAAAGCGGGCCGAGCCCGGCTGTGCTTGACGACACCGATAGCGACTGCACTGTGGACTCCTCTGCCTCCTGCTGGTCGGAACCCGTGTGCTCCCCAGTGGCGCGGCACAGGAAGCAGCCGTTGAAAAAGATGATGAAGAAAAACGTCGGCCACGACGCTTCCTCGAGGGAGAGTAGCCACGGGTACACGGGTGTCTACATTAGGGGGCTGGAAGTGGCCAATAACGTGGCCCCAGAAAAAAAGCTGCAAAGGCCTGACGTGAAAAGCCCGCAGCTGTGCCGGAGCCGCAGCCTGTCCTCCCCTCCCAGAATGCACAGCAGACGCTCTGACGGAGACGTCAGAAAGCAGAGCAGGTACAAGCTCTGTAATTTCCCTTTCTCAGTTCGAAAATCTGGCTGTGAGGGCTTCTCCTTCATTGAAAAGAAGCTGGAAGTGCTCTTACTAACTGAAAACTGATTTGTTTTGAATTTTCTGTCTGGAAGTGACTTAGAAATATCAGGAGAACAAATGCTATTTTTAGAAATAGCACCCTCACAAATATCAAGGACAAGAGATAAGCCATAATAATAAGCCATAAATAATTGTAACATCGTGTTATCAATTTATTTCCTTTTGAATTTTTTTCATCAAAACCAAATGTAGAACAATGTATTGTACAAGAATACTTATATACATGACTGCATGCTCTATGATGTGACCATGATTTTGGTGTTTTAAAACAGCAAAATGCAGCACATTATGGATGAAATGATTTCCACGGAGAGGGAATATGTTCGATCACTTGGTTATATAATTGAAAACTATTTTCCGGAGATGGAAAGGATAGACCTGCCCCAGGATTTAAGAGGAAAGCGCAACATCATCTTTGGAAATATGGAGAAACTGTATGATTTTCACAGTCAGTATTTTCTCAAAGAACTGGAGCACTGTGTGGAGTCCCCGCTGTCCGTCAGCTGCTGTTTCCTTCGACACGTAAGTTTCTCAACTGTGCTTACAAGCTATTATTCACGTATGCTGTAGGTGTATTTCTAAATCTAGTTCCTTATTTACGATGAGCATAACAAAATGGAAATTGAAAAACATCCAATTTTATGATAGAAAACACCTTTTTCTTTGAAGGAGGAACAATTTGGGATGTATGCTTTGTACAGCAAGAACAAGCCACAATCAGATGCTCTGTTAGCCAGTCATGGCAACGGCTTCTTTAAGGTGAGTCCAAATTCGTAAGCTTCATCTTGGCCAGTCTCCTAATGTGATGTGAAATGTAATCCCACAGTGCATCAGGTGTCACTCTACGAGTCCAAATAATACTTTTTACAACGTTTAACTGAAATATGTCTTTATTGGCAAGCTGAGCTTGAAGCCGCTACTAATAAAAATATGTACATCATCTACTTCTTTTGTAAACAAAAAGGGAAAACAAAAATTAAATTAATAAATACAGTTCAAAGCATGAAATTTAAATCAATGTTATGTTCAAATTGTATAATGCACCACTAAGACTTAATATCGACTGTTATGTACAATTTGCCCACTACACGTTCACAAAAAGATAGTGCTGCTCACAAATCATTCCAGACAAGATTGTCCATAAACATTCCTGGACTTTTTAGCTGAAAGTGTGAATAAATAGCAGAAGAAATGTGATCATACAGATAACAACACCCTTAGAAACATGATTCAAGTCAATAAAATCCTATCACCAGAAGGAAGGCCATGGCTTTGTAGAAGCCAGAACTGCATTGCAAATATTCAACCTTGAGCAGACTGGTCAGTTTTTCATTTTGTTTCTAATCCTCCATCTGCTATTGTTTCTAGAACAAGCAGCTGGAGCTGGGAGATAGAATGGACCTGGCCTCCTATCTGCTGAAGCCTATCCAGAGGATGAGCAAGTACGCGCTGCTCCTGAAGGACATGATCAAGGAGTGCAGCAAATCTCAGGACCAGGAGCTCACTGACCTGCGGGCTGCCGAGGAGATGGTCAAGTTCCAGCTGCGCCATGGCAACGACCTGCTGGCCATGGATGCCATTCGAGGCTGCGATGTGAGGCCAACTATGTTAATCAGTATGAGTACGGGAGAGGAGAGGTGTGGAGGGGGTGGACTGCTGTGGGTTATCTGGAGAGCTCTGGAGACATATATACAGATATATAATCTTTATTTTTTAATAATAAAAAAACATATGTAACACACCCTTTCAAGAGAGGGCTAGACAAATGCGCAGAAATACATGCAATAGAAGCTCACAGCTCTTGGGTCCTGGGTTTGATTCTGGTGGTTCCCATCTGGAGTTTACATGTTCTGCCCATGTTTAAGATAGCATCTGCTAGGTGCAGCATTTCCCTCCCACCATCCAAAGAAATGCAGGCTAGATCAATTGGGGCAACTAAATTTTCCCTGTTTGTGTGCATGGGTGTCTTGCAATGGACAAGGGGGTTGTCTGGCCTCGGGCACTTTACTTCACAAACCAGCTCTGGGTCAATACAAACCTTGCTTGGAATGAGCAGCTTTCAGCAAAAGGATAGATAGTTTCCTAAAGACAGATGCCAAATGCGGTCTTCTATCATGAACTGGGGATATACATTTTTTAATAGTTACTGCAAAACAAGCCAAGAGACCAGATTGCCTTGAAATCTACATGCTACACAAGTGTTATTTAACACTTGTTAAATAAGTAATAGTGTAATAATGTAATAGTGAGGGACAGATTTTGAGACTAGTAAAATAAATCTAGACAGCCTGATCCTGATGTAAGAACCAACACTACAAGAATATTTGACGTTCTTCTCTTACGCCAAGGTCTTCTAAAAGCCGTAGATGTGTATGGTTTCTCCTCACCCTCAGAAGTCAGCTTTATAATGGGATCCTGTATCCCAAGGCCTGGCAGAAGTTGTGAGTCTGCAGTGCTGACTGTAACAAACAGTTCTTTCCGGACCCTATGCAGACGACACAATCCGACGAAGTGGGGGAACACTGGGGAAACGTCATGCGGGAAAATGGGCTTAAAGACAGGGGGGCGTGTCCAAGGTGCGCTGGTGCACGGGGGAGGTGTGGCCGAGGCGAACAATCCAAAAGAGTAGTCCTAGGGAATATCCAAAACGCAAGAGTAGAGTCCAAAACCAGGAGATCCATCAGAACAAAGAATTAAAAACCACGAAGGCCGGGTCGGAACCGGCGGACGGGGAACAGGAACGGGAACGGGAACGGGAACGGGAACAGAGGTTAAAACCTTAACGGGACCAGGCGCTTCCAGGTCCCGGACTCGCACGATATGGAAATACGATGCAGAGCCCGGATGAGCGTCAGCGCCTGGCTTTTAAGGTGGGCTGGGAATAGGGAGCAGGTGCATAGAATAAAGTTTCACGTGAACGGGCTGGAGCACCCTTAAGGAGGGGGGAACTATAATCGTGACACTGACGAGTTCTTCCTTTCGTTCCAGGTGAATCTGAAAGAACAAGGGCAGCTGCGGTGCCAGGATGAGTTTATTGTCTGGTGCGGACGCAGGAAGTACCTCCGGCACGTCTTCCTTTTCGAGGACCTCATTCTGTTCAGCAAAACTAAAAAGATTGATGGGGGATATGACATCTACATTTACAAACAGTCCTACAAGGTACAGGACAACAGAAAGTAAAGCTTCGGTGCAACAGTCTTCTGACAATGTAGTGTGAGACTTTCTTGATGATATTAATGGACAAGTCCAGATGGAGGTCAGCGTTCAAGGCAAAAGTGCAACCGAATTGCTAGAAATATTATTAACAACTGACAGAGGTTCAGAGCTGGTCTTACATGCTACCGATGAAAATATGAATACAGACAGAAGTGACTCCTTTCACAGACAGAAAAGAGTGACCTTTGACCCTAACGTGCAGAGAACAGTACAGCACTGTGAAAACGCAGACTTGTTTTCCCTGTCTTGCGTCTCTTCTCCATTATTTAGTAGCTGTTCTTGGTGAAGCTGAATTTGGTGTCTTTGTTCATCTCAGAATTCACATATGAGACAAAATAAATACTTTGGGTCACTTTTTGAGAAGTCATCCGTTCTCACACACCAAAAGTTTGTCCTTTTGTTCAGCAGTTTTTTGTTAATTTTTAGGCTTTTTAGGTGAGCCAGTCATTTTTAGTACTTCTCACTCCTTTCATGTCTTCAATCATTTGTCCATTTTGCAGTTCTTTGACATTCTATTAGTAGTTACTTAGATTAGTAGCTGTCTGATATTATTGTCCAAAGTGAATTACCTTGATATCCAATTAGCTGTGCATTTTCTTGGGGTGATTAGTTTAAATCAACTTGCTCAAGGCTAGAACAGCAGAATAATAAGAATAGTCCTTACATTTACATAGCGCTTTTCTGGACACTCCTCTCAAAGTGCTTTACAGGTAGTGGGGTCTCCCCTCCACCACCACTAATGAGCAGCCCCACGTGGATGATGCGACGACAGCCATAGTGCACCAGAACGCTCACCACACACCAGCTATTAGTGGGGATGAGAGCAGAGTGATGAAGACAATTCATAGAGGGGGATTATTAGGAGGCCATGGTTGGTAAAGCCCAGGGGAAATCTCTCCAGAACACTGGTGGTAACACCCCTATGCTTTTCAAGAGACAGCCTGGGATTGTAATGACCACTGAGAATCATGATCTCAGTTTTATGACTCATACAATTTTTTTTACAGTTTAGTGTCCCCATCACTATATCAGAGCATTAGGCCAAACAGACCACAGGATGGGTGCCCTCTGCTGGTCCCACTAACATCTCTCCCAGCAGCAACCTTAGTTTTTTCCAGGAGGTCTCCCATCCAGGTATTGGCCAGGTTCAACCTGCATAGCTTCAATGGGCTCCAATTTTTGAGTTACAGGGTGATATAGCTGCTGGCTAAACCCACTTGAAGCAGGACCCAACTCAAGCCCTATCACTATTCATGGACATAATGTTTTGCAGACTGCAGAAATCGGAATGACCGAAAATGTGGGCGACAGTGGGCTCCGGTTTGAAATCTGGTTTCGACGTAGGAAATCGCAGGATACCTTCATCCTTCAAGCCAGCTCAGCGGAGGTGAAGGCAGCTTGGACAAACATAATAGGAAAAATTCTGTGGAGACAAGCACTGCGTAACAGAGGTAAATATCTATTTTTGGAACCTCGATCAAAAACCTTTTGAAATTATAAAAAGACAATTATAATAACCTGATTCATGCTGTGCACATGTATATATTATTTTATTATTATCATTTTGTTTTGTAGAGCTGCGAATGCAGGAGATGGTCTCAATGGGAATAGGCAATAAGCCTTTTATGGACATTAAGCCCAGCGATGCTGCAATAAGTGACAGAGCAATAGATTATATCATGAAGGGAACAGGTAAGTTAACTGTTAGGCAAGAACTGTGTTTCTTAACTGTTTTAGCTTTTCAAAGTCTTAGCTATCTTTAACTGTAAGCACTGATTGCCCCTGCAATTAGACAAAATGCCCAAAGAATTGTGTTCATTCCACATATTTGTGCTCTTTTTATATGTGGTTTGTTGATCACTTCAAAGTTAAGTAAAAAAAATATCCCTTTGAATTTCATTTTTTTGTTTTCTTTGTTCTGGAGCTTCAGTACAGAATCCTGGGCAGTATGCAGTTACTTATTTATTTAACCAAAGAAACCTGAACTAGGCTGGTCGGAGGCTTTTAAAAACATTTTCTGCACATAGATGAAGAAATCTATCCTCTATTGTCTGGCTACAGATAGGTGGCATTGCCTGAACATGCTCAGGTTGCAGGTGTTTCCTGTTTGTATATCTATAACACATTTGAAGTTTTTGATGTTTATACATTGAATATTATTGTGTCTGCACACATACAGAACATCTGTTGCAGTCAATGTAAAATGTGTTAGCTATTGAATACACTGCCGAGGTCCCCTATATTCACTCCTGGCCCTGGTGTGTCTCTTGATCCGGAGGGGAGTCTGACAACAAGACCACCGCTAGGGGCCGCCAAAGTTAATTATTAAAGACTTTGGAAATACTTCAAAATCTATGTAATGGAATTGTTAATTGTCAGGACTGTTGCGATTTTCCACATGGGATTTGTTTGGCATTTTTATAAAAGGAGTGTCTTTTAGCACATACATGAAGTTGTAACAAAGGGCTAGTTGTTTTAAAAAAGGTAGATAGAGTTGATGTAATGTTTATTAGTATCTGTTTTATTTTGGAGCTGTTCTTACTCATGTTTTAATGTCTGATGAAGCTAGCATTTAGCCCTAACTGTTGTTTCATGTCAGGTGGTTATGTTAGAGTGGTTGATGCAAGCAGGCTTTCTGGTACTAAACATGGGGATGTATCACACATGCATTTAAGAAATTCACAATAAATAAATTTTGTCTTGCAATGTGTGATACAAAAAATAAAGGTTTTAAAATCATAATGAACATATGTTTTAATGAGTGTACTGTTTTATTATATACAGTAAAAGTTGTTCTATATAAAACCTCTTTGAGAATATGCACCTGACAAAATGACACCAACTGCGTGTGAATAAGGCCTCCGATTAAGTGTTTTATAAAAGTAACAATGATATGAACCAATCATGTTCAAAGAATAAAGACCTGAAATCCATGTCACTGATTAGACATGTATTCAATCTTAAATTATACAATACATCTGAGAAACGAGAAATCTAATATTATACCTCCATAATGAATGATCGGAATGACAATCATTTCATGCTATTATTAACAAGTATTAGTAGCTATTTGGTATTTGTAGTAGCTATTAGTAGCTATTTTCTAACTTGGTATCAGTAGCTAGTATCCATAACCTCAGTGAAACAATACTGAGGTGTTGGAACCCTTTAAAGAGATTTCTCATTCTTTTAAAGATTGTGATGCCATGGGGGTCACTGTCATCACATGGGCATGGAATATAGGCATGTTACAGTACACAGACACACTGGGAAACAGTTTGGCAGATAACTGTGTTTGTATTTGAATTATAAAATATAAAAGTTAAATAATAAACTAAAATAAACCTAGTTCCTATTTGAGCTCCTAACTAACTTTTAATTTCTCTAACTAAATATTGGGGCAACTATTCTGGCACCATCATGTTTATTATTGAATACACTGTTTCAGACAAAAATTAAAATAATGTTTTACCTTACTTGTGTTCTCTTTTAACTTTAACAGGGCCTTTTTTTCTGTTCAATCTCCTCCTCTGATTCTAAGTCTATCTATAGTTTGAATTCTCTCTTCACTTGTTAGGTCTTCCAATAATAAAGGTTCTCTCTCTCTCCAGTCACAGACCTCCCAATAGTTTGTTTTCTCTCTCCTGTCTCAGGTCTTACTGCAGTTTATTTCCTTCCTTCCTGCTCAGGACTTCCTGTGGTCCAATTCATGTCTCCAGTCTCAGGCCATTTTGTAAGATGCTAAAGCAGTCCTAAGCATCTTGAATGCAACAGCCTTCTTTCACTCTGCACTTCTGCCAAGTTAGAGGACACTCACCACCAGCTCATTACTCAATTTATATAGGCTGGAACAGGGCACTCATCTGTTTCCTGTTCCAGCAATTGCAGGGTAATGCTGGCATTCTCTCACAGCCATCTTAGTGATGCCAAAAGTATCAGTAAACGGGATGATTCATCTGAAAAAGTACTGTACTGCTAGGAAAATGCCCCTCGTGGCATCACAACATGTATTTAGCAGTTAACTTTTATCAGTGAAACAATGTGTATACGTACCTTACAAAGGACTACTGAAAGATATAAGTGGCACTCATTTTATCTTATATTTGTTAATGGACTTTCAAGACAAACTACACAGGAACTACACAGTACTTACAGTAGGTACAACCATATAGGAACAAAATCTTCCTTGTAAGATATCCACAGGTATGTTGACTGTGATGTTTGTGTTGGGTTACTGTTTAGATCTGGATCTTTTTAAATTCTGTGTTGATTCCTCCTTTTTTCAGAATCCAGAACTAGAGCCTCTATAGCAGTGTCTTCCTTTGACCACTCCACGCCCTTCAAAAGGCCACACTCTACCATCTCCAACAGCAGCACCTCTTCCTCCAGCAGCCAGTCCTCTTCCTCCATCCTGGGGTCCTTAAACCTGCACATATACCCTTCTCCGTCATATGCTATAGCCAACTGCCCAAGTTTAAATCACTGGTCATACGACATTGGAACATGCATTGAAGAAGATGAGCTGGAGCAGGAAACAGGAAGCCAGCCCTCCATGAGTGAGTGATTATTCAATGGGATTATGATGTCTTTCTTTTGCCTGACACTTAAGCATTTTCTGCTCTCCACTAACCCAGGTTGCTTTCTCTGTCTCTTGGTTTCTCAACAACAGTAACCGAGAGTTCTGAAACGTCCTCTCAGTGCACCTCAAGTGACAGCGTGACTGGTCTGAGTGGTCTGACTCTGGCCAGCCAAGCACAAACTTCTGCTGATACTTTCTCTAGTGAAGGGACCTCCTTCCTGTGTTCATCGCCTCCCTTGCAATCCCCCTCCCCACCACTGTTTCAGCAAAATGAAGATCTCAAACAGCCCAGCAGTCAGTACATCACAGCAGTGAGTATATTTTATCCTTCCAGTTGAATACATCCTTATCTGGCATAGAGCTGCTGAATACCACCTGCCGGAATGCAAACATGTCTGCCTTCTGGAACGGGTGATGGAGGATCTGACCTTTTGTTATTATTATCTGCTGAAAGATGTTAAAACAGTTCTCCCAAGACCACACTTTTTTATGCTGTACTCATACAGATAAATCTGTCCATTACACATACTCTCCTCTCATTATGAGAGGTCATTGGTGTTCATATTTAAACTTCACATAGAACTAACTCATTACAAAAACTAAATGTCCTTTCCTGTGCCCTGTACAACTGTACTATAGTTCAGAATCTCTACCAAGAAAAGAAAAGTGGGCCATGAAGTATTCAAAGACCTCCAAACTAAAATGGAGAATGAGCTTGTCTCTACTTTGTACCATTTTCACCATTCTTGGATATAAGAATGAGATTCTATAACCCCTTCATCTTTAATACTTTATTAAGTTCTTCTGGTTAATACAGCTATTTATGCTATAACGCAATAGTTGTGTTCCTGGAAATCACCAAGAGGATAATATAATACTTAAACATAATCGCAATTTTATAGAAACCATTGGTTCAATGGGAATCAAAGGTATGTTTTCTATAGTAATAGGTCATATTTTAAGTTTGAATGTGTCACGTATGCATAATATGTGTTTTTTGTGATCATTAAAAAAAGAGAAAAGACAGTTTAATAATGACAAAATTCCTCATTGGATGAAGGAGAGGCAACATTTTTCCTAAAAAACATTTTGAACAATGCTCTCTTCTAAACCCAGTAGCAAAAAATAATATCACATGTTGTTGCATTTCTCTCATATCACTTTATAACTTCAAGCTTTTGTTTCAGAGTAATAGTTTCCTTTTCTTTTCAGTTTTTCCACATGCATTAGCTTCATACTCTTGCCATTCATTATAACAGCAATGTTCTTATAAATGTTTTCGAAGAATGAAAATATAGTGGCTGAACGCTGATACACAACTTTGTTGCTGCACTGAGGCTGCCACACAATCTACTCTACTCATGTGACTGATTCCAGTATACTTGAGTGGTATTATAGACAACATGGACCCACTTTATGGGAAAAATGTTCCCTAATCAATCAATCATTTTACAGTCAATTCATGTTATGGAAACTTACATTATTGCAGAAATGACTCTTTATTTGCTACTGTAGGATAACAATTTAAAATCCCAAAGAATCTCACTAATACAGGTTGATGTAGTTTATTGATTCAAGTAACTAACATGCTATTTCATTGTTGTGCATTAGCAGCTAGACCAGAGGTTCCCCAATGTTGGGGGTGGGGACCCCCACACCTGCTGGTTTTCATTCCAACAGAGCTCTCGGTTACTTTATTGAACCTCTAAGTGACCCCCTAATAAGACAGCTACTGGCCCTAACTTGTTTATCTCCTCGCCTTTTTTTACCAGAGCAAGACTTCTCATATTACAATAGGCCTCTCTACAGTGGTCTGACTGAAAGGCTTTGGCTCAGTAAGTAATTGGTTTCATCAGCTTTTTTCTTTCTTCTGAGCCTCACTAATGGCCAAGGACACAACTCCATTCAAAATACTAATTGGTGCACTTGACATGCTTTCATCGGCTATGGCTGCATCCTGCATGACTTTGTTAACGAAGGGGTTTTATTCTGGTAAAGGGGAGCTAGTGATGTACAAGTCACACCACTTTTAAAACATTTATCTCTTCTTATGTTGGTATTAATGTTTTATGAAACTGTCATGTGGAAACCATTCATAGTGAGGTTAATGCCAAGACTGTGTAGCATGGAATTCGAAACAATTGTGGAAAAGTTATCTCTGTGATGGCTGTATGCTGTTTACCCGTGGTGTTAAAATTACAAACTGTTAAAGAAAAATAAAAGACAGAATTGTGCAAGAAGTACTCATTTTAAATACAAGTATACACCAATAATGGGAAATGAATTATATAATGTGAACAATAGCTCAGTGTGGGAGAATGTAGACTTGTCCCCTTGTTCATGTTGTATTCACACATTTAATCTCATTGCTCAATTGTTTTTCCCCTTATATCTGCTGTGTGGGCTTCTGAGCACCTCATACTGTAGAGGCTTTTGTACAGGACACTGGATGAGTCCTACAGTCCTAATGATTGCTAGCTTAGATCCATTAGTCTGTGGTCTCATTGACTGTGTCAGGAGACCCTGGAAGTGGCAAAAAAGCTTTGTTGTTCTACAGCAACACCCTCACTTCCTCCAGGTGGTTTCAGTAATATCTGTAATTGGTTTTATATGGGTTAATTGACAAGTTTTCAGTTGCCTTTGTGAGATCACCATTTCTGAAATGTAATGCAGTAAATCTTTTACTTTCACAGTTATGAAAAGCACCTGTGATGGTTCCTCGTGACGAATAGGAAATTCACAGCTTGAACATGTCAAGAACCACCAAGCTAAAGCTCTTTCCTAGTGGGATTTCTAACATATTGGACTGAAAGACACGTGCAGTGCACATCTTAAAAAATAATAAGAAATGTAAAATTGTTATTATTGTTGTCGTTGAGACTGGTGAACATTTTAAAGAAGATTATTAACTATATTTTGACATTTTTAATTCTGTTATAAATTAAGAATCTAATTTCTATCTCCTACTAAAAACAACCTTCTGGTACGTTATGAAAACTGTATATTGACTTAGTTGCCTAGGTCTTTATTATTGTTCATATGTGTGTTTTTTTATCTCTTTTATAAGGAAACAGAAATAGCACAGGACATATTTTTGCATTATGATTAGTTGACAGCTTTGCAACTAATCCAATAATCCTGCAGTAGAAACTGTATCGTTTATCTGTACAGTGTATTAAATAATATTTAAAAAGGTCTCAAGGTGTGTATTAATGTTGCCAAAGCCTCAAAGAGAATCAGATAATACAAGGAATATTGGTAGATATGTTTGTTCTAATTTGTAAGGCTTCATAGCAGATGTTTTCTCACTTTCGCATTTTATATGACTAGAATTGCATGCTGCTGTGTGTTTATAATAATTATAATAATTGCTTACACTTATATAGCACTCTTCTGGACACCTCACTCAAAGTGCTTTACAGGTAATGGGGACTCCCCTCCACCACCACCACCATAGTGCGCCAGAACGCTCACCACACATCAGCTATCAGTGGGGAGGAGAGCAGAGTAATGAAGCCAATTCATAGATGGGGATTAGTAGGAAGCCATGATTGGTAAGGGCCAATTGGAAATTTGGCCAGGACGCCTGGTTTACACCCCTACTTTTTTCGGGAAACGCCCTGGGATTTTTAATGACCACAGAGAGTCAGGACCTCGGTTTTACGTCTCATCTGAAGGACAGCGCCTTTTTACAGTATAGTGTCCCCGTCACTATATTGGGGCATCAGGACCCACATGGACCGCAGGGTGAGCGCCACCTGCTGGCCCCACTAACACCTCTTCTAGCAGCGACCTTAGTTTTTCCCAGGAGGTCTCCCATCCAGGTACTGACCAGGCTCACACCTGCTTAGCTTCAGTGGGTGGCCAGTTGAGGGTTGCAAAGTTTATTCATGACATGAAATCATATGAAAATGCACCACTTTACGTGGCATTGTGGCACAGTGGTTAGAATTGTGGCCTGGCCCTGGGTTCAATTCCCGGGTAATAGTTAGTGTGTAGTTTGTATGTTCTCCCTGTGCTCATGTTGGTCTCCTCCTGGTGCTCCGGTTTCCTCCCACAGTCCAAAGACCTACTTTGATTGGCTTTTGGGAAAACTGACCCAAGTGTGAGTGTGTGTGTTTGTGTATGTGCGTGCCCCATGATGCACTGGCATCCCATCCAGAGTGTATCCTGCCTTGTGCCAGTAGCTTGCCATGTAAGCCTCTAATGTCCACTATGGTCCTGTGCTGGATGAAATAGTTAAAAACAAGCTGTCACAGCTGTCACATTATATTATATACAGAATGACTGACTTCCAGAGCAATTAGAGAGAGGGTCTTTTTGCACTTCACAGGAAGGTCTCAGTGTCACCATTACGAAGAGTCAGAAATAGAACTCTAACATGTGATCCCTAGTCTGAAATCTTGACACTTAACAGTTTCTAAAAATAATCACACTGCTCCAGGCAATGTGCAGTTAGCTAGCAGCTGATCTGTACTCTCTACATGCAATAGATGCAAATAGAATCACATGGACTGTGGTAAACAATGAAGACCTTAAAATTTCTCTCCGCAGTGAGTTTTGTGCAGAACAGCCAAAATGCCCAGCAGAACCTGCAGTGCATCTCTCACAATCTGTATGGACTACTTTTCAAAGCTAGTTATTTGGAAGAGAAGGCTGATGTCATTCACGATCTTGTTCAGAACTGGCCCTTGACGGAGCTGAATCTAGGAAAACTCCTGGGAAAAACCGTGGATTGCGAAGAGGATTTAACGGGCTGGACCTGCCGTGGTTGCCTGGAAGCCTGTCTGAATGGCTTGAAAGACTATGTTCTTAGCAGTTCTACTACTTATGCTAAGATACTCCGTTCAGTGGACCTCACTGGAATAAAGGATGTCGAACACCAGTTTTGTAAGTGCAAAACATCTTTGGGGAAATGGGCTCGAACGGAGATGGTAGCCAGAATCTGTTATGATTTACTTGTGGCATTGCAGTCTGAGAAAATTCATCTATCAGTGTTTGACATTTCCATTGACATTGCAATGTACATATTTGTGACCAGTCGGAGTTATGAGATTGTGGTACAAGCCCTCTTACTGAGGTGCCACTGTCCCTTGAAGATAAGATGTGTGGGCTTCAGGGCAGACAGCCTGGCTTTGACAAAACTGTTTTACATCATCAAACTTGTTGAGCCCCTTTCGTTGCAGAAGCTCGAGATCGTTCACAATGTCCCCTTAGAAATGACGCACGTGGAGGTGCTGCTCTCACATGTTTCATTTTCGAAACTGAGATCGCTGACTCTTCCAGCCAAGACATTTGATGTTCGCAGGATGGGACCCAATGATGAGGGCGTCTTATCCCATATCGGGGAGCTACTGAGTCATCTCACTCATCTCGTTGAGCTGCAAATTGCGTTTTCAACACTCACTGGTCGAATTCGGAAACTGCTTAGGTAAGATCCCGACTTTCACCTGTTTTCCTTTCTTGATAGTACTGGTGTTTCTCATCATTTCGACACTCCAACGAAAACACAGGATAAGCAATGCAGCCCAGAGAGTCCAGATTTAAACAATGATATAAATGCTGATGTAATAGGAGTAAAGACAGACTTTTACAGCTGTAATCCAGGCAATGAAGCAACCATACAAACTGTGACGTTTTCTCTCTGTTTGCCATGTAATTAAAGCCATTTGAAATTCAGTCAAATCAAAATAAACTTCTTCTGATACTATGCTTCCCATACTAGGTGTATGTGAAGTCCTGAGTCCATTAAGGTAACTCATAGATATCCCCACCAAGCAAGTCTCTTCAATGCTTTGGAAATCCATACTGAGAAATCAATCTGATTGTTTAACAGTTATTTCTAATTGAAGTTTCATTATGTTGTTAAAACATCCAAAACATCTGCAGTATGAACATATGCATGTTCCTGCTTATGACAGAAATGGGAGATGCGAGTTGGGAAAAAAAACAGCGATACAATAATAAGATAATTAGTGTAGAATCCAAATCTTCTTTAACATGATTGAGTCCATGGGCATGCCATCAATTTATTGTGACTGTGAATGCTTTATCCGCTGCAGCTCGGTCTTGAAATTTAACATAGCCTATTATTAAAATAACTCCAGCCAATTGAAGGTCAAGCATAAGCTCTGTTAAAACTGAAGTCTTAAAAAACGGCATTAGTTGAGTTATAGTGAATTGCTAAAATACAGCTTATGAGGTTCACAATGCACAGACATAATTACATACTGCTACAAAAGAAAAATGTACTTTAACACAAAGCATTGGTTTGATGCTTGGTTTTTTCCAGCCCGCTCAACACACCACTTCAGTTGCTGGAGGTCGCCAGCTGTGGGCTGAACCACGCGGACATGGCTTACCTGGCCAACAGCATTCATGCCGAACACCTGGAGAGCCTGGACCTCAGTGGCCATGATGTCACAAGTCTCTTCCCCTCCACTTTCTTCAAGCTCCTGATCCGCGCCTCTCTCACCCTGAAGAGCCTCACTCTGGAGGAGTGCAACATCGAGGACAGCCACGTCAACATGATGATACAGGCCCTGCTGCCGTGCAGGAAGCTGAGGGAGTTCAAGTTCCTGGGTAACCCTCTGAGCTCTCGGGCACTGAGACACCTCTTCACCGTGTTCCCTGATTTCCCTGTCCTCAGATACATTGAGTTCCCGGTGCCTAGGGACTGCTATCCTGACAGTGTGGCCTACCCGCTGGATGAGGCCTCACTGGTTAGATATGATAAAAGGAAGTACGAGGAAATCAGAGCGGAGCTTCTGTTCATTTTGCTCCAGGCAAACCGTGGCGACATTGTGGCAAGTACACCCCTTTTCGGCACGTTTGACCCGGATATTCACGAGACGAGCAGTGAGCTGGGGGTTTTCATGCTGCAGTCCTTCCGGGATGCACTCACCCACTTCATGGAGAGCATTTCACCGCTGGCTGAGGAATGAAGAAAGAATAATAGGAAGTTCCCAGACCTTGGTTTAGACCAAAGGCCCCCCTGTTTTTGTCTCTTTATAGTAGCAGCCCGGGTAGAGGTGGGAGACGTTATTCAACTGGTCCAGTTAAGCCAGTAACGAACTGGTTCAGATCGTTCAGAGCTGAGTTGAGGTGAAAACACGCAGACACACCAGCACTCCAGGACACGGATCGGACATCCCTGTGTTAGAGGCTCACAATACGCATTTCTGACGGCAGGTCTTCAGATGTAAAAGTGAAAAAGACTATTGCGTAAAAACATTGGCATTACACATTTTTGAAAACAGTAACATTTTGTATGCACTGATGACATTATCTGCTACTGCTTTTTTTTGTAAAATGTTTGTGCAAAGTTTCTGTTACATCATGAAATGTTCCATTCATAAAAACCCTATCATACACCTGGGCCAACTGGCACATTGAGATAGGGACTCCGTGCAGACTTGCTTGGGCTGTATCTCCCAGCCCCCGTTGATTTTTCAGTCAGGCACACCCCACATGAGCTCCTTCTTTAATTCCCTGTCTGTTCAGTTTCCAACACTGAGCCAACGCTCAAGCGTTTTTCTTTTTTTCATCGCGGTAAGAGCGCTGAGTAGACCGGGAATCCTTTTTCCCTCCTACCGTCGTTCCCTAAGGCTGCATTTATTCTCCTCCCCAGGATGTCCACCTCAGACACGAAGGGAAACTTCACTTCCCCCCCCATTCCTCAGAGTCCCGCTGAGCTCCTACACTTGGAGCTCGGCTTGCCATTCATCAGCGTCCCTGTACGTCAGGGACAGGATCATAACCTCCTGTGCTTCTGTTATTATTTGAGACACTTTAAGTCAAAGCTTTATCTTCACTGTTGAAAGGAACAGTTTTTTTAGAACAGGAGTCTAAAGCTCAATTCCTGGAGGACTTAGTGTCTTCTGGCTATTATTCCAGCCAGAGCAGTCAATTAAACACTTAACCTAATCATTTTCTTGGACATATACAAAATTTGTCTTAAGATTTTTCACAACCTGTTGCATTCATCAACTTCATTAAATGTTTCCTATAAAACGCCTCAGAGCCTGTTTCACCAACCACATATCAGAGAAATGGAGTGGAACAAATCCCAGCAGACACTAGGCCCTGTTAGCCTTTGGCCTTTTTTCTTGGCATTTGCCTCTTTTCTTGACATTTGTAACAGCCATAATATAATAATCACTTAAGGCAAAAATAAGCGTGTTACAGTATAGTTCTGGGAGGCAAGTACTGTATTACATTAAGTGATTAGTACATCTAGGCAAAAACTTCATGGAGTATTTTTATAGGATTGAACAATTATTACATGAATGGCAACATTTCAATCATATAGTAACAGAATCTGATCATGTTAGGAAGGCTTATTTCTTTGTTAATTCAGGCTTTGGAATTGATATAGTTTATTATTTATCAAACAGAAAAGGAAGAAATATGATTTAATGAGCTTTAGGTTTGATCTGTGTAAGTCTATGTAATCAACAACAAAACTACGGTGATATGTCCAGAGGAGGTGTCTCTGTCAGACTGTCTGAAGACACTTGCTAAGCATTTTTTAATGCTTAAAAATAAGGCATCTACATTGCTATAAAAGGGATGGAATATTATATGTTTTAGTAACCCTATTTTGCATACTTTCCATTGTAGCCATTTCATTAGGTCAAAGAAATTGAACATAATAATTCAAAACATTTTGGCAAACCTCTGAGCTTAGCCTCTGCTGTATTCCTCTTGTAACAGAGCATGTATTGTATGCTCCTTGGCCACCCATGTTTTGAAAAAAAATGCTTTTGTTGTTGTTTTACTTGCTATATTATGTCAATTGTATTTTGTGGTGAAATGGGGAAAGAAGACATGGTACTGAAGTCATCTGGATAAAACTGCCCTCATTAAAAAAGAAAAACCCAAAGAAGGACCATTTTTTCCTCCTCTAAGGTATTTGTTTCTTTGATTTGATTGTGTTAGTCTAAACCTTCAGCAAAAAAAATAGCCTAGTCATTTATCAGAGCTCAAAATGTTTTTTTTTTACATTTATGAAGTATGGTACCTTAGAATTTGGAATTTCAGCACCACCAGCTCTGTAACCTTCAGAGTGAAAACAATTAGAAAAACACTGATTAACACATTATCCAGGTGGTGCTACATATTTGTGGTGGTGATGCGGATTATCTGGGCATTACTTGTAAAGCACATTGAGTTTAGTGTCCAAAAAAAGATCTATATAAGTGTAAGGATTTCTTTCTTTCTTAAATACAAAGAATAAATTGAGAAAGATGTATAAACTGAGGTTGGAAATAGGAATCAGAAACAAATTCAATAATTTTATTTGTAGCAGTTAGTACAGCAAAAAATACAGTGGTTGATATACCAAGCACTGAGCACTCAAATTAAGCAAAGTATTTAACTACAATGATTTTAAGTTGGCGTCATTCTGGAGCCAGGATCTCTTGGGAATGAAATCTTAACTGATCTAGGTTGTTATCCCAAGCCTAACTATTTGTGACTTGATTTGTAATTGAAAAAAAAGTGAATAAATTGGGGGGAAAGTGAGTATATAATAAAAACTATAATATAGTTTCCAAAATCACAACAAAACAATTTTTATTTTCAACATATTTGTCAAATGCCTTAATGTGTCTCCAACACAAACTAGGCCCATTCATCATATTTGCATTGTAAAAGCCAATGACTCCCTTCAATGGCTTAGTCTTTTTTTTGTTTTATAAAAACAATTATAATTTACACACATTGAATACATCATCTCTCTTTGTAAAAGTCTGAAGGAACATTTATAAAAAAAAATTAATGGCAGCTTAAAGTAAGAGACCTTCTACTGCATTTGCTTTCTTTAATACAAACCCCTTTTAACAGTCTGAAGCTTTCTGACAATTCAGAGTTCGATGACCAAATGTGCTGAAGTTCAAAGATGCAGGGTGAGCTTCTGTTTAAGGAATCCTTCAAAAGTCACAGAGAATGCAAAAATATTCTACAGCCAAGAGTCTCTGGAGAAAGCAAAATTCAGCAAAATGTTAATTTTGTGTATTTACATCTGCAACAGAACCTTTTACCTCTTTACAGTCTGCAATTCTATGCAAACTCTACACAGAAGGTGCCCCAGGCAGGAATCAAACCCGAGCTATATAGCAGTAGCACTCACTGCCACCCCACCACACTGACGACATTTTAAAGCCTATTTAATTATTTCTAACAATAATTCAAACTCAGGATTGTACAGATACTGACAAGAGATTAAAATACATAAATAAAATCAGATCTGGAACCAATCTGAACACTTTTATGGAAGTACTGTATCTCCTCACAGTATGGTAGCAATAAGTAATAAATCAGGCTGCACAATTAATAAGACGAAGTATTCATTTTCAATGGTTTACAAGCACAAATATACAGCATCTACTCACATTATGTGCAGGTATTTATAGAACTGTGAATACCAGTCCCTGTCTTCTATAGAAAACAAAGGAAACAGAACTCAAACCTGCAGCTGAGACATGAATACTGTAGAAATCCATTTCTTATCAATTAACGGTCGTAAACAATCACAAATACTAATTAAATGAGAACCACAGTCCATCACTAAACAAATTAGGGTTTTTTTTAGCCTGGTAAATGTGACAATATAGGAAATAAAGATTTTCTCAACTATAGGTGACCTAAAACCCGTAATTGGTCTGTTCAGTGCTTAGATTGCCTGAATGTATTTTTGTCTGTCAAAAGAGTAGCCCTCTCATGGTGCTGTTTCTCTTCAGACTTTCTCTATTTTCTGACTCTTATCTATTTACTGTATTGTCTAGTTATTTAGTCTTTTGGCCTGCTTTTCCTGTGTACCATCCCCTAGAAGAATGACTTAATAATTTATCATGATCTATTTGATCATAGATAAATATTACTAAAACTGGCTACCTGGACTTGTGGCTCAAATGGCAAAATAAAAGGACAGCTGTGCAAAAGCTCCGAATGATGCTCACTGTCTTACCTTAAAATATGAAGTACTGTGAGATTTACTTAATGATTGTTTTACCTTCTTTATACATAACAATAGCTATTTACACTGAAATCTAGCCTGAAGGTATGGAACAGAAAGTTTTGACACAACACATTTTTGCACAAGATCAGCATTTTGCACAGTTCTGCAAAGGAAAATAAGTAACCCCATGACTCACCATTCTGGTGCCTTTATGTGACGAATCTGAGTGCGTGTCCAAAATGTCAACGGAGCAGTAATGCACATCTCCAGCAGAGTCAAACACAGGATAACACCCTTAACTTCTGCAGAAATTTTCTGTTTAATAAAGAGGATTATTGAACTGACTTGTTCAATAATTCAATACAGAGCATCAAATGAAAACATTAAATTAGACTATACATTTCAAATAAGAGCATTTGGTGTACCTCTATGAGTCAAGATGGAAACCTTGATTTTGAAATCTTAAAATTCCTCTTTTCACATATAAACAGGAAAAGTGGTTTACTCTCAACATGGCAGGCATTTTCTAAACTCATTCTCTCTGTATAGGAGGTACCCAACCTCATTCTTCAGGGCCCCTGTCCAGCATGTGTTTTTGATTACATTACAAATCCAGATTGGTAAGAACAAAGAAAAGCTTCAACTTCTCCAATTAAGCAAATAATGAGTTTAATTAGTTAATAAAGTGCTTAGGTGGAAGGAAAACCCTCTGTATCCCCCAAGTTGTTCTCCCCTGCTATGTAAAGAAATGGTGACATGGAAATTGATCTAAACCTGGGTAAAGTTCACACTTGTGGTGTGGTACTGTGATATTAGACTTTTTTGGACTATAAAGAGGGCCACTGGATGTCGAGTATCAGTTAAAGGGTTCAGCCTCCAGGGGGCGCTAGTGGCGCCTCTAGAAACAGGCAGGGCGTTGGTCTCACTGGTGTGAAGCCAGACTGACTATGTAAGATCAAGGCAGTGCTCAGTTTAGGTGGAATCAAGGGAGTTGGACGCTCGCTGGCAATATGTCAGCGTATACATCCAAAGCTCACGGGGAGCTAGAACAAACCAGCTTTCGTGGTGAGAGGATTGGAGAGTTTTTGTCAGATGACAGATTCTCGCTGACGGGCCTTAAGGAGAAGCTCGCGGAGGGAGTTTTCATTAATTACCCCGGAAAGGGCAACTTACACCACAGTCCCAGTCCAGACAGCCTGATCGAGGGGAGAGTCGGACTGTCTGAGCGATAGACCCTCGGCGGTGAGGTGTCCACTAAGGGTGAGCAAGACACGGGGAACTTCAAGGGACCGGACTGTTGTGGGAAAACGTTAAACCCACGGGTCAGGAGTGAGCGGGCTAGGAGTAGGGAGACCTAGACCTAGACGATTGAGGTTGATGAGAGCAGGGGAAGCTCTCGGCGGAATATCGGCTCGCAGGTTAAAAAGACTGGTGCAGAGCGAGACCGGCTAATTGCAATCGTGGGACGAGGTACTTGACACCGCTACTCTTAAAACAGGCAACTGCTTGGTTAAAACGGGAGTTAATGTAGCATATCTCCTCCACGCTCGCATACCACACATGGAGATCCGTTACAGACGAATTTTATAGATGTATGTCCGTTTTTTTTAATAGTGCATCATCTGTTTGTATTAAACTATACATAGTATATTAGCTTTTCTCATCCCTGGTTCTATGTCTTCTGGTTTTCATTCCAACCATTATTATTGCAATAATCTTACTGAGCGTTTCGTTGTTTAAAATTGTTGCTCCTGTAGCTTCTAAATAATTCTTATTGTGTATCGGTTAATGATGTGCAAACGCAGGTGAGACTGACACTATCAAATTCACTCTCATTCCAAAATTCCCCGTTTCAAAGTGAGCCCATTTGTTAAATTCCACCAAATCGCTGATATAATAAACCTGAGTGAAAAGGGAACTGAAGCCCAGTACCAGACACAGGGTACTTACTCATTTCTAACCTTGTTCTACTATTCAAGTACTGCCTTAAAATACAGGCAAACTGTTCAATTCAAGAGCCTGGTGATCCATAATAACATCAAAACTAAGATGAAATGAATCCAGAAGACACAGGGGTCCTCCAGGATCAGGTCTATATTGGTCTCTTTCTGGCAATTTCTCTCCACGCTATTCAGATCAAATGGATGAAACATCAAACAGCTCACTATGGCGGCTGAATGTTGTACCTGAAATGCACACTAGGATATAATCCAATGCTTGCATTTTGATGCCTGTATTTAACAGAGGCAGAAATTCTATCATTCCACTTTATATTGTTGTTTTAAATTGTGCAGCATCCCTGGTTGTGCATTAAGACTGTAGTATTGCTGTGTTGGGACGGATGTATTTTTAGAAATTTATCTTAACTGAGGAGTAAAAACTGGTTTTCTCAAGGCATAAAAAGCACTTGGGTCTTAAAAATCGCATCAGAACGAACAGAAGCATAAGAGCAGAGGCGTATCCACAGGACATGGCAGAGATGACTATTGTCTCTAAGAAGACAGTCTTCTGGACGTCCCCAAATAAAAAAAGAAAACATACTGTAAGAAGATGTTGAGCAGCAAACATAATTCTACATGTAAAACCAGCAAAACCATCCTGCATTGAATAAGGTGCCACAGAAAAGACAGTCATGTAAAGAATAAAACTGATTGGTGAAAGAAAACTGTCCCCTTCAACTACCTAACCAATACTGGATGTTTAGGGCTGCTGTACTGTTACAATATGTACAGTATACATAGGTACCGAAAAGAGCATTTATTTAATGTGCATTTTCAGGGGGAGGAAAGAAAACAATGCTTTACAAAAACCTCTTAGGGTAACTGACCACAAAATGAAGTTAAAATTTACATTCTTGCACTACTTACGTTTATTGAATGTACAGTGTACACGGTCCAAAAAGACAAATCAACTGAGATCACCACCATGCCAAGGCCTGCAATCAGGAAACTTCCAAAGTTCATCCTTAGACAGATCTGCAGAATATAAGAATATTAAGATGTTGCCTTTAATCTCATTGTTGAAACCAATTGAAACCAATGATTGTTTTCCATAGATGATTATTAAAGTATTTTTAAAATCAGGATTAAGCAAAAAAAAAAAACGAACTCAAGTTAAATACAACACTATTAATATTCAGTCCTTGTTTAGGCAGTGTATAATATTTCAATTTCACTGAAACAAACACAAGGTACTGTATCGGATTCAAGTAAAAACATGTGAAGGTCACTGTAGAGTGACTTTAGAAAACATAACTCAGCCCTAGGGAATATATAAAATGGCTTTGCACTAGTTAAATCTCAAATTCCAGACCATCATGCAGTCTTCACCATTGTAGGCACAACTATTACAATACAAAACTCTGAATTTAATCTAAAGATCAGGGCTTGAACTGTCATTTTCTACTCTTTTACCATAGTTGTATAGTATTGGTGAAGCAATTTAATCAACATTGCTTTCATTGCACACAAATACAGAATCAAATCACTATTACAGAAGTGTTTTATTTACTCCTTTAACCAGCCCTGATTACCATTAATCTTGGACTACCTAGTTTCAATTTAGGTTTACCAGTCCAAAACTGATGCTAATCAAGATCCTTAATCTTCCAAACATAATTTTGTTTTAGTACTGCAAATTCTATTATTGAGGAAATAAATAAATGAAATGTATTTAATTCAGGGATGTGGTACATAAGGCTTCATAATGTAATTCACTGATATTAAAGCATATAAAGCAGTTTGTAATAATTAGGACTAATTTTAAATATGGATATGTGGAGCACATCCAGGTGGATGCTGCACATTGGTGGTGGTGGAGGGGAATCCCTATTACCTGTAAAGTGCTATGAGTGGAGTGTCCAGAAAAGCGCTATATAAGTGTTACCAATTATTATTATTATTATTATTATTATTATTATTATTATTATTATTATTATTATTATTATTATGTGATCTACCACTTTCAATGACATTGTGGAGATTGTGACTCCTTTGAGAACTGAATCACAACTTAACATTTATTTTAATTAAAATATATATTTTAATTATATTTTAACAGTATATTCATATACTGTATTGTTATGACAGCAGACTGTTGTGGACGCCGTATTGAAATTCAAAATCCAGTACCAACCTGTCACAACTTCATTGAAATCAGGGTCATGGTATTTATAAGTGTACAGTACTTACTGGCAGGACTCTGGGAAACATCTTTACCAGGACAGAAAATAAGCCAGAGAAGACAAACTGGTGATATAAAAACAGAAAAGGTAAACTTCATGCATGCTATACAAGAACATCAATACACAATATTATACACAAATCCACACCTCCAAGAATAGTTTTGCTGTCTATAGAATTGAGAGATAATAAGTAGTGTGAAAACAGGCACCCTAAAGACTAGGTCCTGACTTATCTGTTGCTGCATTTGATGTCTTTCTTTTCTCTGCTAAAGTGTCAAAAATGCATACGGACTGTGTCAGTTAATAAACGTTTCATAAAAAAAAATAAAACGTTATTTATATGCAGAAAGAGCAATGACTATATTAAACAGATCGCATAGGGTACTTTTTAATAATGATCATTTGAATTTAACAGTGTAAACTGAAGTAAAAAATCTTTTATTTTGTCCCTTTTTTTGTGGTCTTTTAAATGAAAAGTATGGTACTGTATACCTGTCTCCTTTCTCAAGAAAGTGTTTGTGTGGTTTTAAAGGACAAAGAACTTGGAAGACAGCACAGGAGGGTTGCTTTAAAATTCTAAAAATATTTTCCAGTGATATAAAAATTATTTTCTATTTGCCAAAAAAGTAGCTAATTGCAAATAGCAGTAAATCGTAAGTGTGATGAGTATTATCACAATCATAAGATAAACTCAGTGTCTATAACATGTATAACACACGATAAATGAATTGCTTTTATGACTGATTAACAATGGCTTCCTGAACGTTAAAAATAGAATTTTAAAAAACGACGATCAGTTCAACGTTAATTGCTTATTACTTCACAGAAACAATCAATCACTCAAGCTTACCACAAGACCTGTGACAAAGGGCACTTTGAGTATTGTGACCAGAGAAGTGGAAGATACTGCCAGTACAATGCCCAAACCAAAGTTCACTGTCCCGATAAGGATTTGAAGAGCCTGGAAAGAACATGAAAGGCAGACGATACAATAGTGAAATTAAATACTACAACTTGTACAAGCTCAGTTTCTATTTTAAACAGTAGGTGGTCAAGTGTGGGATACTGTACGCTCACCGTGCGTGTTACTATCAAAAACAAGACAGATCCTGGGAAAATGTCTTGAAATGTGGCGTGTAGCTTTCAGGACCAATTCAAAGGGCTATGTATTTGCACGCCACACGACTAACACCTTAAAATCTACAATCTCCATAAATAATAAAAGGTAAACCACTTCTATATATATACAACGGTCATGGGTAAAAGCAGAACCAGTGTTTAAAGGTGACAGACAAGGTAAAAAATAGGGTTCATTTGTTCTTGAAACGGGTACGTTTCCTGAAGATTTTTAGTATTAATTGCATACAAGTTTGTTTCCTAGTTAGACACAGAACCCCCACGCTAATTTAAAGTGATAAAGTTTTAAGTGACACCAGGTAAAACTGGGATGTCTTTTTAACTCAACATTGAAGAAGGAGCAGTGTAGCCAGTAATTTGGGGGGCTGGTGTTAGAGGTGGGGGCGTCCTCATCCGTCTTTTACACATTCCGGAATGGAAGTTCCTTACTCCTAGTGCCGCCGGTTCTTTCTTCAAAAGCATTTCCAGCGGTCCTCTCCTACTGGGAAGCATCGCAGCTGGCTCGTATCTTTTAAGGAGTGTAGTATCCCCCTCCTCTTCATCAGCAAGTTCAATCGTGTCGTCCGTTGCCGCACCAGCAAACGAGGCCATGATGAGAGAGGCTGATGACTAAAGAAAATACATCTTCACCAGATGCGCAAGCAGTGACTTTCGAGCGCTTGAACGCATTGTAAGCTCAGTGTCATGACAAAACAAACCTGTAGAGGTTATTGTACCACACTCTGAGGTAAAGCATACCTACGCATACTGTATATGCTCTGAAACGCAATAACTAAAACTATGAACGACTTGCTGTTCACCCCTGCACGCATTACAATTGTTTTCATGCTTCCTATCAATCAGGTTTTTTTTAAGTAATGGTCGTTTTTCCGAAGACGAAAACAGAAAACTAGATCATAAAACACCATTTTGCCGTTTCCTGTGGTGATTTTCATTATACAAGGCTCAATCATAAATTGAAAAGGAGGCAAGGAAGCTGTTTTGTCTCATAAACCTCATTTCCCCTGTCAGAAATTTCTGTTCGCAATTCTGAGATGTGAATTGCTACAGATTAAAACAAAATTCCCTTATAGGGTGTGTTAACCTGATCACAAACACCCCGCACCTGTAAGCGAGGCTCAGTTACAACAGGCTCGGTATCACTCGGACGACAGCCGTAATAATAATAATAAGAAGAAGAAGAAGAAGAAGAAGAATACCCATTCATCGTATGTTCTACGTGAACAAAAATAAACGGTTTTATTCTTTCCCATACATGTATAATTCTTCTGATTCTTTGAGATGGTTTTATCCTTTACATCAGAACAAATATTAATTCTATGTTCTGTACTCTGTTTTCTATGGAAGCCCGTTTCCGCCAGGGAGTAAAAAAAACGCGATATGGTATCTCAGAATTCCGACTTAGTATCTCAGAATTGCGATTTAGCAACTCAGAATTCCGACTTAGTAACTCAGAATTTCTTTAACCCCGGCGGCCAGCATCCCTGTTATGCGCAGGTGGTGTACTGCAACCAGATCGTACAACCTGTATGTCGGCCGTTCCGTTACACTATTTTCATTAATCGTATAGGATCATAGGATCTATAAGCCTGAAGACTTGTCCTGTACAGTGCCCTGATAAAAATCAAATTAATTACACTATTTTTTATAGAATCCCATTTCCGCCAGTGAGGCTTCCATAGTACCCGGATGGAATAGTGCACGGTGGGCTTTTTAAAAATAGTTTTTATTTACGTAGACAGAATATGAAATAAGATACAGAAATAGGCACTTCACATCCAGAAGAATTCACAATTATAAAAGCTGAAACATACTTTTTACGTATTTCCATTGTATGTCCTCTTTTACTTAAAAAAGAAGGTCTTCTTTAGCTCAGCTGGCAAGACTCAGGTTCGAGCCAGTGTAGCGAGGCACGAACTAGGGTGGGAGCGGCAAGGGCACAAGCCCTAGAACCCGAATCCGTTACAATAACAAAAGGACAGACAATGAAATATGGCTATTTCGAAGTCACAAATGTGAGATATAAAGTCGGAATTCTGAGTTACTAAGTCGGAATTCTGAGTTGCTAAGTCGCAATTCTGAGATGTTAAGTCCGAATTCTGACTTACTAAGTCGGAATTCTGAGATAGCATAGCGCGTTTTTTTTTACTCCCTGGCGGAAACGGGCTTCCATAGGTTTTCACGTGCGGCTATTTATTCTTTTCTCGTTTTAGTCACATATTTTGTGTCATTGTTGTTTTAATGGGCCTAATTACCTTTCTATAAGGAAAGCGTTACATCTCTGAACGTCCTATTGTACTTATGTATTTCACTTTATTGTAATGATTCCCACAGATTGTTCTACGGTGTCAGGGTCTCGGAGTTTTAGCACCGTATGAAGAAAAAAACAGACTTGGGTTTTGAAAAAAACTGTTTTTGTAACACTTCAACTTTATAACATTACTTCTGAGCTACAGTAATAACAAATGACATTATACATTTTTATCTTACATACACAATTAAACTCCGACTGTACAGTGCTAATGCACTACATGTGTTGTGTTTGAAGTTTCCAATAAATTATATTTCGTGAAAAAAATCATCATTGATACTTGTCGGTGTCAATTATCATTTTTCATTGTCTATCTTGTTCTGCGGCAGGTTGTATGCGGAGCCAGGATTGCAACGTAGGACACGAACATTTCTAAACCGCTTGCAATACACAACAGAAAAAAAGCTTAATTAACCCTCTGCATTCTCCAAGTTTAAAAAAGTACATTTCGACAGTTATAAAAATACTAACATTTTAAATAATACGAATTAATAGGGATTACATCTAAATGAGCGCACGTTGAAAACTGCCGCGGTCTATTGTAAACTTTGAGCGAAAAAAAAATTGAAAATGTGAAAAAATATATAAAACTTATCTTCACTTTTGTCTAGCAAAATCGACCGGAAAAAAAATCAAACTCTTATCTGTCAAAGTCTTGAATTATGTTTAAAATTACGTAATTGCGCCCAAAACGTGAGTTTTCTTAGAAACTTACTGCAATTGCTGATCTTTTCCACACCACCACTGCTTCGCTGTCCAGTTGTACTGAAATGACATTATGGCCCCCATCTCTTCTGATTTCCTCTCTACCCACTTCCTCGACTATTCTAGAAGCTCTAAAGGCAGAAAACGCTCTGTGGTTTGGGCCATATACCTGTAATTAGAAGAACATCAGCCAGCACTGTTTCTAAATGTCGTGTGGTGTCTGATAGAAAAGCTAATGGGATCTATTTAAAAAAAAAAGTTGGTGCTGAAATTAGTAAGTGCTGTGGCGTGTGCCTCCTTCTGTGCTGGACTATCTGTTGTTGAAAAGAGATTGATATCAAATGTTGAGATGAATATTAAAGAGTTGTGAGAGTCAGGAACGAGGTTCAGCGACATTGTCGAATCTAACACCCCCTTTCTTCAAGAAATACCTTATGATGAGATCCTCCGATGAGCTAGTAACCAAACTAACTTGTAAATGTATGGTGTGAGGCAGGCTTATCAACCCAAATGCATTTTAGACCAGATATCCCTTAATTCAAGACACTAAAAAAACGTAGTGGGGGACTGGGAGATTAATTCTCGGGTTTAAATACATTTTTGTCTATTTTGTCCCTGCCAATTTAGGAAACTTATTTAGATCAAATTAAAAACTTTTTAAGTGCAACCCTTGAGGAATATTCTTTGCTGAACATATAAATGTTGATTTTCTGATCTCAGAACAACATAAACTATCACTAAGTGAATAAGAAATGATTACATTTTCTTTCAAGAATATTACATTCATTACGTGGTAGTGTAAAGTAAATATACTGTATACTGTACGTGTGATTAGGAATCAAGTCTATATTAGGACAGTGATATTTTTCAAGTGCTCATATAAATAGCATGATCTTAGTCAGTCTCCTCTTATTAGTGATGAGTCTCATCCTTTTCACAGTTTATTGTACTGTTATTAACGTTTGGGAATCATCAGATTAGGCTGCGTAAAATTAACATTCTACGCAGATTGACAGAATTAATAAATGTCCCACAAATATCGTATTAGCCTGTGCTCAACGATCCTATTATATTATTAACTACAACAATAAAGAGCCACATGTTTGACAAGTCAGAAATCGATAAGCGCGATCCTAGCAGAAAAAAAAAACGTATTTCATGAAGAACAAAGATGCAAAGAGCGCAGTTATTGTGCTCTCTGATGTGTACAGCGGTTGATTCACTTAACAGATTCACTTTGATGAGGCAGAGAGGAACTAAATACCTGCAGAACGGTTTAAAGTTTCTCAGGGCGGGTAGAATACAATCATCAGTCGTTTTAAAGATCCGCACAACTCTAAAAAAATAATCTAACAGAATCGTGAGACCATGAAATTAATTACCGTAAGAGGTGAATTGTAAGAACGAGGTTAAAATGAATGAGCTTTGTTGAGGTTTGAACAGGTAGGCACGTTATTGCATCGGTGAACCGTTAACTTCCAACACACCAGCTCTTCACTTATACAGTCTTTGGACTCGCTTTTTTCCAGTTCCCGACACGAGTCTGTACTTTCTGCTCGAAGACTGTGGAATGATCTTCCAGCTCATATGAGACATACTGTACCATGTCAGTCAGCACTTTCGAATACTTTCGAGTCTTAAAAACTCACTTCTATACTGCAGCTCTTAATTCTGCTTCATTATTGGGTGATTAATGCTATTTTTAATTGTGGATTCCCGTCTCTTTTGTTTTTATCGTGCAGTGCCTTGAAATGTTGTACCATGAAATGTACTGTATTAAAGAGATTATGCTACTTCTTCTTGTAATCCTTCACATGTATAGTTGTAATTAATTGACTACATATTTTTTAACCAATAGGCCTCATATTTTAGAACAGTTATATATTTGCAAATACTAATAAACAAGGTACAAATTGCTTAGCACAGAATTTCACCATAGTGATTAGTCTATGAGTTGTGCAGATGTTCAGTTAGGGGCTCATATGGTTATGCTAATATGGCCAATGGTTCCAACACCCTTCTACAGAAAGCGATTTTTTCTGAGGTTGAATGAAGTGCGTATCATCTCTACCTCGCCTCATAGCAGCTACACTCTCGCTTTGTCTGATCACCGCAGTGCCCACAAACTACACAGAAGTGAGAAACACGGTTTGGAAAAAGAAGCGCTCTGCGCGCTCCAGTGTCACACCTTCTTCATCTGATCAAAGATTTTTTTATCATATGTATTTCACTTGAGACTTGGGCATGTTTTTTTTTTTTGGGGTGTTTGCATTGTTTTGAGCACAAAAACGTAGAGAAGGACAACTAAATAAACATTCAAACATTCTACAGCTACTCTAAACTCAAAGCCCTTCAAATGTTGATACCCTATATTCTGGCATAACAAAATACAAGGATGATGAAAAAAATAAACTTTTATGTACGAACGTTTCGATTCAACTTTTAATTTAGTATTTTTTTTCAAGAGGCTCTCTTTAAGAAGGGAACACGTAGGGAATAATTTTACGCTGAAAAGGAAACAAAACATTTCTGTTGTAGATCCTTTTTGGGTGTACTGTATAAGCAAGACTCGACTGTGCGGTACAGTATATGTACGAACAATTTAAATTATAACAAAGCACATTATTTTTCATACACCAGAAGGAGTATTCAAACACGAAACGTGTTTTTTTTCTTTCATTATATTTTTACAAGTCCATTTGGACAGATTATTGTTCGCTTACAAACATACCTTCAATTCTATCTCCAAAGTGTACAAAATGTGCCGAAACAATGTAACCAGTTCCATTGAGGACTAAACGAACACTACCATTAAAAGCTAATATGTAATCTACAAAACTGAGAGCCGATGAAGAAATTTTGAAAAGGTATTTTTGTTAAATTATCTGTTAATAATCACATTATCCTGTTTAGGATTTGTTAGGGAAATTGCTTTGACTTCTATTGAGTGCTTGTCGTGGACATGCATATTTTCTTTTTGTATTATATATTCAATCCTGTATGGCCAGCATGGGCTTTTTGAAGATACGCACTATTTAATATAGTCTACTATAGACTTGTGTATATAGATAATATCGTAATTCAGTACACATAATTAGACAAAGTTAGATTTCAATACAAAACTTCGCATAAGTTCTAAAATTGCGTTTCATAGTTTACTGTCTAGAATTCGGACCCACTGTTTATAAATTAATTGAGCGATTTCATATCACTTGGCAGATATTATTTCTGTGTAAAATAAGACCCTTTCCTTATCACCCTCCTACTGTGATGTAAAAGGTCTCGCTGACTGACTACTTCAATAGAGCAAGAACGGTAACACATGTGACACCAAAGACTCGACTGCAGGTAAGACAATCGATACTTTGTAAATATGTATTTGACGTGAACAAAACCTTCCAAAATCATCAACAAGTGCGTGCGTGACACAGTATTTCCCTTTCTTCTGAATGAGCACCCTATTAAGACTTAAAAGAACAAAAAGTCCTTAAATGTACTTTTACCTTCTTTATGATTCAATGCTTTTTTATAGGATAACTTCAACGTTCAATCTGATTAAGATCTCAGGAAATTTAAAAGTCCAGTTAGACGAAATAATGTTTGCGATCTTAATTTAAGGCCGATTTAAATTATTTGAAGTATGTCTTGAACGAAAACGAAACGACTTTACCAACTGGCAGATACAGTATGAGAACCATTTGAATTAAAATGAACAGAATTTGTAGTTTAAACAAAAGTGACAGTACAATACATTTTCAATCAAATCCTTGAACAATAGCGGACTATTGACTTAAAGTATCCAAAACCATAGCCCGACGGATGAGCTAACTGTTGTGTTGTGAATGAACGCTTTTTTGTCAAATTGATTATACAGTAACTGCTTCTGGAGAAAGATAGCTTTACATTGTTTGGTATACAAGCATTACATTTTAAGTTACAATAAACACATTATTGATTCTTTTGAAAGGTCGGAAAACAAAAACGTGTTAAAAGCATGATACGCTACTGCTGTGCTTAAGAAGATGTGTTACAACCACTATGCTTTTGAAATGCTGTAATTTATTCCAAATTTCTCTTCTGTTGCTGTAGGAGTCTATATTAAATAATTTTAATCACGTGGATCCTTCACATTCCCAGAGGTATGATCTTGTCATTCTTCATTTTAATGTTTAATCTACAAATGTGACCACTGTAACATTACCACCTTCAGCATTTTTGGACAGTAGTCTACAATTAGGTAACATTCGGATCTTTATTGCAGTGTAGTAAAACAACAGAAATACAGTATAAAAGATTAAGAAGACTCCTTATTAACATGTATATTGGAAAGCAATGTACTATAGCGTATTCAAAATTTCACCACAGGGTAGTTGTACGGTGAGCTACTGCAGTAGCCTCTACTGAAGACTTATCTGACCAACAAAAGATACTTCGCAACTAAATCTTTCTTGCAGATAAAGGGGACGGTTGACATTTCAGGCTTCATTTTAGGTGTTTTTCACAACAAACCTTTATATTCAACATGCACACGTTAAGTGAATGTCCACAATGCATAGCCTAATTAGTTTGAGTCGACTTAAATAATTTAAGTATGGATGCCATGGACCAAAGCAACTGTTCCAACGACATCGTGGTCATATATAATCCCCAGAGCACAAACCCACACATCCAGACATTAACGTCTGACACATGCGCTAAATGTATGGACGTTATGCTTAGTACTCGTGGAATTACATTCTACATATGTGTCATTTCAATCAACGAGTAAAATTAGTTTTCATCCACTTTACAGAAGGGAATGAATCCTACGATTTTGTGTCTGCTAAAGAGAATTACATCTTATGAGTGGAATAATGTGTACAGGAGGGTAGTTGTGTCAGCATGTGTAGTCCGCAAATGAACAATAGGTTTATTCCATGCTGAAAGAGAAGAAAGAAAACACAACGTTTCGGCTGTGAAGCTTTCTTCGGGTGTATACGTATAAAGTGTTTACGAATAATGTGTACGTCAACCATGTATTAACTATATAGGCTAATAACCTACTGTATATTTATTCAAGAGAAACAAGGGAAGGAAAAATGAAAAGTACTTAACGAGGTTAATAGATTTAGTAACGAAAATGAAATATGGGTTAACGCAGGTGGCCACGAGCTGGCGAGAAGACTACACACGTTACGGAAGCAAAAATGACACGCGATTAGTGTCGTGTTTATAGCATGATTTTTCCTTTAAAGCTTGCTCTATATAAAAGTATGTACTTTGAGTTTTTTAAAGGTAAAGCCATCTGCAAATATTCAGCTAAAGCATAATGTTTTATTTTTGCACTCTTTGCAGATGGGGGGTCTCACGTACATGTCAGATCATACTATGGTAATCACAATCCCTTTCTCAATGTTCAGCGATGAGACAGAGGATGTCAAGGTGTTGGAGACATTTAACTGCGTCTTTAAAGATGCCTACAAGGTGTTTCTCAAAGGGCAGCCGAAAGCTTTAGGGGTATGATGTTTTTTTTTCTTTGCCTTGTTTGGGTTTCAGTATAGGTTTAATTAAATATTCTTCCATAATGGGTGTTATCTAAATAATAAAATATAAAACGCTAGAAAAATGTTTTAATTTAAAACTACTCAACAAGTTTATGAGTACATGTTATTTGCTGGTATTTAAACTGTTGTAGATCGGTCTTTCTAACTTTTTTTCTCATGTGGATTTGGTTGACCGTCCTTTTACATTGTTGTGGTTGAAGACCGCTTGTTGTTGGCCGATGTATGTCTTGTATTCAATTTTTAATTTTGTTCATGCAGCTTTTCAACTATGCGCCTATACAGTAAGTACATTAACGCATGGCATGAAAGCAAGTCTACATTCTAGAAATGTAGTGAAAATGTAGTTTAGAAATCACATGTATTATTAGAATTACATCACATACATTACATTACATCACATACAAAAGTGCTTTAACACAACCAGATTATTTTAAAAAAAATGTTTATCCACAATATTATACACGCGCTGTGTGCGGTGATGCACAGGGATGCGCGTGAACCAAAATATATCATATTAATCAAAATTGTATATAACCTATAGTATAAACTATATACTATATGTTTTATAGACCACTCATATTTCATTATAAAATCTACAGTAGCTACTAACATTGTATATCCATTAACAGCATTAAAAGTACAAAACGCACGTTTACCAATGCCCAATTTTTTATATTTTACTTTGCATTAACAGAAGGGTGGACTGGCGCCCGGACTACTCCAGTGCTTATAATCTTTGGCTTTCAGAAAGCAGAAAATAGTGTTTTTACTGTCTCGCTCTGCAACACGATCGTTTTGTGGAGAACACCACACATTTGCCTGTTTACAACAAGGAAGTTATTTTGTTTGTTATTTTTAACGAACTGGTTATGAATTAAGAACTAGTGACCATTAACTACGAATGTGTCTGTGTGACAGGGAAGGAGGCGTACTGTAGATACTACGTTTTACGCACATTGATTTCTACAGCACAGAAAGCAAGCTTACTAGAAGCGATGTTTATATTCAACTCGCGTTAACTAATTATAAAAAATCTGTGATTTTTCCCTTAAAATTGTTTAATAAAATTGTACACGGACAGTCCTCATGAACATATACAGAAACATTAGTTTAGAGAAGAGCCAGGCACCTCCAGTCGAGAACGGATGCTGATACAACGTCTAGATTTACTGTATAACACATACATCTAAAGAAAGTCAAATTAAATATCACTGCAGCAGTTTAAACAATGAGAACTATGTTAAATGAACCCTACAGGTGCGTAGAGGAACTTAATGTCTTCCCTCTTATTCTTCTGAATGAATTTGTTCACCTCTTTTAATAAAGAAAAGTTTCAAGTTATAACAGAAATCTAAGACATTTCAGACATCATTGATATTTTTTTATTTTTATTATTTCTCTTCGTTTTAATTTCAGACAGCTCAGATATTCATTGGATTGCTAAGCATCAGTTTTGGACTGTTACTGTATCAGTATGATATAGGATCTCTCTTATCCACTCTTCCCAGTATGCTGGTAAGGAATTTTCTTGCTTTAGATAAGTACCAAAATGATCACTCTGTAGCCTAAATCTGTAACAAAACTATCTCACTTGCGTCAAATGTTTTTTGTTCCAATACTTAATTTTCTAGTTTTCCTTATGTTGTAGAGTAACAACAAATATTCAGATTTCTGAATAATTGTAATACAACTTAAAAAGCTCAAGAAATCAGTGAACCAGAAAGTGGTATGTCTGACACAGCAACTTAAGCGTTTACACTGTATCACTCTTTACACAACATGGTGTTTGTGAGACTAAAGTGTCTGTTTGTTTCTTTTATATAAGTTCATTGTTTCTGGAACTTTGTCATATTCTGCAGGAAGTGCTCCAAACATGTTAGTGGTAAGTACATGCAGTATGGATCTCTGTCCTTTGATAGCCCTTGGTCTCTCCCTTAAGAGAAGTCAAACCAAATGGTGTAGCCTAGTCAGTTTACAGCACTTGTACGTGATTTTTAATCTGAATGGAAAAACCACTGGTGGTCTTGGATCCTGGATTGACTTTTTGAACCTCATATGCAGAGTATTATTCAGACTTCCATTTTCTGTCAGATCAAATATTACTAAGTAGCGAGTAATGCTGTCTGTTTTTGTAGGTGGAAAACGAATTCGTTTGTCTCTTAAAGGATGGATTATAAGAATTTAAAAAGGTCACAACTGAGAGAAGGGCCCATTACCGAGATTATTATACAGTACTCTTGAATAGAGGTCTTCAATTAATCCATACATTACTCCTGTCCGTTTGTCTCAGAATTTCTCTCTTTCCTCTGCTTTGAATTAAACCTTTAGACCCCCGCCAGTAGGATTTACATCTAAAAATGTTTAACTGATCTAGCAGCCAATGCCTGACAAATGTGAATTTATGTCTTTTGAATTTGGGGTTTTCCAACTTGTTTTGTCTCTCATATTTCCAGATGAAGACATCATTCGTCATGAACATTTTAAGTTTCTTCTGGTCTATAGCTGCTTTAGTTCTGACCATAATTAATGTTCCTTGCACACGTCAATCAGACAGCAATTGTGAAACCATCAGAAATGTAAGTGTCACTCCACCAATACTACTTAGAGCAGTGACCTGGTTTTACTAAGATTTCTCCCATCCCAGTAGTAACCAGACCCAGCAATTTTTAGTTGCTGGTTATACCTTCTCTTTCTGGTTACTGTATTTTATTCAAAATGGCTTGCATTCACACCAGCTCATTCAGCAGAGTATTATAGTGGAGTTGGGTGAAGGCTACAGCAACAGCGTCACACCTACGCTTTTAACCCACAACCTCCCAGAATTGTAAACCACACTGCTGCCCTCTTCCTCATGAGACTCTTCATCCTGTTTTGCATCATACTTTCTTCTTATTATGTGTAATTCTATTGCAATGTTATGTTAAAATAATATCTGGTAACGTTTGGTGCATCACTATCATCATCATCATTGTTATCATCATAATCAGTATCATTATTTTGTTTATAAATTGCTGTATGCTGTATGTAATTGCTATATTTTGTTATTGCTGTTTGGTGCTGGTTTGTTTTAGATGATCAGAGGAATACAAATAATGAACGCAGCTCTCCTAGTCCTTGAGGTGGTTATCGATGTGGTGTTGCTGCACTGGGAAAGCAAGGCTGTGTTCCGTCCGCACTTTAATGTTCTGGTACAGTACACACTTTTACAATATCAATAACTGTGTCCCCTCCAGTATAAAAAAATAATTTAATAGTAATAGTCATGTACAGACTTTGATTCTGAATACCAGGCAATCACATTATCTAGTTAAAAAACCACATCTAAAATCATTGTCAGCCCTCTTTTGATGTGATTATGTAAACGTTTAGTAGGATACATTTAAACTTTAAAAGTTACGAATTACAAATGCTGTCATTACATTTTCAATATACATTCTTACTAACTTACTAATTTACTCCAATCTTGTCTGATTTTAATTTATTAAAGTGTTTTTCACGTTTAATAACATTAAGGATGTTAGTAATAGAAATAGTTTTGATCCTGCTCAATTCTTCTCAAACTGAGACTGAAATGACGTCTCAAGTTTTCAAGGTCCTCCACTTACTCTTTCACAGGGGATACGAGAGAATAAACACCCGTGAGAGACAGAAGAATAAATTATTCGTGACAATCGTGACAATTTGCAATTATTGCAGCTAACAATGTTGTAGCCAAATGTGGCTGATGATTGATTTGTTAAATGGTTGTTTTTGTTTCTTTCCAGCCTGTGATTTATTTGAAGCAAGATGTAGCTGAGAGATCAACAGCACATCCCAGCTCCTCTTCAAAATAATCGCCTAACTGCGGAACTGTATGGCGCTTTAGAATATTATAAACTGTGCTTGAATGACTGCAGAGAGAACAGGCTTGCACTGTGGACAGTGCTCTCAAAATGCTTTATAATGTCTATATACTGTATGTTTTTATACGTTAGTGGTCAAGCGCTAGACTGTCGCAGAATAATCCAAAATCCTTTGCTCTAAAAGAAATAAAAATTTAAAGGCAGGGCAAAATTACAATACAAAAGAGATTTTGTTTTATTTTTGTCCATTTACGCAGTTCTATCAAAATAGAGATAACTCAATGTTAGCAGGAAACCAGCAAATGTTTCACTGCACCCATCAGTCACCAGGTTATAATCCAGAGAGAACCGCAGTAAATGTCTGTAAATAGTGTTATTCAGAAAGACGCTGTTTTAGAAACTAGTAGACGTTCCTTCATTTGCATATTAATAAAGATAACGTTTTTCTCACTTTCACGAAAATTTGAGTGAAGCGACTTGCTTAAGGCTATAACGACAGTGTCTGAACGGGGATTTTAATCAATAACAACGAGTTGTGGTAGTAAACCGAAAACCCTTTCCATTACTACACACTGCCACCTAGAGAGACAATGCGATTCTTCACAAAAATTCCCTTTTTCTTCGTTTGGGCCTTATTTCACGGGAATGGGAAATCTCTTGGTGCGGTTACAAAGTGTAGCCGCTAGGTGCCTATACTCTAAATTACATTTCAGCAGGCTTTCCAGGGCAATAAATTAATAAAGGCCCTGGAAAATTAAGGCATCGCATTCCAGTGCGGATTCAGCCACTAGTTTGAATTAGCGAGGATGTATCGCAGCTGAGTTCAACACAACCCCCTTTTTAAAGGAGTGGCTTAGGAACAACTGGCTAGGTTTTGTTGCAAAGAGTGTAGTGAACAAGGGCTAAGAGGGTCTGGTTATTTTAGATCCCTGCATGTTACTAGTGTGTAGGATACAGTTCTTTAACTGTGAGGAGTTAATAACTAGGAGAGAACAGTATGCTCTTTGCTGCCTTGGGTTAGGAAAGGGTTACTCTGCTATATTCTACAGCCAGTGCTGTGGAAAGGAACTAGAGAGTCTACATATAAACAATTTCCAAAAATGAGGGGTACTAGCAGAAGGAAGTAACAGTGCTGAGCACTTTTTTGAATTTGAGAATCTACCTACAACCAAAATCTCTTAATATATAGAAATGATTACTTTTAAATGATGTGTAGTGGTAAAAATCTGTTTTTTCTTTGTCTACTTAAGAACTGCCCCAACTATAGGTATAATAAATAAGCTCTTTTTAAACCAAGGTGCTGTGTTGTTTTTGTAATAAGACATAGCTACCTAGTGTGCTACATACTTATAGGACATTTGGCCTTCTAGAATTAAAGTAATTATTGATTGAAATATGAGATAACTGAATAATTATACATGAAATGTATATGTTTCTCAGAAGTAAAACCCATCTAATGTTGCAATATCAAATGTATTAATAGGAAAAGAGCACTTTTGTCCATGTATGAGGATATAATTTAGAGTTTATCTGTACATATAATTTACTAAAGTTGTTTTTAAGTAAACAACCTAGAAAGTGTTTTTTTTTTTTTATCCACTAGTCAACAAATGTTATCCATGATGTGATATTTGATTGTGTTCCACATAAATCTCAAATGTAAATCTATGGACTGAGAAGAAATTTAAAGAATACCCTTTAACTGCTCACAGAGATATTAATCATCTTTAAACAAAACACTCTTTGGCTGCAGCTTTATTTTCAAGTATGGTAGTGTTATTTAGCTTGAATTGAATACATTTTGGTATAAGAATTACATCCAAACAGAAAGCAGCCTGATCTACTCAATACCAAGGGCAGATCTCATCCATGTGTACAGTTCTGAACCATGTCTATGAGAATGATATAAATGTTGTACATGAATATTTTTTCCCATATGTGCATGATCTCGTGCCTACATTCTTGTCTCAACTTCATTTTAGAAAGACACTTACCTTCTTTAATTTTTTTCTCCCGACTCCTCTTGGGCTGCAAGTGCAACCATAATTTTAGTTCTTTGGCTTTCTTTAGTAGGTCATTATTCTTCATATACAGTACATCTGTTGAGGTTATGACTTATCTAGAGAGAGAGTCCTCTGGTTGTGTGTGAAAGGGGAGCTACAGTACAGCTGATGCTGAATATGCTGATTTAAACTGACTGCACCTTCTGTAGCTTTTAAACTCTTATTCACCTACTTCACATGTAACAGGAAAGAAAATAGTGTTGCAAATGCCCGCAACCCTGTAATGGATAAAGTGAAAATGAATGGATAAATTTTCTGGAACATGAATACTATAGTTATAGCTTATGTACTTTCACAAAAAGGTGTCAATTTGTTTTAAGCCCTGTCCCCAGCAATACAAGCTTGTGCAGTGAGACATTGTGACTTGCCAATCACATGAAAGCTTATTAGCTTATTGCACTTTTACCCAATGAGGTCTAGGTGGAACAATGCCTGATCAGATCACCTTTAAAAAGGCCTTCATTCAAAGCTTAGGTCACGTCAAGAAAAGGGCCACACAGTCACTTTTCTGTGCATTCCATAATACCTTAAATGTCACCAGAAGCAAGGGAGAGGGCCATTGGCATACTGCAAGCAGGCATGTCATGTGCCAGCATTTCCAGACACTATGGAGTAAGCCGCTCCATGGTTTCAGCAGACTGGCAGGTCCATCTGAGAGATCATTTCAGATCTGCAACCTGTACTGCTGCTGCTGACAAGACAGTGAGGCTCCATGTTGCTGGCCTTAGAGCAAGGGGACCTGTCAGAGGCCCTCTGCTCACACCTCTTAGATAACATACTTGATCCTCTTCACAGATAAGTCACTCTTCAGCCTGTTTTGCACGGACGGGAAGGACAGAGTGTGAAGGAGGAGGTGTTGTGGTTGTTTTTTTCCATCAGTATATTAGTAAACACTTCCCTGTACAAAGAATGACTTTCTTTGTGGCAGAAAAACAGTTAAAACAAATAATTCTGAAGTGTTTTTCAATATTGGGAGCTTAAAATTGTTCTCACACAACAAAATAGGTCAAAGAAGGAAACACTTCAACTACAACAGACATCCCCTCAAACTCTTAAAAGAAATACCTCTATACAGTACATCAGAAATGTTGTAATAACAGATTTGATAACTTAGTATTTCACTTTAAGTTCTCATCTTCACTTACTGATTGGTAAGTTGGAACTAAGAGCCAGTCTGTTCATTATAAACCACATATATAAAACTTGAATGTCCACAAAGTCATACACACAAGAAAATACACTGACAAAGATTTAATTGACACTTTTTCTTCATTCCAGAGTGCAGTCGACAGTATTAATGTTACCTACCATTTCCTCAATGAATAATACCACATTTCTAGTAGACACATTTTTCCAAAAGTGATGTGCTAGATAAAGCATATTGAAGAAAACATGTGCATTATTTTTCCTTCAATGCCCTGTGTACGCAGTCCTCCACAAGCTTTAGTAATGTGGTAGGCCTGGAACTGGACTGAAAGTGGCATGGCTAATCTCACAGCTCAATGGCTTTATCTTTTACCGAGTAAGTGGAGATTTACAAAAGGTTTTCCTCAAACATCAAAGTAATTTCATCAATCAATCATAATTGAAAGTAATTTCATCAATCAATCGTTATTTAAACCCAAACTGCGAATCACAAGTAGTACAAGAAGTCATCCGATATTATTTTACTGGATGTATTGAAGTTTTAATCATATTTGTCCAGCATTAGTAAAGACATATAATCTCACAGAATTAAAAAAAAAACATTATGGTAGCATGACAATTAGAGCAACTCTAAGAAAGCAAAACTTTATTAATTACAGCTCCTGCGAGAGTCGCATTTCAATATTACAACAGGAAAAAGATGGCCAAGAGTCACTGCCTCTGCTTCCCTTTACTTCTTAGACCACTCCTCCTTCTCCTTCCGCTCTCGAACGACCTCCTTCAGGTATGGCTCCAGGTAATACACTTCCTGCAGAAAAGAGTTTCGGCAATTCATGAACTCTTCCCTGGCCGATAGGTTGAACTTTTTTACATAAAAAATCCACAAGACATAAGAGATGGAGTGTACCACAATGGACAAAACTCATCCCATAATTAGGCTTAAGATTCTGCTTATCCACCCAGCCATATGCCGGAGCTTACAAGGTGGTATAACTGAGGTTATTCACACCTTGTGGTTGGGTGAATAAGAATAACATTCTGATTAGAAAAAGCTTACATATACCATGAGGGGTTGCTGATGACAGCAGATTATCAGGTTGCATTTACACTGACGGTTTTCGTTCCTAACAAAATCTGTCACAATATTATTATTCTGTAGTGCATGTGGCTCACCTCCTCATACTTAGTCCACTGATCCCGGGGCAGAACCTGCTGCTTCATTGACAGGTCAAGAGCTCTCTTGATGCGGAACATTCTGTCATTGTATACTTGTTCTGGGAGTCGCCTTAGAGCCTCCTTCACGTCACTGTCCTCATAAATGGTGTCATCCCTCATTAGCCCTATAACGAAAGGACGGAGAAGCACAACTCTCAGATTTGTTACGTGTAAAGTTCTTAAAAGAGCTGATAAACCATCTATGTTTTATTTTTTCATTCCAGCTGAGCTCTTTACATAAATCAATCTCCACCCGAACCAACAAGCTGCTTGGCTGGAACCTTTGTGCGGTTTTCTACTCAGAGAATGGTATCCTATGGTTACATAAGAAACGGAACAGAAAAGGCACCTTCCAACAGGTTAAGGAACAGAAAATAATGAAAGAGTTCATATGACTTATTATTGTGTTTATTAACGGTTAAATTATTTAACTGGGTGCTTAGGTGGAAGCAAACCAGCAGGCGCGGCCGTCACCCGGATCAGGACCGGAACCCCTGCCATACAGTCAAGAAGGCAGTACAAGTATCTTTCTGCTTAATGCTGTTGAAAAGAATTGTATTCGGTAAAATGTAAGTGCACCGCATTTTAAAACAAAAAGTTGTAACTTACAATTTAAGTAGGAACACCCATTCCCATGGGAAGATGAACTGCATGGAATGGTGTGACTGATTAACTTCCCAGCACTTTCCATGCTTTAAAGTCTTTCTAGGCAATTTTCTTTACGGAAAGGTCAGCAAAACTGAACTTTTTCCTTCCGGAAATGGCGATACAAAACAATACAAATGTTTGTTGGTAAATGAAATCCAACTAATTTAATTGACAATCCTGAAGAGCAGTCAAGAGTATCTGCCTCATTTTACTCCTTAACATGTGAGAGTTCGTCTACAAAACAAAAATCTATCAATCTACAAATCGCAAAATCTCGAACATTTTCCAAATCTGGTGTGGTTGAGTCACAAAACAGACAGAATCAAGGATGATCTGCATATGCCAAAGTGTTTTTAAGCAAGTCTGTCTGATTTACTCAGAACTTCATATTAAAATAAAATGAGGCACTAATGCTTCCAAAACAAAAACCTCAAGATCAGATTGCAAACATCAACAGCTAATTTACTACATAACTATCTTCAGTACAGTTCTGAATGCCCATCATTCATTTCAGTACTACTTATTTTGCACTAAAACAGATAGGAGAGTGTGCATATGTGTATGCACAACTGTAAATCTTCCACTACCTCATGCCTTCACTTACCAAGCTTGTTGAATCCGGCAGCATTGTAGTACCACTTGCGGAATCTGAACAACAACCGGCTTGTTGCTGAAACTGAACAGTAAAAAGTATGTCAGACATTCCTCGAGCTTGTGACCTTTCTCTGGACCTCTGGATAACGTGTTAAGCTTTATTAATTGTAGGATACTATAGAAAACCAGCTGTATTCCAGACACTGATCCCTGGTGTAAGTCTTTAGTGTCATTAATATTTTTGCTTGCCATTCCCCCTATTTTGCAACGTCTGCAAATTTTGTTTGCTAACTACACCTAAATCACTGAATAGATCAGGAAGATGAAACAGCCCTAAAACCCATCTCTGAGTTATACCACTGCATAACTGTATAAGGTTAAGCCCCCTAAAATAATGTCCTGTTTAGGAACACATTACTGTTTTAATGTGAGAATTAATATAGGCTTATATTTCTGGACAATAAGCAGCAGGTTACGGAGCTTTTGGAACAAAAGATACATTTGACTTGTTTTTTTACTTTAAATGTGAGAAAACAGCCTGAGCAGAACCCTATATTATTTCCTGCAGAGAATTAAAAAATCAAGTTGCCACAAAACATACGACTACACAGTAAATTAGAAGTAGAGTAAATTCCCACTTAAAAAACACACAGTATGTCTGAAACATGCAATGGGATGCCCAGTCATTGGAAGTGTAGATTTCAGTACAAATCATATTGTTACTGACAAATATTACGAAGCTGAGTCATGGCATCATTTCAAAACGATTTAAAAGGGAAATAATCTAAATGAATAATCTAAATTAGTCGTCTCTTTGACATAATGTAAATTCAAATTGAACATATTCTATAAAGTAATTATTAAAATGCTCCACCACAGAAATATAGCACGCAGTTAATCCCAAGAGCGTCAAGGTCAGAGCCGATATCAAACTATGGAATACGCGGCCCTTATTATTCAGAAAGCACGAAAGATATTAAAATTAAGGAAAAAATGCGTAAACCATGATAATTTACTTAAGACAGGAGATACTGTCGATTGCAATTGCCTGTCTCTCCAGGGACATAGAGGACACTCGAAATACAATCGACAGAGACAAATATCAGCAAACCTGAAGGGCGAAGACATTTGCACTTGTTGAAACGCTCAAATAGCCCTTCTGTGAAAGGTATACGCGTGCAACAAACTGACAGGTAAATGTATAAATGTCATTTTTGCTCACCCGGTGCCCTCGCCGCCATCTTTACTAGAGAAGGATCCGCGGAATTGTGGGTAATTATGACGAACAGTCAAGCGCGTTCTGGAACGGTACTCACAAATCACGTGGTGTTCACAGGCCGCACCATAGAAGTTCTTTCTTTGCCCAGATTGGCTCTCTACTACAATTCAGTTATGTACCCAGCTCATCCAAAGAAAAAAAATCCTCCATTTATAGAGCACATTTCCTCCAAAAGTACTTCACCCACCACTGAAGCGCACACACCAGCAGCCCTATTGCACAACAGATTAGGTGATAAAGTGAGAAATTGATTTATCATTTGTCACCGCTGCCTCCCAAAGAATGCGATATCTCTAAAGCTAGAAATCCGTTTCTAGTTTTCAAGCTTTCAAAAACATGACAACGGTCATTAAAAAATATAAATATATTTTTATCTAGATGTATTTAACCGCATGAAGATATATTAACCACAGGGGTCCACGGCGAAAGTAAAAATGCGCTCTCTCGTTCTGCAGTTTTACACAGATGTTTATCTTTTAATTGCAAATCAGCATAGAATAAACTCAACCACAAAAAAAAAATATACAACTGAGTAAAGAAACATGACACAAAAACTAGAGACATCAAAAAATGGTTAGGGGTTTCTATTATTTTTGTGAAAGTTCATTGTAATAAACATTTCTGATTTTTGGTATGTTATTTAAAGGATTGTGGGGATCCTCTGTGTAAAACATTGTCTCCTCGTTTTTGGTCTTGAATAGTGTTGAATAGCCTAAAACCTACTTTCCATTTGTGAAGACATATTGGTACCCTAGGTTAATTGGCTTCTGGCTAAAACTGGCTATGGTGCAAGTGTGTCTGTACGTGTGTGTACCCTGTGATAGGCTAGCATCCAGGGTTTATCCTGCCTCATGCCTGCTGCTTGTTGGTCTAGGCTGTATTGCTGTATTGGATGCTTAGAAAATAGATGGATTGTTGGAGTCTAATATGAACTCCCAAGCTTCACCTCCTCCACTGAAGCCAGATTGTGAGAAAAGACAGATGCATATAATATCCTGGAACATGGCACTACTAGTAGCCAGACAAGCACCATGGGCCATATGATCTCCTCTAATCTGTAGCCTTTCTCATGTGAAGACATATACCTAGATGAGTGTAACTGGATGTGAAAGAAGGGAAGGACGGCTAAATAAAAAAAGTATTTTGCAGTTAAAGTGTCTTTTGAAACATTTCAAAGTCCTCCAGTGATGCCATGGCAACCGCTGTGCAGAACTCCTCATCAGGGAGAGAGACCAGCCTGTCCAATGAGACATAGTTGGGTTCAGCAGGATCATACTGGGCTCTGCCCAGCTGTTTCAGGAACAAATGTCTCTCTTTGATTCTCAGCAGTTTAGCGTTAAAAACCTAAAAAAGACATACAAAAATTAAAACTCAAGTCTTCAACAATAGATAGAACGATAAAAATGAATGAGGCTTTTGGGTGTGTGTACTTCATTGCTCATACTCCTGTGCATACTGTACCTTATGAGCTTGTCATCAGACAATATCATTATTTTATTGTAACCCAAGTGCAAAAAAAGCCCAAATATGCAAAATAAAGTTCACCTGAAAAGAAGCCGTGCTGTGCAAGTCCAATCATATTGAACAATGCATAGATTTGCACATACTCCTGTATATAGCATAAATCAAGTCAGAAAACTTCTAATCTGTAACTTAAAATCTCTTGCAATCTTTTACCCACAATACTAAATAGTATTCCTTAGAAAAATAGTACATTTTAATATTCTACTGTCCAGGTTACCTGAGGGAATTTGACAATCAGCGAATGAGGAATTCCCATTGTGTTATGTAGGTAGTCAAAGATTCCTGTAAGTTTCTTCTTGTTAGCTGTTAAAAGCTTCGGAACTCTGGTAACAATGTGTTGAATTTCATTTTCCTGAAACCCCAACTCGATTTTGCACACCTGCATAAAACAAAAAGTGATTCATAGATTAGGAATGTCGACCAAGGAAGGTTCAGAACATGTAACAGGCCACCATCAACTGGTTTAGACGCGTCTTACTTTGAGGTTTTCTTTCACTGGCTCCAAACTCCCACACAATAACCGTGGAAGACGGGTTACAAGATCCCGTGTCTGAAAAGCATGAAAAATGTAAATGTAAGAAATAATAGACAATTAACACAACTCCACCTGAGTCCGATCGCGTACACCTCTGAGGATCTGTCCTTGAACAATAGGGGACGATGTGGGACCACACCCTGGACAGCACACAAGTCCATAGCAATGTACTGTACTGTGCACAATTATTCAGTGAAGTCTCTTCCCAACAATAACGTGATAACATTAAGTGTTAAATGTCTCAGTCCTTTTCTATGTAGTAAAGGAATTCTACACTTCCCTGTGCCCTAAAAGCAGATGGTTGAAAGGCCACACCTGTGCCAAATTCAACCTCAACTGTGTGTAAGCAACTTCTAAAAATTAAACATCAAAAAGGTCAAAGACTCATCAGAACTTCAAACTTCTAGAGCACAGATTTTAATCTAAATAAAGCATGAATTTAACTGTTCACAATATACCTCAGTGCAATACTGTAGATTTCCAACATGAGAAATCTGTCAATCCCTTTAACCTAAACGAACACGTTGTACACACACCGAGAAAAATGGTTTATGGGAGGGCTGTTTTCACCCAGTTCAAAAGAAGGTGTGCTTTGGGTGAGGTTTTTTCTTGCCCGTGAACTCAATATTGATACGAGACGGGTCACATTTTTGTGGTCCTGTACACACATCCCACCTTCTGCACGTTCAGCCCAAGCTGTTTCTGGAAGAAGCCCAACCTGTTGTCCAACCTTTCCACACTGAAGTTCAACAGAAAAGGCGCCTCAGACACCATTCTAGCAATTGCTTCGCTGCTGAACTTCTTGACCTTCAGGTATGATACCCTTGAAAGAATTTGAACAGAAACAACATTTTCAGAGCAGTGCTATCACAAAACAATGATAGTGCGTGCACAACGTAAGAGCAGAACTTTTAAAGACGTTTTAAGCGGAAGCTTTCTTTGGTTTTACAGTTCTCTGATCTGTATTTCTGTTCACGTTTCCTGACACTGTTTGATGTTTGAAACATTTGATTACATCTCTTAAGAGTTAGGTGCTACATTTCTTTTGTGTTTCAGTGCATATGCTGTAAGAAAACCAGTTTTTAGAGTGTGACGAAGTAGTCCCTCTAATTTGTTGATACACTGTTACACAATAAAATGCCCTCGTGTGCCTAGAGTAGAGGAGCCACATCACAGAGAATGGCCGTGTTTAAAAAAAATCACACCCTTAATGGAGACTAGGAAACATATTTCAAGGTGTTATCCTTAATTTGGAAAAACAAAACAATCAAATACATTTAAAAAACTGGGATGGAAAGTATTTTGCAGGCTCCCAACAATAATACATTTTTATATAACCATGTGCTTGGGCACCCTCTTGTCACACAGAGGCTTTGGAGACTGAAGAAGCCAGATTTCCATATCTTCATCTTTTTGAGGTGTCAAGGCTGGCAGCAGCTGTTTAGGCCCTGCACCTGACTAGCTGGTCTTAAGCGGGCTGTTTATTTCTCGGCAAGGCCTACCTCGCCTGCAGCTTTTCCATGCTCTCTGTGAGGATGAAGGGGTTCTTTGTGAGGAAGGGCCCGAGTTTTGTTTCCTCCACGCCCACTTCTTTGAGAAACAGCAGCCTTTCCTTCACATCGGCGTCGAAATCCAAGCGCAGCAGCATGTTCGCGACATTCGGGCGCTGCTCCAGTTTGGAAAGGTCAACACCTAAACAAGGAACAAAAAAAATTATTTCATCGACGTTTACTGGCAGTTTCTGGGTATGTGATAAGTTGTAAAGAAAACTAAACTTTATAGCTTCTGACAACCATAGTTTGTCAGTGGCTGCTACAGATGGAATCTTATTATTTGTAAGGTATTACAAGAATTCAAGTGAACACACATTTCTGCAGTAAATAACTAGTGAAATGTTGGAGGCATTCTTTCTTAAGGTACTCTTTCCTTACCTTCAGCTGTAAGTACTGAAGCTCAGAAAAAAATGCTACGCTCTTTCAAAAGCTGTTATGGCTATTTATGTGCTTTTCGTTTTCCATTTTCACTGTATACACAATTTCCTAAACATAATTTTAAAACCTCCCTATTAAACCTACAACCACAGCTCTCCACACAAAATAGCCATCTCTACAATGTTGATAAAGAGAGAAGTATACTTGCACCTGGAATTCAACAAACTTCTGCAAGGAGTAAAATTACCATCATGTTCTTGTAAAAGCATGAGGCTGTATGGCAGTACTTTTAGGAAGCTCCCTACTCTTAAAGAATTTTTGGCTAATGGAAATTCGCAGACATAAAAGAAACATGCTCTCCAGCGCACCAACTGGACAAAAATGGCTTATGGCAGAGCTGCATGGCTGCTGAAACAATGTGTTTCCCACAGTGAAAAGCAATCATCATTGTACCAGCAAAAAGCTGAACTGATGTTGTTAACTAAAGCAGTGAGTTCAGATCACTTTATTAGGCATATACAATTTCTTGCATTAGGAATTTGTCTTTTCACATACCCCAACTTGCTCTCCATGAGACACACAGACAGGGAGAGGAGCTTGGGGTCAGAGCGCAGGGTCAGCCATTTATATGGCGCCCCTGGAGCAGCTGGGGTTAAGGGCCTTGCTCAGTGGCCCAGTGGAGTAGCATTCCTCTGCCAGCCGCGGGATATGAACCGGCAGCCTTCCAGCCACAGGCGCAGATCCTTAGCCAAAGAGCAACTGCTCCACCCAGAAATGAGGTACAGAAATTACGTAAAGTATTTCCTACACTCCACTGTCAGAATTTCCTTTCCTTGTACACTTAGCTGCTGATGATCAACCATGCACCACCAACCCACAGTAGAAGCCCCATTCAGATTCCAGGAAGAGACAAAGTGCCTGAAGGAGAGGAGGCAACATTGGTACATCTGACCTCTAACCTGCATGGCATGTGTGCGACCTGGGGTTACACTTGCATTGCTACACTTAATCTTAGCCAAAAGGCTAAGAAGCGAAATGCTATGCGCTTAAGATCAGTACAGTCTGACCTCTACTGTATACGATGCTGTGGTGTGGCTGCACCATGGGGTTCCACTAGGGTCAAGTGCACTCTAACTTTAACAGCACTAAAATACACAGAGCTGGTACTACCCAATCATGCTCCATAATGGTTAACCCCCCACAATGAAACTGCGATAGTTTGACCGTGCTCTGTCTCCACTACCTGGAGAAGCCTTTTGATTTTCATCTGATTGAGTAGAAATCCCACCATTCACTAGAAATTCTGGAATAGGAGTCAATTGTTATACAGCAGTGATAATGCCAGCAATAGGAGCAAGATACAATAAAGAACAGCATTGCAGCTTTTCTGCCTATTAATAGCAATGGAATGGAGAAACAGGTTATGAAACGCGCTTTAGAGCTCTGCGGGTATCTTCTTGTAATGTCTTTCAGAAAGACCCAGTAATCCCTCCCCTGGCCCGCGTTTAAAGTCCAACACTTCCAGTACCCAGGAGAACAAGTTTGCTGAGCGTCTCAGATTGGTCCACATAGTCCCTCAGCGTGACGGACACCGCCGGCAGTACCGGGTGCACACTGATCTGCACGGCGTCGTCCTCGCTCAGCTCCGCGAACGGAGACAGGGGCGGGGCCGCCTCCAGTTCTAAACGGGGAAAAGAACGCCGGGTCAGCCGTTCGGCACGGACTACATCCACAGGGCTCCACGTCGCCCTGAGCAATGACATTGTCACAGCCACAGGACTGGTTTACCGCTGAGAAGACCTAGCAAACGTCAAGAACACAATCGGCACAATAAGTGCTGGGCTTAAATCTAGAGACTGAGAGGGAATAAATCACACCACGTTCATCCAAATTCGTTTTCATTGATAATGCTTAACGGCATACGATGTTGTGCTGCCATTTCATTGATAAATTATTAATGACTGGTAATATTAAGTGCTTTCGTTTTTCCTGCACAAACACATTTCAAAAACGAATAAACGCTTAACACAAAAAAACACAAAATACTTGTCTATATTAATAAATACATGATGTTTAAAGATGAGTAGTTTTGCGTTCTATTTGTTTTACAAGTTCATTAATACACTGATATGGCGTTGCCCGGTCTATTGGGCTACGAATTGACTGTATTTACCCGCGCACTGACTCTCGGGGATTGAATTCGGCTTCACTTCTCCCTGGTGGTGACTGTGGTTAAAAGGAACCAACCAGTTTCCCACGGAACCTGCTACAGCCTCGTTCCCGCTGTTGGGCTGCGCTGTGGTACAGAGCCTATGACCTCTGAACCTCCACCGCCCAGAGCTGAAGGCACTGTCCTGTAGAACTGGGGTCTGCCCGGCCCTTGTGCTGCGCAGCCCCGATGAAAGACTTCTCATCTGCAGAGCCAAACATCTTCGGCAGAGTTGCAGACTCGCAAAAACCATAACGCAATTCCTGGAAAAGACAACACATGCAGTTACACATTACTCAAAGGAAATCGACGTTTTGGGAAATGATGGCAACCAATTGCAGCCCAGTTCCATTTCACTCTGTGCTGTAAGACTCTAAACAGGGTTTATGAAACTATTGGCAATGAACGACGTGAAGGAAGAAAACCCCAATCTATCCAAAAGTGTAGTGAAGGGAAAAATCTGCCGGTGACGAGTAGCAATCCAGTACGGATCTCGAGAGTGACCCTGCAGCCAGTACAGGTGTTCAAGGTGTTTCTTCAAGAACAGTAAAACTGCACATCGGCACTAAAAGGTTTCAGGGTGTGCGCAGCTGCTCAGAAACCCTTTTTACTAAGAAAGATCATCAAAACAATTATTTAACCTGTTTGTAATTCTTTACAAATACATTTTTGAAGAACTGATTCCAGTAATGCCAACATCGGCCTCATCGCCTTGACATTTTGGAGACGTTTTTGGCGCCGTCTATAGAAGTGAGCGTGCATTACATGCAATCACCAAGGCAAACTATTTCTTTTTTCATTTTTAAACACCGACGCATCAGCATTTAAAGCACACCTTTTCAAACTAAACAGCAGCGGAAACCCGTAATTATTACTAGATGTAAATACATGTTTTTCATGTCTGCATTCCAGTAGTTTACCATTTAATCCCCTTTCAACCAATGATCTTTGGTTTTAACAATCTGTAAGTCGCACGATTTTCAGGCGCTGTAAAATCAACAGAAACGCATTACATTAACTGACATTTGCACCATTAAAGAGTCAGCATTTCAGCTGTAATGCATAAGTGCTAAACTATTAAGACTAACATCTTGAAAATCTGAACGATATTACTTTTAAAAGCATACATTTAAGTCATAAACAACGGTCACAACTTACAACATCAGATCAGCGCAATGGAATGTCAGCGTACAACATTCAAATTACTATTAAATCATTCCTAGGTTATTCAATAAAAACAAAAAACATGGCCTACTCGGTTGTACGTATCTGCTTTTGATCAACTTCACCCACGTGTGCTCTCTGACTCTTCCGGGCGGAAGAGTTCATAAGCGCCGTATACTAGGGGGGGTGAACCGGGAGGTTTTGCCTTCAGAATAAACAGGGATGGTAGAAATTGATACTTTCAATCCTAAACCTAGCGTTAAAAATTATATAATAATTAATGAACGCTTTAGAACGGTGTTGCGTCTCTTCGATGTGCCTTAATATTGAACAAAACTCTCCTGTCCCCCTCCGCCTGTCGGTTTGGACAAGCCAGCGAGTCCCACTGACAGGAGCGGAGCCGAGGAAGAGCAGCAGGGAGGGGGCAGACGGCACCACCGCAGAGATGGCGGCTGCAATGGGGTCTACTACCCTGAGCAAAGATGATGTGAACTACAGGCTGCATTTCCGCATGATCAACGAGCAGCAAGTGGAAGATATCACCATCGATTTCTTCTACAAGCCGCACACCATCACCCTCCTGACCTTCACCGTCGTCAGCCTGATGTACTTCGCCTTCACCAGGTGAGCGACCAGCTTCGCCCCCGGCCAGCGGTCCGTCTCGGTCGCGGGAGGGGGCAGCTGGAAGCGCTGCAGCGCCGCGAGGCTCCAGCTGCGCTGCGTAGCTCCTATTTAAAAAAACAAGGATGAAAAACACTGTAATAGTTGATTCGTTTACTGCAAACGAAGTCGTGAACAGAATCGCAGTTAACGGTTCATCTTGCCCCGTTTTCTGTGATCGAACCGTGTTGTTCTGAGGTCCTGTAATTGGCAGTTACCATGGCAATAATGTATAGACTACTTACGTGAGAGTCCTGTGTGTATGTACATATGTATTTAGTCTTCTAATAATTAGCCATTCCCCAGGATGCACGGGGGTGTGGAACATGTTTAATGCATGCAGAGTCCTCATGTTAAGATTTGGCTAGCTTACATGAGCCGAAACTGTTGCAAACATTCACGTGGCACATTTATTCAAACCCTCTTACGATTGATGGTACAACTGTATGTACAATTGTAAAATATATACGTACATATTTGTAGCTCTGCGTGCAACTTTACAAGAGAGGAAAAAAATCCCGTTAAGCTTGTGTTTGTGGACCTCCACGGCATGAGTATTGATCCACGTCAGTAGAGACGCTGTTTTTTCCCTGTACATTTTAAAGTAATTTTCCGTGAAGGAGGGGAATCCCGAGTTTTGGTAGTGTGTTCATAAAACACACAGAGGCGTGTGTTTAAAGCAGCGGTCTTGAACGCTTGAATGGGAAAGACGGCTATGCAGCGGGTTTTCGGGGCTCTCTGCTCGGTTGGGTGACAGTGACATTGACCAGCAGCACCGCCCTGGCGGTTCACCTTCACCGCCGCCTGTCTGCGCCTGGGGGTGTCATGGCGACAGATGTGTCAGCGCTGCTGGTGGGTAGACGGAGCTTTGAGGAACTGACCTGGCACGCACGGGGCCGCCTTCATCACTATTTATACACCCCCAGCGCTTAGTTTGTTTCCACTGAGGTTTTTGGCTGCCAGTGGTTATAGAGCAGACATTGTCCCGGGCCGGCTTGCTGTACTGCTGCTTGGAACGAGTTCCTGCCTCACATTGATCTCTTCTGTGAAAGACAAAATCCAGACGTTGAGTTCGATGAAAATAACATTTACTCTGTGCAACGTTTAAGAGATTTTGCTCTTTTGTAACGGCATAATTAGTCTGGGCAAGAGGGGTGGCTCCTTGGCATAGTATTTAGCAATGCTGCTTCGCAGTGCTGGGGCCCAGGGTTCAATTCCTGGGGTGCTATCTACGTAGACTTTGTATGGTTTCCTCCCACAGTTTAGAGATTTACTCGTAGGTTAATTGGCATTTTGGAATATAGGCTCCAGCTCCCCCACAACCCAAAACTGGATGAAGCTGTTAGAAAATGGATGGCTTGTCAGGGAAAGGCAAATAGGTCATTCTTAACAGCACTGTCTCAAGTTCTGAAAGAACTTTTCTTGGGAACAGTGTCTGTTTCTAATGGCTGTAGATGGGTATTCATTCAAAACGTACAGTAAACAGTTGAGGGTACAACAATGTATGTGATGATGAAGTGTATCTATTTTGCAACAGATCTGAAAATTCCAAGATTTAGGTAACCTTTGGCAATAATCTGTATTTGTGTGTGCATGTGCTCCTCTATGGAGATTGGAGGAGAGTATGTGTTTTGTATTAGAATTAAAAAATCCTATTTATAATCCTTCACTAGGTAACCTGCATCAGGTACTGTAGCACTCATTTCATGCAGATGTGCCCTTTTGTCTTCCATGTATTTTCAACAAATAGAAAGAAGGTAATATTCCTTATTAACAATCTTGTTGGCTGCATTAAGTTGCTACTTAATTATAAAAATGCTAATTATTCTTTGGGGAGTTGCATTTTCCTCTCATAACTCCTTAAGTCACATCCAGAATTGCTGCCTTTTCCTACTTGATTTGCAATAGGAATTTCTTAGCTTAAATGCTTTTTCTATTTGAATTTCAGATCTCTGATTATATTAAAAATAACCCTACTTTAACTGCCATTCAGTGAACCGGTGCAATGCTTCTTGTGATTCGTAAAATTAAGAAATTGTGCAGACATAACTGATCTAGAGTTGATCATGTCTGTGAAGTTTGTTGTATGATTAAAGTAACAATTACTAATGTACTGCCAAATAATGTATCCTGAAAAAAAAGACTTTTACAGTTAATATTTAATGGCCAAAAGAGATCTTCCTGTATATAATGCATCAGTGTTCTACTCCCACAGACATGCAGAAAATCGATAGGACAGTCCTCACTCTGTACCTTAAAAACTATTAGTGATGTTCTCGGTTTAGAGCTTGATATTAAAGTTCATTTACTGGTAATGTTCCAGATGAATGACCTTTAAATTTAACTTCATTGTCCAAGATTGTTTTTGTGATAAACATATCCAGGAATAATATGTACTTTCTCAAAATAACAATGGGTCTGTTTCATTGTGAATTGTATTGTGTTAAAATGGTACTTTACTATTCTGATTCATTATGAAATGATCAGTTTGGAGTATGCCTTATTCTTTCTTTTGTCCTTTTTGAAAGGAATGACTCAGACCCAGACAACAATCTCTGGATTGGGCTCATTTTAGTGATATCCTTCTTTCTCATCATCAGTGTACTGGCCTTTCCTAATGGTAAGTGCTTGTAGATCTGCTCTGTTAATCAAGTAGCTTTTGTAAAAGTCTACCACAATCACCAAGCTCCATTTTTGGAGCAGTCTCTTGTCTCTGTTCCACAGAACATTCAAACTATGTTATTATTCTACTAATGAGGTTTAAGTGGGCAAAATTTAGCTTTCTTTCCTGGGCTTAGTTTTATGTGTACAGTTTGTTAAACCCAATGCATCGATAAATGAACACTGGAGAAACATATGAACTCTTGGGGAGGCCAGTTATCATATCTTATTATGACTTAGAAGTCCATGCAGCTCACCAAAACCAATTTCCTTCACACACCTGCCCAGTTAACATGGACATTGATTCTTTAGTACATTCTCAAATCATTATGCGAAAGAAGCCACTTACCTAACTATTAGAAACACTAGGCAAATGAGTAAAGAAATGGGTTGTGTTGCGTATGTACAGTAAATGTCAACAGTTCTTTAACTGGTTGGTCTACTCTGGTCTGTTTCTAGAGCAGTCTTTTTTTAATGTGGTGACGAAAATTGCACATAATAGTTGAAACGTGGTCTTGCTGGTGCAATGTGCGATTTTGAAATAACGTCCTTTAATAATAAATGCTGAATTTGCATTGCAGTTCTAACTTTTAGGTTTGCCGAGCTTGTCTAGAAGATGCACATGATGTGTCAGGATAGACTGAGACTTTTTTCTTGTAAGTAGCTTCTTCAAGCTACATATTTACTATGCATCAGACAAAAAGCTTATAACAATTTCAGCATGTGTCCTTAAAAAAAGAATAAGGATTTTAAAAGGACACATGCTGAAATAGTTATAAGCTTTGTCTGATGTTCAAAATGTGATCAACATCCAAAATCCTTATTCTTGAAGTAGTTCAGGTGGGTAGCTGTGTCAGCATGCGTAGGCTGCAAAGGAACAAGTAATAGGTTTATTCCATGCTGAAAAGAGATGAAAGAAAACACAATGTTTCGGCCATGGAGCCTTCTTCAACGCCTGCGAGGATATTAAATACTTGGATCAGGGCTTCTTTTAATCGTCTACCATATCATTGTGTTTTAGGACCATTTACTAGACCACATCCAGCAATATGGCGCATGGTTTTTGGTGAGTACACATTCAAGGCTTTTACAGAACAATCGGCTCATTCTTCAAACTAGACACTACATGTATACATTTGACTCTAAAAATAAACATTGTAGTGTTTAAAAATGCTTTAAGCCCTTGTTTAATAACTTTCATAGACAATTTTCAAAAACAGTTCAAATTATGTGTATTTAATAAATAGTCTTAAAGTACTACAACAGTCCACATTGTACCATTGGAGGATTCTAATGTAATGGTTATTATTGATCCAATTACCTTATTAAATAAAGTTACTCCCTGTGTCTCTAGCCTGTAGTGCTGACAGGAGTCTTGTTTCTACAGGTCTGAGTGTCCTTTATTTCCTCTTCTTGGTGTTTGTGATCTTTCTGAACTGGGAGCAGGTCAAAGGGCTGATGTACTGGCTCGACCCCAATTTGCGCTACGCCACTCGCGAGGCTGACATCATGGTAAGTAAAATCCCGCTCCATCGTGATATCCTGTTTCAGGTGTCCCTACCAGCAGGGTTTGAACCAAGTGCTGTCTTCTGTACTAGATATGCGCTGAATAGAATTTGTAATGAACATTTATTAGGGAATGCAAGTGGATGTTCACCCCACCAGCGTGGTTTTTCAGTCATTCACTTGACTTTCAGATGAATTTTACCTGTAATGTGAAATATTTTGCCTGTTTCATTATTAGTAGGTTCCCCAGATAGAACTGCCTTCTGCACTTAGTTTCCTTATAACCTGTGAAACATAACCTATGATTAACACTTCCAACTGAGCAGTAAATTAGATAAATTGAGCTTGTGCATAAAAAATAATAAAAGCTGATTTAAAATGACGAGCCGTGAACATTTAGACCTCAGGTCTTTTGCAGTGAATGTGTGTTCTGGCCTTTGGTCTGAGAATGTAATCCAATGAAATGTGATTAGCGTATTTAAAGAGATAATACCAGTTCCTAATAAGAGGTTTCTAAAGGACTCTCGGTGTAGATAGCTTTGTTGATTTTTCCAAGAGGATTACTGAGTATATGGCAGTATTGTAATAACCCCAGAGGTGCTAGGAATGCAGACTAGACTGTTTCTTTTTGACAACATGTACTGTTTAAAACAAAACTGTCTCTTGTCTTGTGCTCGCTGTTTAGGAATACGCAATCAACTGTCACGTCATCACCTGGGAGCGGATTCTCAGCCACTTTGACATCTTTGCCTTCGGACACTTCTGGGGCTGGGCCATGAAGGCTCTTCTGATCCGCAGTTACGGGCTGTGCTGGACGATCAGCATAACCTGGGAGCTGACAGAGGTACCGTTCTGCCGGTCAAAAAAAGAGCACTAATCCAGCAGGGCTTTCTAAGCGTCCTTAAGATCGGCAGCTGAGTTTGATGATGAAACTCTGAGGGTGTGCAGGACAGGTGTAGCACACCACTGTAATGGAACACCTGGCTTGCTTCCATGAGATAACGCCAGTTTGTGGCAGTGATTGAATGACATATCTTTTTTGCCAACAGTTATAACGTCATCTGCAATGCTGGAAAGTTTTATCTAGGATGTTTAAGCTGCAGCTGTAAAGTTCTGTTGTGAAAGATTGATCTGCCTAAAGGTGCCTGATAAGAAGACACTATACAGTATATTAAAAAAAAGAGAAGAGAGATCTGTTAAGGGAGCAGATTTTGTTTTCCCCTTTGCAGGTGGGTGTTTGGGGAAACAAAGGGCCACCTTTAGAGATTTTAGGAAATAACATAAATCTTACACTTAGAATGCAGTTTTTCAAAAGAACGCTTTGTGTAATGCTTTTCCATGTTCTGCGAAGATTATATGCAAAGATTACCGAGGCCTGATGCAAAGTGACCTCTTTGTAGAAGCTCTCAAAAGCTGCCTAACTGGAAACAAAAAGAGGAAGTGGCATGCAGTGAACTTGTGCAACACAACTTGGCTTTTACACTGCCTCTTAAGTAGTCTTTCAGAAGAGTTGTTGACTGCAATGCTGTAACTGGAGCAGAAAATGAAAAGCTCAGGGAAAACGAGTACTTTAATGGTCTTTTTAATTGCTAACATAATCATTCTTTTCTCAATCTAAATTCTACAGTTTTAAAACAAAAAAATACTAAAAACTAGAGTTTTTGTTGCTTGAAATAAATAGCTGTTGCATTTTTTTTAAATGAAGGATAAAGACATCCGGTAGAGCTGCAGTAAGACATCAGGTTTTGAATTTGCTGAAGCATTGCTCTGTGCTGCTCCAAAATTTCAAACTGCTGTAAAAAGTTTGGCGATCCTTGTTCGTAAATCTCAATCTGGCACTTGGTCTTTTACAGTCATATCCTCCTTCGTACTCGTGGAGCTGGAGATTTCAGATTTTGCTCTGTTAATAAGCTTTTTTTGGCCTTGCTGCCAAACCCTGACTGTGACACAGGAAGTGACAGGAAGTCAGCAGTTGATTCAGTTGTCACGTGTCTCTGTTGACTGTATTGTATTGGAACAGGCAGAAAAGGTGCATAAGTTTGGTTGATCTTTTTTTAAAAGGGAACACGCCGTGTTGCCACAAAGAATATGATTTAATGGGATCAGCAGAGAGTTGAGAACCATCTGTCCTTTTATTATAGAAAAAAAAGAAATGTGCATAACATACATGTACACATATTCTGGCTTGTATAATTTATCAGATTTTCTTTTAGAATCTCTACAGATGTCACCTAAGGAAGAAAAATAATTTGAAATGAGCTGATAGTCCTTTTAATAAAAAAAAAACTTTGTATTGTATTATTTTACGAATTTGTTTAGGTGGAGTTAGTGAAGTTAGTGAATTGGGCAGGAGCACTGGTTCTTTCTCACAGATATTCCTGCAGCATACTGTGGCAAACAACACGCTTGACACAGCATTATTGTTGGTATTCATTTGGCAAAAAGTAACTTTATAGTGTTGTGCTTTCTAAATTACGATAGCATAAATCTGTACAGTTCACTGAAATGTAATAACTATAGAAAGCATTTTCGTTTTCATCATACACTCCATCCTGTGTCTGTAAGAGTGAGGAGCAGTTAGAGGATTTAAGTCTTGATTTTATTTAGCTTAATAAGGCATTAAGACAGCATTCATTTGCTTTAAATGTCTTAGAACAAGAGAAAACAGCAGCCACTAGTTCTCACTGTACATGACTGTGTGTTTGGTGTTTGTCTGGAAGCTGAGAGCTGGAGGGAATTGGTCCCTCTGGTATCCTCAGGAATGCAAGGAGTGGATGGAAATTACTCTCCCAGTTGGTTTTCTGGACTTCACTGAACAAATGTCTGTCCTATTATTCTTTTTTTTTGTCACTTGCTGTGTTATACAGGCCTGTGTTTTCATTCACTTGCGCTTGAGCTGTCTGGCAACATCAGTATTTCTTGATTATTGGCTTCACTTCCCCCTAACTGTTAGGATTGTTCACAAACCTTTCTGTAAAGTTGGCACAACAGGAGACCCTGTGCATGTCTCTTAAACGCATCCCTTTCTGAAATCCTCTTTCTCTGCATCAACTAAATGGTGAATGTGCTTTTATTTTGTGTAATGTGCAGCATGCCAACGCCACGCCCTTTCAAAGTACTGCACAGTTTACAGTCCCTGTAAGAAATGCCGAGATTTGGAAAAGTTCTGACTAGTCCAATTTGGCAAGAGCATTTGTGGGTGTGAAGTAAACAGGCAGTGTTGTCCTTAAGGAAGCCCTGAGATGGCGTCTCCAGGGAATTTCAGCTTCCTTAAGGCTGGTGAGTGAAGTTGACCTCTAGTGTAGGAGGTTGGTGAGCAGGTCCTGGGTGTACAGGATGATGTGAGCACCACGCATGTACTTCCCTGTATATGGGTTTACCCTGTGGTAGAGTACTGTACTTCATGGCCTTGGCAGGAGTACAGGAATTTCAGGGGCACACATACAGTACCTTCATGTTCAGGGAACTGTGTCTTGATAAAGCTGTCAGAAAAACATAAACACAAGGTTTAACCAATCTGATCTGCTGTGAATTAAAGTTGACTCCTTCGGAGCCATGAGTGGCATTTGTATACTTTTACATTTTATTATTTATAGATTGGCAAAATGGTTCTTGTAAGTTCATTGAAAAGTTAGTTTTCCTATTGGGGGGGAAAATACAGTCCTACGGGAACCTTGTTTTTTTGTTTAGCTTTTCTTTGAGAAGTAATAAAAATGTTAAATGTAATTGTTTATTGCCAAACCTAAGTGAGGAGGGCTTTGATGTGAGTGTGCTCATAGATCGGTTTTTAAGCGGCAGCACAAGAGCAATTGACAAGTGAAGAAACTTGAAATGTGTTTTGAATTGCTGTGAACAAAGTGGTAACTCCGTTCTATTGTGAACAAAAAGACACAGGTGCCTGGGCTGGGCACCATCTGAGTTGGATGCTGCATCACTGCCATGTATCCAAGAGGGACATCGTGGATATAGCTATCGTTTAGGAGGATTTTGCTGGTCTACAGAGATCTGCATTGAGTACTGACATACAGAAGGCATGATGGCTGGATTAATACCCTTATTCATGTATTCCTTTTTTTAATTCTATAATGTTAGCATGCCCAAAGGGGTTGGGCAGCCAGTTGACCTTGGACCCCCAGAGGTTTCTTTTCTCCTTACTAAGGAGTTTTTGGTTCCTTTCCTGCAGTGTTTTCTGGTCTTTTCTGTTCTGTATTCACAACATGTATGGTCACTTGCTTTGTTAAGCGCCTTGGGGCAACCTTGTTGTTAGAGGTGGTTTATAAAAATAAATTGAATTGAATTGAAAACGATCCCACATGTCACCGTCATGTGAGAGAGGAAGGTGCTGCACCTGTGTCTCAAATCCTGAGGCACTGCCTTGTGAAACTGCTGGCTCTGCACTTCCCTTCCTCTAGGGGGCATGTCCTGACCTGAGCTTTGAATCCTCATGTTCCACTGTCTTTGTTCAACAGCTGTTCTTCATGCACTTGCTGCCCAACTTTGCCGAGTGCTGGTGGGATCAGGTCATTCTGGACATCCTGCTCTGCAATGGGGGCGGCATCTGGCTGGGAATGACCGTGTGCCGCTTTTTGGAGATAAGGACATACCACTGGGCCAGCATCAAGTAGGTTTGCACCTTTTTTGGCGGGGTTTACAACCAAGTGAAACCCACCTCTGTGATGGGAATGTTCTGTTTTTTATCCTAATAAAAAATAAACAGTTTGATTCCTTTTTGTGTGTGGTAAAGGGTTAAATTATACTAACATAAAAACACGATACCTGCCTCTAGCCAGATATGCACAAAAACCTGAGATCAATTACAGTATGTCTTTCAGCATCAAATGTTCCTTCTAGCATTTTTATCATCTTCTGTTTAATGGCTTGAACAAAAGTATTTAAGATTAAAATACTGCTTTTTTATCATTATATTTTTCGGTATTGCAATTTGAAAACAGCCTGATCTAAAACCTTTTTTTTCTTCATATTTTGCCAATTTTGAGAAACTGAGCAGCTGCTTCTCTGAAGTAACAACCGTAAAATGTAGCAGATGGTGCGAAAGTACTACTGTGAACAGTGATAATCGGATTTCACCATAGGGGCCTCTAGATCTCCAGATGCATGTTCAACTATAACCCTTGATTTTACTGATGGTGTGTTTTCCAGTTGAAAGACTGGAAGAATGAAGGTTTTAATGTGTTCTACTGCAGCTGGTACGAACCCTTGCCAAAAGAAGCAATAATTCAACCTGAAATAGTTATGCTACACGTTACAGATTTGTTGAGTAATAAGTCTGTTGAACCAGTAGGATGGGAAGAGCCAGCATAGTCGCTCTGAAGCTGGATGCAAATAGCTACGTGCTCAAAATAGTCTGAGCGTGAGCAACACCTTTACAATTAAAAATGTCAATGGAGAAGGCTGGTGCTAATTAGTTATTTCAGATAGCAAAAGCTTTGGTTGGTAAAATGGTCAGCCTGTTCACAACTTGCAGATTTATTTTGGGTATTATTCAGTCTGATGGGATTGACATTGTTTTAACTACCTAATGTCTGCTGATCTGCATTTTATTGTCTTGACAATTTTGTGGTCTTAATTAAACATTCTAAACACCGATTTGAAACTGTTCATCCTTAGTTCATATCAAAGGTTTGCTATTTCAGAAAAACAGACTGAATGAAAGAATGATAACAAACTTCAGAGAAGTAGTATGTGGCAGGATAGATATGGAATTAGCAGAGAATGGACTGAAACAATTTAAAGAGAGTTGAAGCTTAATAGTCCTTAAAACACAAGGAATTTAAAGCTATATGTGATCTGTATTTGAATATTAGTTGTTGATAATGATCAAGATGAGGGGCTGCCCAGAGTGAATCCTGTATTGGCCTTATCAATTTTGGGGTTAATGGAAGATCATGAGTCTTCACTTTGAGGGACAGCCAATGGTAATGGTTAAATGAATTCCAGCAGAACCACTTAAAGCACCTAATGTATAGTGATTGACTGAGTGTGGCTCGCGGTTGTAGAATAACCATGTCAATAAGAGTTGAATATGAAGGACTAATGGAATCAAAATCAGAAGAGCCTTCGATGATAGGAGCCTATCTAACATTTTGTGCTCATTAGATTCTGTTTCTCCATAGTCCTAAGAGCGGGTACTTGGCTCAAAATGACACCCTTAGAAAAACAGTCCATTTCAGTTTTGCAGCATTAAATGCTGAAAAGATGTTACTCTGCAAGTCAGTCATGCCAAGAAAAAAAAAACAAAGAACCCACTAGGAGAAAAGGTCAATGTTTTCCTACCCAGGATTAACCTCTTTACCTTCTTCTTAGTTCAGCACCTTTTCTTTGTCAGCTTTTAGAATGTCATTTTTGGACAGATCTGTACGAGCTTATTAAAGATATGAATTGCATTTTCTATTGCTTTATTTAGTTTGCTTATATTTTCTCATGAATCTTTAGGGCAGTGATATAAAAGTATTTCTACCGCGTTTCACAGTCATCACTGCCAGGATGGGGCGCCTGTGCCCTTTGAGGGAAGCTCCGAGTAAATATTGAAATAAGTTCTATATATAACTTTATAATAGTGCGCTCTGGTCAGTTGTGCGTGTAGTGGGGGAGGGGCAGAGTGCCGCAGATGTTCTATGTCGACGCACATGTGCTGAGTGATAGGAAGGGCCTGGATGGCTGAAGTAACCAGTGGTTCCTCTTGGTGCCCGTCTTGTCCAGGGACATTCACACCACCACGGGCAAGATTAAACGAGCAGTGATGCAGTTCACCCCCGCCAGCTGGACCTACGTGCGCTGGTTCGACCCCAAGTCATCCATTCAGAGAATCGCTGGAATTTACCTCTTCATGATAATCTGGCAGGTAGGCTTCACTCCACTGTTGCGCACCATCCAGCAACTGCAGATCGGGCGGGAAAACTCCCAGCAAATCACAGGAGTGTTTTTTTCCTTTTTAAGATTGCAGAAATCGTTCTCCCAATCACTTCTCAAAATGCCCTGTGTATGCGGTAGAGTTGCATGCAGGTTCTAGAGCAGTGGAAACAATAAATTTTGAGAACCAAGGTCCTGACTCTCTGTGGTCATTAAAAATCCCAGGGCGCTTCTCGAAAAGAGTAGGGGTGTAACCCTGGTGTCCTGGCCAAATTTTCAATTGGCCCTTACCAATCATGGCCTCCTAATAATCCCCCTCTATGAATTGGCTACATTACTCAGCTCTCCTCCCCACTGATAGCTGATGTGTGGTGAGCGTTCTGGCGCACTATGGCTGCCGTCGCATCATCCAGGTGGATGCTGCACATTGGTGGTGATGGAGGGGAGTCCCCATTACCTGTAAAGTGCTTTGAGTGGAGTGTCCAGAAAAACCTTAGTTTTTCCCAGGAGGTCTCCCATCCAGGCACTGACCAGGCTCACATCTGCTGAGCTTCAGTGGGTTTCCAGTTGTGAGGTGCAGGGTGATATGGCTGTTATATAGATATGGTATTTTGTGTTGTCTCCCTACGCAGTTGATTTTAAATAGATTAGCAGTACATTGGTAAAGTTTTGAAAAGAATTGATGCAGTCATCTCTTATTGATCATATAAATGTGAACTTATCCTCATAAGGCAAATGAGAACAGCGTTGTAAATATACTGTTTACATTTTGTTCTTTGCGTATAATGACCACACTTTGTATTTTTCAGCTTACGGAGTTGAATACATTCTTCCTGAAACACATCTTTGTGTTCCAAGCCTGTCACGCTCTGAGCTGGTGCAGGATTCTCTTCATAGGGATCATCACTGCCCCCACCGTTCGGTAAAGTAACCATTCTGCCTGTCCTTCCTTCATTGCAAGCTGCTTTTGGGTTGAGAGAAAGTCAAGTCTGCCTAGGAAGACACCCAACAGTGCCCCTTGAGATGCTTAGAGTGGCTTCATGTTTCCACCATGAGGGGCAAAAGAAAAAAGCCCTTCTGTTACCCTACAGTATGTGTGTCCATTGTTACCCCCTGTTGAAAACTGATCTTAAAGCATTTCCTGTGCTTTGTGAAAACCAGGGTCTGACACCAGACAGTGATGTCAAGCTGGATCGGTGCAGAGGCCCATTGTATCTGGACTGGAAACATGTCAAGATGAAAGTCAGGTGTATACTGTAGTACAGTTAAACCTTGATTATAATAGACTTCTGATATAAGGGACAGTCTCTGATATTCTTGACTTTTGTCAGGGCCCATCGGACATTTGCTAGATCAACAGACGGTGTCTGTTTTACCTAAATATATCAGGTATTGATTCATTTAACTATTTCTTAACAGTAACAGCAGTGTATATTTTATCATTCTGGTTATTATGAATTATTGCATTCATGATCACTACATATAAATGACAGAATATGAAGAATTCATAATATGAAGAATGGTGGTGATGTTGTGGGTCGATATAAAGGCTGCAGCAAAGAAGTGTACAGTGTGCAGTGAATTGAGAAAAAAGTAGTTCTTGCATATGAAGAACAGTCATTTTTAATACAGCGTTGTATTCAAACTTTTCAATTTATTACCATACATTTTGTAATAAATATGTATATCTGTGCAAATACATAAAACGTTTACAAACATTCTCAAAGCAATTGCATCCGTCTTCCCAGTCTGTTCATGCTCTGCCTTGCAGCAGCATACGTGGTCTTCGCCCTTATACCAAGCAGTGTTTCTCATGTTTACTTCAACGTTTCATTCACTGTGCTGATTTTACCAGATGCACTCTGCATTTGTTATAATCATCCACAATCAATGCAGCTGGCAGAAAGTACAATGATCTTACAATTGATAATCTTCCCTTTTAGTGGGATGAAAGGCTTCATAAGAGCCGGAATGTGAAATGTCATGTTCAATGAAAGCATGTTATTTATCATTGCAGTTTATTTGTAAGGACCTAAATCAAGAAAAAACATTTTTACATCTATTTTAGGTTTTGCAAACTGTAAACTTAGCACCAGGTTTAATAGCACCAGTGCTGCATGCTTTCAAGCTTGTTACAGTATTTTGAATAAATTCACCAAGGCAGGTGTGTAGAAGCATAATAGGTTATTGTCTTTGTGCTTTATATTCTTAAGAATAAAGTCCCACAGCTAATTTAACCAAGATTTTTAATCTCTTCCATTGTATAAATTAGCATTAATCTTATTGTAACAGTGCATGATGCAATGAAATAGGTACTTGGTTTAGCTGTCAGGAACGTTAATTCAGTCTACCTGTTTGTTTTTATTTCAGGCAATACTATGCATACCTCACAGATACACAATGTAAAAGGGTTGGAACTCAGTGCTGGGTATTTGGGTAAGTAAAGTTAATCCTTTATGAAATATTATTTTGAGTGTGCAGTAAGCATTATTTTTACCTGTGTTGTATTATTTTGGTTTTAAATATTAATGAATTTGTTAAGAATTCATTAACAAATTAATTTGGGCGGTGCAGTGGCTCTGTGGCTAAGGATCTGCACCTGTGGCTGGAAGGTTGCTGGTTCAAATCCTGTGGCTGGCATAGGAATCCTACTCCGTTGAGCCCCTGTGCAAGGCCCTTAACCCCAAGTGCTCCAGGGGTGCCCTATAAATGGCTGACCCTGCGCTCTGACCCCTAGCTTCTCTCCCTGTCTGTGTGTCTCATGGAGAGCAAGTTGGAGTATGAGGAAAAGACAAATTCCTAATGCAAGAAATTGAATATGGCCAATAGAGTGATCTTATCTTATCTACTTCCCATAATCATTAGAACAGTTTAAAGTATATTTTAACTTGTTGATGCAGTAAACCATTATATTGATTTAATATTTCATACAATTCTAGGTGAAGTAAGATTGCTAAGGGGGATTGGTTAACGATCTGATTAAATAGCCATTTAAAAAAAGGCTTGATTTTTATTAATTTAAAAATAAAAAAGATAAAATTTGCTAGAGTAATCAAGATCACCTGGTTGCTTTCGACACAATTAAAGGCAGCCTGTACGAGAATGTGCCTAGAGAAGGCGATCATGCGCTTGAACAATCTGCAAACTAGTTGAGGGAGCAGGCCTCCATCTCAGTGTGGAGCAGGCCATGTTCGGGGAGGTAGAGAGCCCCCAGGACAGTCATGTCTGTGATTTTTGATAATGATTTTCATACAGCAGTAGTTACAAGAAGAAACAACCCCTCGCATCAGCAAAATGACTAGATCCTCTGTCGGGGTGAAAAATGATGTGATCATCAGCCATGTGGGAGTAATGTTTTGACAACTGAGTGACTAAATCATCGTCTTATGCGAGTCTGAGTACATCGGAGGAGGCAGCGCAAGGAGTGGTGGATTGTTTAATATACAAATTAAAGTTGTATTGGTCCATGACGGACATGAAGGAAGATAACTTGTATGGAGATGTTGACTTGAGCATAATGATGTCCGTTTCATTATTTAAATCTAATTGATGGGCACTGGAAGAGACATGATGTGGAAAGGAGACTCCTTTTATCACAAGGATACCTTTGGGGCAGATGAAAGGAAACCTTACTGTTTTGCCATTCATTTTCTGTTTCCACAAGCCAGTTTAGAAGTGACAGTGTTTCAGCAGGGGTATTGCAAGACCAGACAGTGCTAAGATTACAATGGCTAAACAATCGCAACAGTATATCTGTGGGATAGGCTCACCAGCATCATCAGTAAAAGCACAAGCAGACACCCTTTATGAACTGGCTGCAGTTGCGCTGGAGTGGTAGAACATCTCACAGCAGTCTGTCCAGAGGCTGATCAGGTCTGAGGCTCACCGCTGGCAGGATTGTCATAATGATCAGGGACTTTATACCTGATACAAAATCTGTTTAATGTATTTATTTTTATGGGATGTTCCTTTTTGTATGCAAAACATAACTAATTGTTTGATATATATAATTTCTGTGGCTGTATAAAATTAACAAGCAGAGGTACATTTGACACTGAAAAGCAGAAGGAAAAAACAATTCTGTGATCATATCGGAATTTTAAAGGTGGCTCAACAGCCAGAACTGTTTTTTATCTCTACTTTTCAGCATGGAATTAATCTGGACTTGTTCCTTTGCAGGCTTCAAACTGAAACTTTTCATTTGAAAGTGTTTTAAATATATGATTGCATCCATTAAACCTGGTTAATGTGTTTTATGCATCATTATACTGTATATGCCATGTTCCTGAGACACTCATGACTTGAAAAAGTACAGTTGCCCATAATGTAATTTCTATAGCAATTGATGTTTTAATTTCCACAGCTACAAAGCAAACAGATTCAGCGGTTAAGATCATACAGTGAATCATGCATCAAGGTCCTGTATTGTAGGAGCTTAATTATTCAACAGAGAGGAGTGAAAGCACTTGGGCATCCTTACAAAAGCAGGACATTTTGCTCTGTTTCCTCAAGTGCTTTCTCTCTGATTGATGGTTTCCATTGGAGCGGATTCTGGAAGGTTGAGGAGTGGAATGAAGGAATGGTGACCATATTTAGTTTAATTGACTAGGCCTGCATAACTTCGCAAAACAAAGGACCTGTTCTTATGTCATTCCCTAAATAACATAGGCTCTTACAGATTAACGTTCCAAAGTTCAAGGCGGGCTGTGAAATGTTCTATCCTTTGTTAAAGATTCTATTTTTGCAGCTGGTTTCAACTGAGACTGAGTCTATCAAGAATGTTAATATCAATGAAGGAGTGTTAACCTTCCATCTAGCTTGGTATTTGTATAAATATCTTTCTTAACAAGTAACACATGACAAGATGTCAACAGCTGTGACCTCAGTGATGCTATTTTTGTCATCAATGACTTAGAAGTTAAAATCCTCAGTGAACTGTTAGTAATATGTATAGTCTTGCATTGCAGTAGGCCAAAAATGAATTATCTGTAGGCTCAACTTGCAGGCTGAACCATCGAGAATCAGTTCTTCAGTGTAGGTTTCAGCAGAAGTCTTAAAGAGAGGGAACTTGAATAAAGCTCCTTAGTTTAGTGAAGTCACAGAAGGTATTAAAATGTATGGAAAACTGTGCTTTTGCATAGAGAATACTATTCATCTGCGTTGTAGGTTGATTCAGAATGAAGGCTTACTGAAAGGCCTGTACATAATATGGGGCAGTCTGGGGTCTGGAATCTATGATGACATGCAAAAATCAAGCAATCTTCAACGCACAGTACATGGAGCCAATATGGCATTGTTAGGAAGCATCATTACACAGGACGGAAGATAGCACTGGGTTACTGAAGATTAAACCTGTGTATTTGTTATTAGCCCATCTGATTTATAAAATGTATTCCTCGATTTATCACTTTGAAGTTACGCAAGATATTACATCGGAGAAAGCCTTTGGAGTTGTTACCTGGATGTCTGTAATGGTAGTCTTCACATAATTCTGTTTCTGTCTGTAGGGCTATTGCGTTTCTGGAAGCCCTAGTCTGCATTAAGTTTGGACAAGACTTGTTCTCCAAAACCCAGATCCTGTATGTTGTTCTTTGGCTCCTGTGTGTGGTAAGTGCATTTATTTTCCCTTTTGTGTGCAAAAGTAATCACTCTTGTCCCATAGTGCCCTGCTGCTGCAGTGTCAATGTCTGATATGCTTCCCTTGATCTCCATATAGGTCTTCATTACGTTCCTCTGTTTGTACGGAATGGTGTGGTATGCAGTACGCTCAGGACAAAGGCAGAAGGTGAGTAAAGAATATCACTTCAGTTTTTGTTTCAGACCACAGTCTGTTATGTCATGGTTTAAAATGGGATCACAGAAAATTGTATGGGAATGGATTTGGCACCTACCTACCTTTTGTGCTTTCATTTTGTCTTTCTATCGAAACATCTCAGTACGGAAAGAGAAGACTCTTGTTAAGTCTATCTAACCACTTATAATTCCACATCAAGTGGGATATGGGATTCGGAGTCATGTGAGTCATGTGTGAAGCTTGAGCTGTGGTCTTGGTGTCCTGAAAAGTGGCTCACCACAGATTGACCGACAGGCGTGACTTTTCAGAAGTTTTATTTTCAGAATGGTATTTTCCTGAGCAACTACACTTAGTAAACCATGTAAGTGAATGAATCCAATACAGTCCAACTGCACAGTAAATAACATTACGTGAGGATTGGTCGTGTTAAACGTGAAAGTTCTTCGAGACACCTGCAGTCTGTGCTTCCACCAGGAGTCAGTGTAAAATCCTGAAAAAAAGCTTTAAAAAACAATAGCAGACCTATTTTGTTTCTCTCTCTTCAAATGAAAGAAAACAAATTTGGGAAATTGGCAAAACACCTGCTGTTGCAAGGACAACTTTGTACAAAACCTCATATAGTTCGTGACTGTTTGTCTGTGTCTCATGGAGAGCAAGCTGGGGTATGCAAAAAGATGAATTCCTAATGCAAGAAATTATATATGGCTAATAAAGTGATCTTATAAGATCTTAACTCTCACAAACTGGACAGAGTTCTTAACCTAAAGCAGGTGAAGTAGAGCAGTCGAGTTGGGACTGTGGTAATGGGGTTGAACCACCAGAGGGCAGTGATGTGACAGTCCCAGGGATATATTCCTTGCATGCCCACTAGGGTACTGGGGCAATTGCTGCACCTACAGACGCCAGCTCCCTATACAAGCACTAAGGAAAGAATCTGAGTTTGCCTGCGAATATCCTCACAGTCCCTCTGGACCGTGAATACTAAAGATCGCAGGGTGAGCAATCATTGGAAAAACATTTATTGAAAACGATGTACAATCTTCGGGTGGAGTGGATTCTGGTAAAGACTCGTTTTATTGAGTAGCAGCCTCTGTCTTTTCCGTGTTGGCTCACCGGTAAGAAAGAAGGTGGGCAAGACTGAGTCTGGCCATAAGGAATTGACCAGGTGAGGATTTTCCACATCTACAGGGGCAGTAACAGGGAGTGAAATGGACAATGGAAGGGAGACCACTGGGGAGGCTAGGGAGTAATAAAGCCCTCGGGTGGGTTCATGTGCAGAGTTCGTTGCTATGCTACCACCTAACGGGGGGAATCTGTTACAACAGGGCCTGTCTGAGTCCAGGACAGAGTACAAAAACCAGTGTGAAAAGATAGAATTAATTCATAATTCAGTTAAGGGTTCAGGTAGCCTAAATAAACTGAATAAATACGTTGTTCAGCTGTTTCTTGAAGGAAGCCAGTGTAATTCCGTAACTTTACGGATAAAGTGCAAGCTTTAAACTTTCCTCCAAAATATTCACGTTTCACTTTTCCCATTTTACTTGTTTTTAAGGGTGTCATTTTTATTTGAATTTTACAGAGCCTTTCTGAATGTGAAGAAAGCACCTACACTGAGGCACCTAGTTTGCAGTATGAAAATCTTAAAGGTTTGTGTTACGAGCCCTGCATGATTTGAGCAGGCATTTATAGATGAAATCTGCTCTCCAAAACATTATTTGTACTTTCCATTTTCTTAACTAGAACGTGGTTTAGCAAACATTTGTGTGGATGTTTTTATAATTATTTAAATATGAACAAGTACTATACACTACTAATATCCCTATGCAGTTTAATTAAATGTCAAATATCACCTACAAATTTTAGTTTTTAACTGAGAAATTGGCCATAGGTAAGTTTAAAGACACATCTGTCAGAAACTCTGAAAACCTGGTACTCTGCTATACAATAGTGGCCAAATTTATGGCAAGATCTAGTGTTTTTTTTATTGTTTTAAATAACTGTTGCCATTAGTTTTGTATAATTCAACACAGCCTGTTAGAAATTTAAACTCATATGGAATGTGATTTCATTAGTCACTGAATCAAGGCTATCATCCTTAGGCCATTTTCACGTGTTTGCACATTTGAGGGTGGGAAATCTAAATTTAAGCAAGTTAGACAAATGATCTTTGGTGATCCTGAATAGGAAATGTACACATGTGGATCACATCACAACTCATTGTGCTTGCACATGGAGGATATTTTTGGAACCCTGGCATTTTCCCTGGACAAAATCTGGACAGTTATTATAAACTGGATAAACTGAGTAGGCCATTCATGTACCTTCTGTTTATTAATCTCTTAATTTAATATTTTGATTCATTCTACAACTAATTTAACTTGGGCATCTGACATTCATTCAGTCTCTCTTAACTTGGCAGACTGTAATATTTCAAAAGTCTCAATAGATTGATGGAAAAACTGGTAGTGAGAACCTTATGTACAAAATAAAAAGGTCAGAATAATTGAGTTCACACAGCCTATGTGACTCTTCAGGACTTAACTTTTCCAACCTGCATGTCTTGTTTAACTAGTTGCTGCCCATGATGACTAATGTTGACAGAATTGTGCATTTATGATTCTTAGAAGATGTGGCCTATTAGACAAACATTCGCAACATTAACTACAGGAATTGAAATCTCAATCTGTTTTTTTACAGGCAGGGATATGTGACAATGTTATGACCCAAAAGAGGAATGTTGTAGTGAAGCTGAGTGAGAAACAGCCAGAAAAGAAAAAATCTGGATGAACTTTTATAGCTGTATATTTATGTGGGACAGCAGTTTATTTTGGGAGGTGAGGAAGGGAGCGGTTTTGTAGCTTTTCCAGATTGGTGTTTTAAACCAGGTGGCCAGTGGAGAAGATAAGGCGTCTTGGCACAGTATCTTATCTTTACTAGGAGAGTTATTTGAATTACAAGAGTAAGGTGAAGAAATGCCCTTCCAGTTTCAGTGTCTCTAGCATTGTCTTCTAATTTCTGCAGGTGAGAAAGATTCCTTAAACACTTCACACACTTCAAGACGGAAGAAGGGATCTTCAAAAACCAAAGTCGCCAATGGGTTCAGTGGAAAGAAGTAAAGCCACACTGTGTTCGGGGCTGCCGTAGTGTGCCAGACAGACCGAGCACGGGCAGGGGAGCGGACTGCCGAGACACACTTTTGGAAACTAATTAGCCTTGATGCGATGGAGAGTAATGCATCCAAAGTCAAGGGCTGGTACCTTACACAGAGGCACCTTTGAGTTGAGACCTGCTGTTGTTCTTAAAACGCAGCATTTATCAGTCTGTTACAGTGTGTCCTGTCCCCTGCAATCAGCTTGTCACAAATCAGTATGTGTGTTCGTTTATTACGCTTTTAAGCAAAATCCTTTTTTGTAATGTGAACTGAAGTTAAACAAACGGTTTGACTGAATGACTGGTTTAAGAGTGCTGTGGTAAGGTTGTTGTTTTTTTTCCTGTTTTAGACTGATCACACAAAGCACACGCTTCATGCACTTTTTTTCTGTACTGCTAGCCGCATCCCTCTGGTTTAAGGACATAAGAAAGATGGGAAATGAAAGCAGGCCATTTGTCTTAGAGTCAAACATTTTGTCCCACTGTTTGTTGAGGGAGCTCATAGTTTCACTCTCACCTATCTCGCTGGGAAACCTGTACCTCATACCCACAATAGTTCATATTCTCCTCTTCTCTGCCCTAAGTAGATTACCTTTAGTTATTATTTGTGATACTGAGTCCTTGTTTAACTGTACAGGGCTTACTCTCCCTGTACATATTAGGACTTGATTTGGATATAATATATACTCGCCATGTCCTTTGTTCTAGGCTGGAGAGATTTATCACCTTTAGCCTGTTTATATCTGGAAATCAACAGAGACCAGGAATTATTCTTATTGCTCTTCTTTAAACAATTTGTAAAGTAACATCCTTTGAAAGGTATGGTGACCAAAACTGAGCACAGCATGTTAAATGAAGCCTTACTAGTGCATTGTAAAATATGAACATAAATTCCCTTGATTTACATTTCACACTTTTTCCACACTTAATGCTCTTCACCCAAGAATGTTTCGCCCTGTTAATGTTTATGTCCTGATGAGGACGTAAACTTGAGTCGCCCATGCAATCTGTAAATTGCATGTTCCAGCTTCACGTGTGGATCACTTTCCACAGAGCAAAGTTAAATGTCATTTGCCATCTGTCTGACCACTTTGTCTGTCTTTGTAAATCCTTTGCAGTTGCATTTGCATTGATGGCTTCCCTTGTATTTGTTTCACCTGCAAGTTGAACTAGTTTGCCAGCATCTCTAGACAGATAAGTATAAGTGGTGGGCCGATAATGGATCTGTGAGGTAGACCACTGCTTACAGCTACCCAATTAGAGGTCAAGCCCTTTAAAATGACGCTCTGTTTCCTGCACGTTTACTAGTTAAAGAAGATCACCTTTCCTTTCTACCTCGATACTGGCTGTCTCCTAAAAGAGTCACTTGTTCTTCTAGTTAAACTTTCATGATAGTTTTCATAACTTCACTAGTTATAGTTGTAACACTAGTGTATAGGATGGATATATCCTTCTCTGGAGCACAGTGCCCACTTCTTCACCAGTAACTCACCCACACTGCAGGTCCATTAGAAAAGTGAGATATTACTGCACCAGCTGTATGATGAGGGTGAATTAGGGAGGCTCGCCTGTTTAGCCAGGATTCACACCCTTTACAAACAGTGCCACAGGTACTTGAATGGTGAAATAGTCAGGTTATAGGTTAAACATTTTCAACAGCAAGGTGTCTGCAGTCACTCTGAGGAGGGGCACTTGCTTTGACGTTCTGATGCAGAGGATTGAGCGACACTGTGACACACAGGCTCCCCAGTGTGGTGACCACGCTGGTCACCTAGTTAGCTTGACCAATTTGGCCTGATCTTTTGCTCGTGGTGGTGTGCTCTCAAAATTCTTACATTGTTTTTTATACATACTGTACACTAGTTACATAGTTAATGGCTGAATTTGTATGGTAGCAGAGGTCAGTCAACTGTGGCTCAAACTCTTGGATCTCAGACTGGAGATTCTTAGCTTCTCGGCAGCATTGATAGATGAAGTCGATGGACTTCGTGTATTCATCCGAGATACCCAGCTGCAGACCACACACTACAGTAACCTTTGTCAACATAGCAGTGTGCAGTGAGCTTACCATCAGTCACTAAAGTGGAACTCTAGCAACTAGACACTCCTGACAAATCCTCACTCTGGGATTTACTCTGGTGAGGTGGTATGAATTGAGGTCTCCCAGGTCAGACAGGCCTTATCATTGGTGGACTGTGACTGTAACTTCTTGCCAAGGGAGACATTGCTGGCTGTGCCTGTGTGGCATCAGGTTTGATATTCAGCTCATTAAATCACCTCATCACCTCTGGCCAATCAGCTCTCATTAATGAGGTGATTTTGTGCTGATGTGACAAAGTCTCCTGAGTCTGTATCACTCGAGAATACATTGGAATTATGTAACACTTAATATCTCAAATTCATGTACTTTATGTTGCAAAAATCATTGATTCTTAAATGATGGCATTTCTTTGGATGCTAAAGTATGTTTTTAAAATATCATTTTTGTTAGCCAAATTCAAGGTTAAAAAAAATGTAGTCCTTAATTATTTATTGCACCTAATTGCTTTACACTAAGTGAGTTCTTGGAGCTCACAAGAAAAAAAAAAGATTCTACTTGAAAAACGGTAACAAAACCAGAAATGTTAACTTTGTACATAGGGATGTACCTTTGTTTCTTTCCACTGTTTCTACTTAAATTGTTTAATTTCATCTGAAAATGAAAGTTTAAATGTAATGTCATGATACTGTAAGCTTGACAAGTCTGAATTACATTTGAATATTTTTATATGGAATTTGGGCTTTTATTATCAGTCATTCCAATTTCTTAAACCATTTTTAACTGAATTGTGGTGTATGTTTATGTAAAATTCAAAAGAGCAATGAATGGCAATTTCAGACAATGGCTTAATGTGTCTCAAGATACACGACAAATACTGAAGAATGCAATATTTGTGAGAGAATAAGAGTTGATCTGTCAAGATTTTGGTTATTATTATTATTATTGGTAATTGTTACAATAATGCCTCTGGAGATTCACAGACAAAAACAGAACTTCCCAGGCAAATATGTCAAGATATATTCATTTTGTTACTGACATTCACCTAGAACACAATCATAAAATCGAAGCAGCTTTCATTGTTGTGGGCCTGCAGTACAAAAACACTCAAGTTTATTGTTCAGTGTTTAACAATCTGAATTGTTTCTTTTCTTCATCTATCCCACCATGATCATCTGTAGTATTAGGTGTGTGATTATAACACCTGGGAAAGTCTAATTTCCCATGCAATAATAAAAATGAAAATGTATAAAACATCCGAAATTAATGGCTCATCTTCAATACACTTTCTTTTAATGGGAGTGAGGCGAAAGAGGGGCTGTCTCATTTCATCCCACAACGAATCTTTCCCATTTTCAGGAAAAGGTAAAAGAGGACGCAAGTTTAAGAGAGGGTCCTATAACTTGCCACTTGGCTCCCTGTGGTTTGAGAAGTCTGAAATTGGCCTTTTGGTTTCTTTAAAATGTACTGCACTGTCTTCTTTTGGCATGCTCTGGAAACAAAATGCTTCAAGGAATTTTTTCTGCCGTCACTTGCGATTTTGTGTCAGTCAATCTAAATTTAAAGCTGAGAGAAGCTCAACAAAACTGCCGTTTTGCTGTTTGCATGTAAATGTGGCAAAGTTGATCGATGTTGTCCTCTGTGTAAAAATAAAATCAAAAATTTGGAAGTGTACTGAAGCGATGAGTTTTAAAAAAACAAATCAAATACGGATGGCACAGCCCTGTTGAAATGCTTGAGTGTTATTTTTTCTGGTTGTTTTCACAGGACGAAGCGGCTCTTTTAACAGTTATTTGCAGGGTCTGTGCCAATGATGTATAAACTTGTATTTTCCTTTACAGTATTGGTCTGTAGTCAGTTCCTAGCTGGCTCTGTTGGTCATGGGATTATTTAAAACTATATGATCTTTCCAATTACACTTTCTGGCTTAACTAGATAATGGCGTATGCTAAAATGGGAAGAATCCGCTGATGACAACCGTATGGAAAATATGCAAAATTCATGGTCTGTGGTGCGGACCAGTCTTTGCGCATAGAGAAATGTGGATCTGATATGGAAAGAGAATCCAATCTGTAAAAAGGTTATGGTGTTTTATGTGGTTACGAAGGCCCTGTTCGTTATTTACATCATGCAATTTATCTTATTTTCCCCAGCATCTACAGTGGACATTGTAAGGCATGGGTGGGGAACTGGCCAGTAAAGAAATCTGAATATTTAAGCCTGTGACTGTATCCTCAGGAAAATACAAATTATTTTGTATGTACTGAAAGTGAATGACTTCTAAAATAAATTCATTAAATCTTTGTGGGGTTCTTCATCTGGAAGTTATTTCTCTTTATTAAATTGTATTTGTCTGAGCCTAGAAATTTGAAAAGACACTGGACTTGACTGATGTACTGTTTGTTGGCACCTACTGATTTATTTAGAGGAATTTTAAGTTAAAGGTTTTTAAACTTGTTTATTATTGTTAAGATGTTTTGAAGCAATCCCGACATCGCAGGGAACAGTTTAATTGTTCAAGAAAACATTGTCCTTATGGCTTGACAGCTGAAGAGGTGGGCATGCTGATGCAAAGTTACAAAATTGTAAAGGAACTGCAGTCACTTTTTAGGTGTGGCAGATAAAAGTATTCTAATCAGTATTTCCAGACTTTTGAGATTTCTACAGTTAAAACTCCTTTCTGTTTTAAATTTGCAGATTCACACATACCAATGTAAAAGAATAATCCCATTGCCTGTAACACAGTAAGAGCAGTAAATTGCAAAACTGACACACATTTATCTACCTTTTTTCACAACTTAATATGTTGCTGCTTTCAGACACTTTACCGTTAAAAACAAACACAAGTTGGAGATGAGACTGGTTTTGTGACTCTGAAACCGCTGTACACAGGGATATATGACTTAGCATCTTTTAAAATGGAAATTATCAAACTGGAAAGATCTCTTATGTGTAAATCACATCGTTCCCACAAGAGGGCAGCAGAGTACAGTTTTTAGGCTGTAGTCTATGTTGCAATCACGTGTCTCTTAAGACGTGCCTGACTGAAGGTGAAGCAAATGTTTTTTTTTCCCCTAGCGCTTTCCGAGTCTGTCGTGCTAAATGCAGCCCACAGGCAGCATGACGGAGGCAGAGATCGTGTCCGCAGGAGGAGTTCGCAGCAGCAGGCAAAGCTGCAACACGGTAAGGATCCTGAACGAGATCGAGACCAGCCTACTGGAATGCAAAGTGTGCTTTGAGAGATTCAGCGTGGAGCGGGTCAAGGGCAGGCCCAAGAATCTGCCCTGCGGTCACGTGATGTGCTGGGAATGCCTCCGCTCTCTCGCCCACCCTCGCTTTCAGAGGCTGGAGTGCCCCTTCTGCCGCAGGCTCTGCAGCCCCGCGGAGGCGTCCGACTGTCTCGTGGTGGCCCACCTGACGGAGCTGCTCGGGGGCGGCCGCCCTCCCTGCGCGGGTTACAGCGCGGGCGGGTTTGGGACTGTGGGCCTGAAGCTTCGCGGGGCTTTCGGAGGCTGGGGGCGCTTGGTGAACCCCACGGGAGCTGCCCTTTTCGGCGGGCGGGGGGCGCTGGTAGTCGTGCATGACGGTAGGAAGCGGGTGGGTATCTTCAGCCTCCAGGGAGAGCGCCTCCACGGGTTCGGGCGCAAGGGGACGTTGCCCGACGATATCTGCTACCCCCTGGACGTCGCTGTTACGCCCGCAGGCCACATTATTGTGACCGACGCCGGGGATCGCTCTGTCAAAGTGTTCACCTCCGCGGGAAGAAATCTTTTGACCGTCAGAGAGACGTTCAAGTTGCCTTGGGGAACGGATGCCGACGGTTCCAATCGCATCTTTGTCACGGATGCGGACGCTGGGACCCTTTCTCGCCTGGTGGTGGATTTCTGCACAAATCTCGTCACCGGTCACCATGTGGCCTCCTCGAAGCTGTGCTGCCCCAGAGAGATCGCATCCTCCAAGCTCACAGGGTCCGTAGTGGTTGTGGAACATCTAAGAGGTTGGGAACACAGAAGCAGCACAGCCACAAGGCTCAAACTGTTCGATAGCCAGCTCAGACTGCTATCTCAGATCGACACCTTTGGATTCAGTTTGGTGGCTCCAGTTCAAATGAATGTCTCCGCGGTGGCCTTTGACAGCGAAGACAACGTGATTGCAGCTGATGGCAGCCGGAGAGTGGTGGTGTGCTTGGGGAAGCTCAGGGAATCCCCTTCCTTTATTCCACTCATCAACCAAGGGCTGGGTCGCCCTGTAGGACTGATCTGCACAGCGGGGAACATGCTGGTCGTCTTGGACAGCAGCGAGCAAGCTGTGAAAATTTACAAAGATGGCCGAGACCAGCTGTGAACCACTTCCAAGAAAAATTTAGAGTCATGCAAACTGCAGACTGAGCATATTTAAGTGCTTGGCACTTTGTACTGCTTGTAAAATTTCCTGTTGAAAACTAAGAAAATCGTCACTAATAAAATTTTTCATAGTAAACATTACCGTCATATACAGTAGACAAAAAAGTACTGTAAATACTTGTGAATGGAGCATAAAGCATACATAAATATTTCTAAGCATATGGTCTTTGTATTTATATATAGAGTAAACTGTATTAATATATAATATGTTAATAGTATAAATACATTAATATTGCTTACAATGACATATCAGTAGATAATTTGTTTTATACCACTAAAAATAATTTATAATAATATTGTATAATTAGAAGACTAACGTTGGCTTAACAGTTTAAAAAGACGTTCTAGGTCTGTGCTTCCCTGTACTGGTTTTGGACATATTGTCATTTCTGGTACAGTATGTATTTCAACCCAGCTCTTTCTTAATGAACCTCATTGAAGCTTTAATTGAAGTGTTTTCACAGTTCCAGCTCCTCGATGCAAGATTAGATTGGGGAGCTGTGAAGAAACAGTTGGAGATTAGTTCCACAATGAAGAGTAACAAGAACAAAGGCAACGTTTCGGATTTGGAGCCTCTTCAGGTATGACTGCTTCTCCCTGGAAGCACCCAGAGCTGGGCTAAACAATTACCATGTGCCAGATGAGATTGAGGACTCCTCCCTTTTCGGATTCCTGTTTAAATGACCATGTGGAACTTAACTGAAGAGTCTGTACAGCACTGTGCATGCTTATTAAAGGAGTGCTTCAGAAGCATCATACCTACTTGTTTCTGTGCATCAGTCTTAAACAAGGTGAAAACTACAGCTTTTGTAAGATGTCTTTGAAATAATACACACGAATGAAATTATTTCTGGAAATAAGAACTTTTAAATGAGAAACTTGGCTGTACCAGAAACTATATCGAAGAAGGCATTCAAAGTCCAAGATTGTGAAACACTTTTCTGAGTTACACTGACTCCTTCGCTCCATCTATTTATCAGTCCATTAAGAAAAGCTACTATCTGGTTTATTTATTATGAAAAGACCCTTATGGCAAGAGTCTATCCCCAGGAACATTGGATGCATACTGGGAATACAACCTGGACAGGATGCTAGTCCAATGCAGGGCACACACACCACTGAGGACAAGATGAGGACGGCATGTCACATATAAGAAAACCCATACCACATTGGGGAGACCATACAAACTCCACACAGAAGATGCCCCATTCCAGACTTGAACCCAGTATCCAAGAGCTATGAGGCAGTACTGCAAGGCTGCCAAGCCTTCCTGCCATGCATTGATAGGATATTAAAATATTGGAAGAATGTAATCTTCAGCATATGTTTAGAATGTACGGAGAATGACACTCAAGTGCAAATATGTTTTTTTTTAATTTTCAAGTGTGATTTTTTTACTTTGCAGTTTTATATAATAATAATTAATAATAATAATAGACATGCATTTTACATGTTTCGCCATTGTTACTGCGCTTATTCCGTATTCGGTTGGCATAAGCGAGTGCCTGGCTCTGCAAAACAGTTCTGGTCAGAACTGTGATTTACAATTTGCAGATTATCACATACAGTACACTAATTTGCACATTCCTGGTCAAGAGGCACTTTCTCGGGCCGTAGACAGTACTAACGTACAGCAGCATCACTGATGGAATGAGAGCAGAAGGTAAGAACAACGAATGGCAGTATAAATACTCTTCCATTGTCCTAATTGTCTCAAATCCCATGCGATATAAGGCCACATTTAGTAGATATACTGTAGATACAAAGTATTCCGGGACTCGGAACACCCTGGAAAAGCCGGACTAGACACCCGTCCGTCTCACGGAGCGCGCATGTACAAAGGCGGATAATGGAAAAAGTCATATTTACTCGAGCAGTTTATAAATATAAGGCTGCACGAAAACGTTCGTGAGAATCTACAGATTTACCATCTGAACCTGTCGGTTTCCACATTGGTATAAATAAACAGTGCGACGAAAGTACTCTTAATTTTTGTATTTTGGAAGTGTGCAAAAAGCCTGTCCTAACACTTTTAAAGTACTGACAGCATATTCGCAATCAATTCCAACAGATCAGCACTGGAGTAACATATCTGAACATCTTCTGCAGTTTTGTATTACTTGCTATTTTACGTCGTTATGCCTGTGAAAACGCAGCGTTATTAAGCGCTACATGTTTGTTACATTATAAAAATAATAACAGTAACCATGTTTATTTAATTTATATTTATAAATATCATACTCTATTTATTAAATATCCACGTTTATTTATAGAAAGTAATAATACAAAATAACAATACATACCCACAGCTCCGGTCTGAGTTGTCCCATTTTTCTAATCAGGTGCAGCAACAGTGACATTTTGGTCTTGTCTCTAAATTCGCAATGGGATGACGATATACTCGATCTCAACAGTAAGAATGTAAATCCTCACAAAAATGTTCACTATTCACAGCTGACATGACGTTTTTTGCGTATTGAATAAAGCTAGATAGTAGCGTGTTTCCCCTCACGCATCTTCGTTCGTCTTCGTATGTTTCCGTGATGTCCGAGTGCCTCTCCCGTATTCCGTTCTTCTCCGTGTATTCCCGGTGGCCTTTGCTTCCGAAGTTCAGTTCGTGTGTTCCCAGAATCCGGCTTTTTCGGTCCGCCGGAGTCTCGCCTGGTGGTGCAAACTGCTCTCAGTGGAAGATGGCGGTGGGGATGGAGTCTAGGATGAGAGAGGATCGGTGGTAAATTTAGCTCACTGAAAGTAAAATATGTTTAATTTTCTGTTTCAAGTGGCCTGGAATGGATCTTGGGAATATATTGTTTGCATCTACGCCCGATAACTGACTTGGAGCTAAAGCACTTGGGGACTCACACTATCATTTTTCCTAAGTCCAATGTAACAGTCTAGTGGAGGAAAAAAAAGTGGATGAAAATGTCGGATAGTAAGGTAAAAGTTGCTGTAAGAGTCCGGCCAATGAACCGGAGAGGTAAGTGTATTGTACTTCACCATATTCTGTCTTCTGTAACCCATAATTACAACACCCTTTAAAAACTTCTTTAGCTGCAAGATTTGTAACGCAGTGTAGCAGCATCTTCTGTCTCTTCAGCAGTTATGCAGCAAAGGAGTGATGCGATTTATCTGGGAGTTGTTTTAGGGAGAAGTGAAACGGCTAGGCTTCGGGGATGTGTGTTTTGTTACTGTGTGACGGCTTTAAAGCGCTCCCTGCTAACGCACTGTCCCTTTCGACTGTCACCGCAGAAATTGAGCTGAACACGAAATGTGTTGTGGAAATGGAAGACAACCAAACCGTCCTGCACCCACCGCCTTCAAACTCGAAAGGGGAGAACAGGTAAAAACTGCTGTGTGATAAAGCATCTACTTTGGTTAGTGTCCCTTGTGCGACTTAACGAACTTTTAGCGGTGAGTCCAGTCTTTGTATGTGCCCGGGCGATGGGGGAAATCAGTGAATTGACATTGATCCTCGCATTTAGTATTATTTCACGGTTACCGTCGATACAACCTGCGATTTGGCTTAGAAACAAAGAGGTGAAAGGCTTCTGGATTTTACCGTTTTGGATTCGTTTTTTTTGGGGGGGGAGGGCTTTGTATTGAACGAAGAAGGGATTGCAAACTTGGATGTACAACATCTGTGCCCGCTGCTGTAGATCAGCGAGACCTTGACGCACAAGAACTAAATGCCGGATAAGCACGCATGTAGTTCGGTTTTCTCGAGGCTTACAGTACTTCTATGTTATGTGGTCATTCCTCCCAAGTTTTAGAAGCGAAAAAACAACAACAGGTGTGTTAAATAACACTTCACGCGCCTCCTCGAGGCCGTTTTCAATGCTGTGCGACACGGTTCCCCGCAGCGCAGTGCAGAAAATTGACCACCAAGCCCGGGATACAGAGAGTTGCGGAAAGAGCCGCTGGCTCCCATCCAAAATTCCAATGCAACAGGCTGTAAAAATAGATGGGAGAGAGGAAAGGGGAGGCCGCTCGTGTTGGGCACTGTCCCTTCCACTGATACCTGTTAGAGCCGCCTCCGACAGTTTAACCTGTATCAGCTTCTAAAGTCGCCAAGATTTCGAGTCCTTTGATTGTGTTTTAATTGCGGTTTTTTTTCTTGCGAAAGGGCAACATTGTAAAGATAAAGGTAACCTCAGACAACTTGGGTTATATTTAGTAACCCTACAAAGCGGTAGTTTTCCGCTTGCTTTCACTGGGTTTTTGAGGATGTACATAGGAAGTATATGAGTATATAGGAATGGAATCCTGCATAGTTAGTAATCTTGTTTTTGAGTATGTAGTTGTTTGTATAGTATTTATAGATCGTATATATTGCTTTTGAAAATTTTCTTTTAAAATTAAAATGGGTTCTCTTTTCTGAAAAATAAGCCTGCATCTGTTGCGATTTATAGATCTTGTGGTTAGATTTGACTTTTTTGCCCTCCGGTGAAATTTCACTAATTGTGTTTGGACTCTACTGGAACTTGTTCATTGGAGTGTAGTACTGGTTAGCAAACTCTGAAAGGAGGCTTTCAGTCTGAGCGAAAACAATAGGTGTGTGTCAGATGATTTATGGAGCAGGAAGAGAGCTGTGTATCTTGCTCATAATTGCAGAAATGAAGGCTTTACATTGTATTGGATCAGAACGGATGTGCTAGTTACATACTGCTTAACCAGCAGAAAAACGGGTACATTATTTTGTAAGTTGGAGCATTGAGCTCAAGTCAATTCAGCAGATGTAACACAGGGCAAGTGCAACTTTATGTGTAGGAAGCCATTGTAAAGAAATTGATGTTGATATGCACAGACTTTCAATTGACTATCCTTTTGACAGAAATGACATATAGCAAAGGATCACAATTGATTTCCATAAATATTTGTTGAATACGATCTGTCAATGACAACATCTTGTTGAATTTACAAGGGTTTTGTCTTGCCGCTTTCTCTTATACTGAATGTCGGTGTGACCTAAAGTCCAATTATTGTTACATCCATTTATTTCGATTTTTAAGATTTTCTGTTTTGGGGAGATTATTTAATGTACATTAGAATCTACCAGGATGTTCCGACTGCTTAATATTTAGGCCTTGACCTTGTGGTTTGTTTTGAATGCCAGATTAGAAAAAAAAAAGCTCTCAGATGTTGGGTAGTGAGTGTTTAGCCGAAAACTTTCAGATAGATTTGGAAAACTCTTTCTAAAAGCCTGGCTGCAGTACATTTGCATCTGAATTTCTATTTACAAAATCCTGATTTGATGTAACCTGGAATCACAAACAAAGACTGACCAGAGAAGATAAACAGCAAGTGAATTTCCATGACCCCCAGGCAGGTGGAGGTTGTGGTTTTGCATAGTCACATTGGAAACCGATATTTCCTTTAACCATTAATGTAGGGAAGGTACATGCTGACTGTGAGACAGTGCTGTGTGAAGATACTCACTTTCAAATAACTGACAACTTTGCCATCTTGTAATGTGCAGTCATTGACAGGGAAAATGGAGTGTATCATAGCTTCCATGTTTTTTTCCCAACCTAAACTTGCCCGACAGCACTAGTACTGGCAAACACCCTGCCTTCAAACCATTTCAAGCCAGCGTTACAAGAACTGGGTTCCTTTTAAGTCCGCATGTGGTTTTGAGGCTTCACTGAGTAAGCTGTTGGCTCTTCATGAGCTGGGCTCTTGCAGTGCAAGTGAGAAAAATATCATCAGTCTCGAAATGTTATAAAGCAATTTGCAAGCCATCTCTCCAATAAACCATAATTTTGCTTCTCTCCTTAATTGTGTCGTGCTTGGAATCTGAATCATTTTGGCTGAATCATCACCAATATTTTTAGAACCATATCTCGCAGTGTAACTTAACACTATCCAGTCCCAGGCTCCAGCATTTTTCGTAGACAGTAAAGCCTTTGTGCTTCTGTAATTTAACAAATTTATCATTTCAGAGAAACCAACAGGCAGTGATGAATTTTTAGACCACTTCTACACTCACAAGTCCCAGAGAAAACAGAATGTGGTATGGGGCCATCACTCTTCTGCAGAGACTAAGTGTATGTGGGGTTATTTTTAAAGTGGATGTTGATATCTGCTCTGGGATGTCAAGATACTACTACAGAGCGATCTGCTCCCCTCTCTCCTCCCACACACTCTGTAATGAAACACAGGGGTTATCACAGCTGTACGCTAAAGCCAACTTCAGACACATTAAAGTATAAAGCTTGTGATGGAGGACCAGCATTAAGATTTAATAGAACTGCAAATGGGTCTTGTTAGGGTGTATAATATATGCAGGCATGCTCATCTGTTTGCAGATGTTCTGATAGTAACATATATTAAGTTACTGAGGGATTGTATAGAACTGCAAAAAAATATATTGTAATGGAGTCTCATATTTAAGTTTTCCTTTGTTTGCTTACTAGAGTGTGTTGTGTGCTTGGACATTGCTACTCTATCCTGTGTCTAAAATCTGGAGAATTTTTTTTTTTCTGCAATTTATATATACTACTTTACGCTGTCAACTGTGAAACTGAACACTCAAGCATTTTGTTTGATAGCAAGATGTTATAAAACTTCAGAAATGTTCAGCAAAGTCCTTTCTTTTTAAATTATCTGTTGGAATGCTTAACTGAGCACTCACCTCATCTGAGACCAGAATGGAGCAAATAAAATTGAATGGCTGGAAAAGAAAACGAAGTCATTGTATCGCCTATATTCGTGACACAAGAATAAAATTAACTATCCAGCCCTGGTCACATGTAGTAGTTTCACTGGATATCAGGTAGGGATTACACTGATCACTAACAGTATGTGATACTGATCATACTAAACTATGAAACCAGATGTTTTTAATTGGCTTTTCCCAGCTTGTCCATCCTGGATTTGAATTTATCCCAGATATATTTTGTAACTTTTGACCATTCTGTACACCACCGCAGTGCTGTTTCCCCACAGTAACCACAAGTGCAACGTTTTGTTTTGCTGAAGCAACAGTCTATTTGTTATAGACTAATCTTATATAATCTTAACACGCTGAACAAAATTGTAATAACTAGGTTAATCTGTGGTTGTCCAGTTAGCCTTTCTCATGGTAACACTTGAATGAGGCTAAAGAACGCCGTCATTAGTCTTTTATAAACACTCGACCGCATGATAAAACAACATGCAGAAAAACCATACTGCAAAATAAAGTTCCCCTTGAACATACCAGGACCATTGTTACTGGGCTGTGTCTGCAGACAGTCCTTGTCAGCTATCAAGTCCTTCATGTTGTCTTCTTTCTAACACTCCCACCTGACTCCTCTCCACCTACAGGTCTGGCTTTAGCTTTCAGTTGAAACTGTGTCTGATCATGAACCGCTACAGTATATATTACCGTCTGCCTGTGATATCATTTTCTAAGGATGTTGTTGTATTGTGTTGATTACTATGTGCGATAGGTTTATGACCATTTGTAGCCTCGTTCAAATAACCTTTTCACAGCTTTCATGTAGTCATTTCAGAAGTGCAGGGCACAAAGTTTGTGAAACAGACAACCCAAACAAGCGGCCCTACTTCTACTAAAGTGTAATGAGGAAATTATCATATTTCAAAACTTAATGGGGCGAAAAATGGCTGATGGTCTTGACTTGGGTGCATTTTTCAAATGCAGTGGTAGTCAAAACCAAGCATTTTGTTTAAATAACGTATGCAGAGCTATACTAGTGGACACCAAATAGAAAAGAAATGTAGAGGAGGTTAGAGAAGATTGCTCAGATTGGTAAAACATTTTGTGGGTATAATGTCTTCATTATGGAAATGGAAAAAGAGTTTTCAAAACATTTATTAGATCTAAGAGTTTCCGTCTCTGTGGTTGTTGTCAGTTTTTTTAATTATCAAATGTACGTATTTACCAAAAGTAACACAATTGTATTTGAACGTTTGAATTAACTTATAAAGGCTTGACACCTTTGTAAAGATGGTCTAATTTGATAAACTGTGTCTTGGTTGATCTGGCGCTTGCCACATGTCTCTCCTGTTTGAAGAAATTGTTCTGTTCTCATCCTAGGTTTTAAATCTTTACCATCAGCATTCCTCCTACCTTTTCCCCCTTTGCCCATGTCTGTAGTTGCGTCAAGTTACACTGTTGTGTAATAAAGCATATAGTTTGCATGAAAACTCCTTTTTTTCCTTCCCCTTGTTTGTTTATAGGGTTGTGCTCTAAACATGATACTGAACTTGTGGATGTTTTTTTAGGGTTGTTATGTACATAAAAAACATACCAAAGAGATTTTAGGACCAGCACTATCGTGACTCAGCCTGTCTGCAGTCGGAAATCAGTTCCTCCTGCTTCTCGTGTTGCAAATGATG